TTGCAACCATGGCCATTCTGCAGGTCTTTACAAAATACACTTATTACAGGTCACTACAAGGTCGCATTCCGTGCGTGGATGCGCCGGAATGCGTTAACGATCATTGCCTTCGACTTGCAAGAAGCTCCAGTCATATTTGAGACAATGAGGGATAATAGATTTTAATTCTAGATTGGCAAGTGAATAAGCAGTTACCTATGCAAGGTAGTGGTGCCCGGTGCAGAGGAGGAACCTTCCCTTGTATGTTGCTAGGAAGCTGTCCTGGCCACATTCTGATAGCTTTGAGCTTGCAGCTACTCGCAGTCATCTCCTCTGCTGCCTCCTGTATCTAATTTACTCATACCAAAGGCTGACAAGACGGCATTTCGTTAACTAGCGGTGAGTCTGCATGGGTCTAGACTGTTTGTCGCTTTGCCCAAGAGTTTGGTGTGAGCAGTTCATCGGTATCGTCAACTGCTGCTATACGTTTACAAGTAAGGATTTCGCTGACACAACGTTCTTGTAGAGTCAATGTAGAAATTGGTGGGGCTCTAGTGGACTGAAAAGCGTACTGCAGCGGTGAAGACCCAGAAGTAGTCTTGTCCACTTCACAACCTCGGATCCCTTTTCCCGACAGGCCTCACGGCCTGAGAACAGGTGCATTAGGATTAGCATTTGTACAGTATTCCAGCAAGATGGCAGGGTGCTTGGGGTATGCAGGTGTGTGGTTCTTACTAAGAAATGGTATGCAACGCCTAACACAGTGCAATTAGCGCTCATACATGCTGTATTAGAAAGGACCCACAAAGCTTTGTTTTGCCCCTCACACGGACCACGAGGTGCTGCACTACCTGTCGGATTTTTAAGCGATATGCTTTATGTATCTGTCCAATACAAAATGGGCAGATTACCAGATAAACGTTCAAAAGCTATGCATCAAAATCAAACCGGATCCCAGCAGCGTGGTCAATGAGACTCTTTGCCCATGGCTTTTCACCTACCAGACCGATTAATAAGGAAGCGGCCTATCCGCGCAAAAGGTTAACATGGGGTTTGCACATAACATTTACACAGTGGGTAAAGATGAAGCTGCAGCAAGTTACACAATTTAACACTTTTGACGACTGAAAGAGGCAGTCTCCTTTAAGAAGTTCGCATTGGTTAATGCGAATGTCCGCCCTTGCGACAGTGTCAGTATTGAGAAAGCAACTTGCACGGAACTAAAGCCATCGTATTGCACAGGGTGTTGCCTTAAACTGAAAGGGCCCAGGGGGAGTAAATACTCCATCGCCGCATACCAGTGGTGCGCATGAAAGGCCTGTTGCACAGCTGTGTTGCCTCCCTCAAAGTTTATGCGGAGTGTGTCACATGACGCTCACATAACCATCCTACAACACGACACATGGGCATCAGAAAAATCCACGATACCCCCGACACGCTGCTCTATGCAGTTCCATAATCCTTGGCGTAGCTACGCCAAGGAATATGTAGAACTTTTTCCACGCAGCAAGGAATCAAATCCGTCCCTCTGTAGCCGCCCAGTGAACAATGATTCCCAAAAAATTTCCAACAGGCGATGGGAGGGGGTGCCACCCGATTGCATCACTGTTTTTCCTCCCAATGCGAAAGGCCCTGATCTAAGCCTGACTCTGATATATGCCACAAGCATCACTGACTCCATCTCAAACCATATTAGTTGATCGGTAGGCGACATCGTGAATTTTTTGGTGAAATACATAGCATGTCAGATGGTGCTGACTGTGCAGTCTGAGTGTGGTGCATTCGTTGTTTGAGATCCCTAGGAGCTCTTCTGCCCCATGCTCAAGATGCAGCGAGTTTTAAGTGGCTGGTAGCAGCAATAGAAAAAGCTAAACAGAACGCGTTTACAGCACGCGTAGGGCGACAGTAAGCAAACATATTCAGAGCGGTGAGTCAGAATACTGGTTCCTGCATACCAGAAGAGGGATGCCATAGAGCTGGACTGTCCACAATTACACATGCATGATACTCTTTAGGGGCATGATAGAAGTATATATCCTGCGTGATTCCGAACAACATACTGCTGATGAGCGTGCACTTACAAGACTATGCGTCAGAATGTAAACGTTTTGCGCTGACTGGCCACAGACCCGTTCATATTCTCCAAGCTGAGGTAGCACAGAAGTATTGTGCATACAATCACGGCAGACAAGTGAAATTTTCCTTGATGCTATTACTCGCTGGTGCATGAAGCCAATGAAGTCTTAAAGCACCTGCGTATTTCAGGCCCTTTTCATTTGGCCGTTCTTGATCCTGCTTTCATTGGCAAAATAGCCTACAAGCTGGCACTTTTACGTTTTGCTTCCCTTGTGCGGCGGCGTGACCCACACACCCAGAAAATACTTTTTAATTAAGGTTTGGGATTATCTACCCGCGGGGTACAGGATCTTGTGTCTAAATACGGAATTGAGGCTCTACTGGAAAGCCGCGGACACGAAGTGGGAGAGTGTTGAGAGTCGACAGAAGGGAGTGTCCGGAGAGCGATTCGGCGTCGGATCCTTCCAGGATTTTTGAGGGCAGCAAATACTGTGCTCAAAGCTTAAGGAAAACACTTAAAATCCGCGGGTGACGGCTGGAAAACTGATATGACGGCCAGAAAAACGACGTGGCCTAGAGTGATATGTGGTCACTCGCTTCTTCAGAAGGGAGTAGGAACAGTTCCTGCGGGCTTATGTAGTCCTGCGAGGCGGTTCTGAAAGTAGGCTCAATGCAGTGGGGCTATTTACTGACTGTTTGCAAAACAGACAACACCTCTTCCGTGGTAAGAAGATGCAGCGACGGTCGTAAGGTGCATGCACTCTGAGATGTTCTTTACCACTTTGTCTTGAAGAGTGTTGCTCGTCACCCGTGCAAATGAGTGATGCATGTCGTACACCTTCAAGTAAAATAGTTACTCATTTCTACACCGGATGTCGACTACTGGCATCACAGCGCAGCACGCGGTGACACCAGTAAGTGAATGGCTTTCCTTCAAATTCACTGGAGTACGCTTGCTTGTAATCAAGATGCAAGTCGCGAATATGTATGAACCGAATAATCTCCGCCTTGTTATCATGTTCAGCCTGTAACTCATTTTTTGTACTATACTTTTGCCTGTGTTCGCTATTCGTAATGCCCATTTTTTGCTCAAGAGGACTTCCACCCAGCGTTAGCCTGAGAGTGTGATCGAGGCCTCTAGCCTTCCCTGCACCTGATTTATTAAGAATGCTAATTATTCTATCAGATTGATTGTCTAGTCACGCTTTTTACTGCTTTCTTCGCTGTTGATGCCGGGCTCTGAGCACTAACACCTGATGAAGCAGGATTCCTGCTCACCCATATTCCATTACGGACCTCGGAATTAAAGGCTGATGCAACGGTACAGCAATTAAGATCAAAGGGGAACCAGCATTTGGCCTTAGGGGAACGATTTGGAGAATGGTGTTATCACGGGCCTTAGAATTGCTTTCTCCTGCTCCATAGCTAGCACAAGGAAACAGAGCTCAACTACGGAATGAACTAGAGAATAAATAAATAATCCAAGCATGCTACTGAGCAAGCGTCTTATGGCTGAAGTGTAACTGACGTCCACTGGATCAACCGAGAGGGTATTGTTCCAAAGCCCAAACTTGGCTTACATGCAGCAGTGCACGCACAAACAACCTTCCGTCACCCAGCTATCCTTAAGCGCCGCTATGTATAGGCTTGGCTATTGCCTCGATGGATTGAATGATTCTGTTTGCAAGTAAGATCGCTTTTTTCTCGCTCTAGGATCTGACAAGGAGGGGTGCTGCACCCCTCCTTGTCAGATGGCTGTGAAAGTGCGAGAGCACACAAAAAGCCCCAAGGTGTCTTTGTAAAGTATTCGCATTATTTTTTTTTCCATAGGAGTTGAAGTGTACATATTTTCCAAAAGCAGTGTGCATGCGTTTGGGGGGAAGTTTGGGCAGAGCGCTTAGCCGTGTGAGGATCTCAATATGCGCGCTCTGAGACCGGATAAAAGATCTTTGCTACCCTAGCGTGTTGCTGAAGGCGCAGCATCACATCGCAACAAGAAATGCAACCCCAGAAATGGTTGACTTTGGAAGAGAGGCATTCAGGTTGCAGAGAAAATGCCGAGCCTACACGTGTGGCGGCTTCAGGAGGTGCAGTGGAGCATCGTATGGTTTTTCTTTTTAGCCCTAGGGACTTCATCTTTTTAAGGCAGAAGCTTCACACCTGCTCACAATGTTTTGTGACCTTAGGTCTTTAGAAGCAAGCGATGTACACAGCAGTGCAACTACACGGACATTCTGCGGGGCCCGGTACCCTTGTGGTTTTTGGGCCTACTCTGCCTGTATCTGTCTAAATTCTAGAGAACAGAAAAGTGCAAGAGTTACTAGCATTGATAGGGCGTTTAGCAGCCATGCCAGTAAACACTTTTTCTGATGCTGCAGATTTGCTTTGTTTCCAGTAAGTCATTCAGGACTTCAGGTGAGTGACCACTGGTAAAAACAATTGTTAACGTATTGTACAAGGGAGATCAGCAACGAGCATCTGTACGCCCACCAACTTTTTTTGCCTAGCTGCTTGGAGGCTGAACCCTTGTACCCCTTTGGATGCAACAAATTAGCAGCTGCATTGCAGGATTGGTCCTCGTTTGCATCGTGGCTCACAATGCGAGATGACCATACTCCCACAAAGGCATTGCACAAAGATGTATTGGAAGCTGGTGGTACCAAACCAACCAAAGCTATGAGGCATCCAGAAAACCGGCTTGCGGTGCCACTCCAGGAATACTGCTGCATGCCACCGGTATATGGATCACCTCCTCCCCAAAAGCTTTTTACGTGTGTACTAGACGGCCTTCAAATTCTTCTTAGAGGCTAGACCTTACCACAGTCGTGTTTCCTGCTCCTGGTCCCTTCATAAACTTGGCGTACTGCAATGCTGAAACTCAAAACCAAGGGGAATCGCATTGGAGACAAGGACTAGAGAGGCAAAACGCATCTCTATGCGCAAATTTACAAAACCATATAATGAAAACCAAAATTTTTGAGTTGTGGGATGGACTTAAAAGGATGTCGTAAATGCGGGGTATGCCGCCACGTGCCTGAAGGCTTGAGTGGAGACTCGCGCCGTGAGAGCAGGGAGCCAGTTCCATCGGTGAAAGGAATACTTGGAGTACCTATGCCCACAACTCCCAGGTTGAGAGGTCCCATATCATGTATAGCTTGCGCTTGCTTCTGTTTTGACATTCCACGACCTGCGGGCCTCTCAAGCTTCGACTGCATAAACACCGGGGATTTCGACAGCCTCAACGGGTGGTAGAGGTTAAGCGGATGCTGCGTTATATCATGCTGGTGCTGTAGCGCTTGATGCTGCATAAAAGGAGCTGCTGATCCTGTATTCTCATTTGGCAATGTCTGAAGAGGTTCCCACGTATCGTGAACCCTGGATGGTCCTTCAGCTGGGCCAAGGGAAGGCCTTCTAGAAGTCCCATCAGGGGAGATTGGCTCTCCATCTATTGTACGAAGCTGGGGCAGTTGTTCAGAGAGAAGGGCGCGCCACTGGCGTCGCTGACATGCAGGATTTTGCTGAAAGCTGCGTTACATATATATATATACAAATATATATATATTTATATAGTGGACAACAGTGGAGAGATACCGATGAATAAGCTATCCATCTAGGACCCGAACGTACCAACATGCTTTTGCCACAAATGCAACTCACCCACGTCGGTGCCCGCTAACTATGGTACATAATTTACTGGATCCATTCCATGAAATTGTGCTTTATGCGTTATCTAGATTTGACAGCATTTGCAAACAGCTGCAGGTTCCCGTGGAAAAATGAACCGTAAAGCTTTTCATACTGCTTTGTAACGGTCATCATAGTGTGGTAATGGTTTACCCTATGATTCTGAGATTTGGCAACGGAATAAGGCATTCGGTTTGCGTGAAATCAGGAATTCTGTTTTGTCCTATCCTCAGTTCTTCCAAGTTAGGGAGAAAAGGAAACCCATATAAAGATCTGAAAATGCGAATTGGGCAAGAAATAGCTTTACGTAGGCAGTCTTGGCTTTTACAGACTTTTTCATAATGGCTATTGCCTCATTGGACCCCCGTTGGTAATTCTTTTAGCCTCTCTGCTCTCGTACCTAGTGCCATTTTCCGTTGATACCTGAGCTACATTTTGGCTTATGCAATGCTAGCCCATTTTTGCTTTACCCGGCCCCTGGATGCATAGAAGCACTGTATCGCTTGAATTGTGTTGCTGCTTCCTGAGAGTGGACGTGCTGGAAAAAAATACCTGAGTCCATTCCTCTCCAGCACTAGACAACGCAAAGTCTCGCTTGCGCCCTGAAAGCCCTCTGGTTCTATCCGCCTTAGTCGGTTATCGCTGAGGTCAAGCACTTCTAGGCGGCAACAGCTTGTAAGACCCTCTATTTTGGAGAGTCCATTTCCCCGCAGCTCGAGAATTCGAATGCACCCAAGGGGTGCGCATGCTAAGCCCCTCAAATGCCGAAGGGAGTTGTAGCTTAGATCCAGGTGCTGTGAGTAGAACAACACAATCTTGCTCAAGTCTAAGGAAACAAAAACGCTCCTGGTCGCACAGTGTGTAGCCAGCCACAAAGTAACTACCGAGATTGGTGAATTGAAGCTGACTGCCAAGCGCTGTCCCAAAAACTGGATATTGTATGGCATTGCTTAGGATAATCCTAGCGTTCGGAACAAATACTAGGTACATCGGCACAAAAGTTCATGATATTGTGCCACACTTCTAAGAGTGGCAGAGACAATAGCCCTGGGCCATCAATGCCGCCTAGACCCCCTCCAACAATGTCGATCCTGTTGTGTGCCACGTGAAGCTCCTGCAAATAAACATGACAGCAATGCTACATATCTCATTACAGGCACTCTGCTCACTACTTTTAGTATCGAATTACTGTGTTGTAATGCGTGTATTTCATCTGCAGCATTTGTAAAGGTGGCATTAAACCAGTTTTCGTGTGTTCAAAACTAAAATTCGACTAGAAAACCAGTACTAACACCCTCCTGGGCTGCTGTAAAGCTGCGTTACGGATCCGCGAACCTTTCCAAAAACTATTAGACATTTTGCGACTTTTGCTTCCTTAGAGTTCACGCTTTCCCCATATCCTAGCAATGTGCTGCTCGTATTAGGTAGTGATAGTGAAACAGTGATATAGATCTATAATGTTATGAAGGCGGATGAAGTACTCTCAAAAGAGGCAAACTGCCCATGGAAGCAAGTGTCGTTAGCTTATTTTGGTTCAGATTCATTTGGAGCAAGCTTGGAAAGTTTTCTTCTTTTAGAACGTCTGAAATACGGCGAAGCTGGTGACCTGATAAATCAAGTGATCTGAAGGCACGGCATCATTGAAGACCTGCAGAGGCTTATCTTCTGCTTTTGCACTGCAACGTAAGCTTTGGGGTCACACGCGTGTACATAAACCAGACAGTGAATGTGTGCGCTAATGCTTGCATGTACATGGGCGTGACTTGTTACGTAAATAGGCATGTGCGTTGAGTATGTACATGTTTGGAAGGAACCCATTGAGCATACGCCAGTACTGCATGTGCACACACTTTTTGTGGCTGTACAAATATACGTTTTTTACGCAAAGCCCAATCTTTGTTTTGACGCTCTGTGTAGGCTCACCCGTGCTGCAAGTATTTTACAACGGAAGCTGAATTCTTACAGCTTTTTAATGGAAATATTGTGATGAAATATAGAAGAGACATCCAGAGGACCACAATAAGAGCCACCAGTTTTACTAATGCTAAGGGGTGAGTACACACTCAAACACAGTAAATGCAGGTGTTACACGTTTCATAGAATGAGTAGTTTCCAGTAATTCATAACAAATCTCAAATGTATGAGGTAGCTTTCGCGGTGCATCACATGGAAGTCCGCCTAAAACGTGGCGCGATTTTCTACTACACTCACATTTCAGCGGTGCCTATGCATAAAAGGAAAACTCTTCCCGCTTATGGTGTGTGCACGGTAGATCTAAGATTTTCATACCCTTCAAGGCATGGAAGGGACTTTCCAATAATCCGTTCGAGGAGCTCTCTTGTAAGCCTCCCCGCAAATTCCTGCTTTATCTCTTCGGCCTCCTCTTGTCGCGACTCAACTCCATCTAAAACCTTCAGAGAAGGAAGGAGGTACAAAGAATAGGGTCTGTACTCTGCCTCGATGCTCAATGGTGTGTTGCGGAGGTCCAGCACACGCAGAGATGGACACCGAGAAAGGTGCATGAGGGATCTGAAAGTAGTCACGGACAAAGTTATATACTGTAATGTGTTTGGGCAGGTAATGGATGGAAAGTGATCGAAGCACCACCTGCGCTGCAATGCTTCTTTTTCTCCATGTTAATAATTGCATACGCAGCGGTAGATACTCCCGCATCAGAGCATATTTATCTGCATATTCTTGGACTAGTTTGTTTGCATACTCTCTTTCGTAAGCAGCTGCTTGCAGAGTTAACGTTTTTAAGCTCTAATCTAATGAAACATAAGGTTTATGCTTACCCAAAGTTCTGAATATTGTTGCTGCCGAGGTAGAGTTGTGTAAGTGCGGGGAGTCCATCGAGATGCTCCAGTTGCTGCAGTCTATTGCCTTCGGCACAGAGGAACACCAAACGCTTCAAGTGTTGCATACCTGGAGGAAACATCACTATTTTATTATGAGAAATATCAAAACACTCCAGGTGGTTCAGTGACTCAATCCCGTCAAGGCTCGCTATCTCATTCCCGTCCAGGAGCAGTTCCTCCAGAAGAGACAAACCCAGTAAACCCTGCAGCAGCAGAATTCATATCTAATCTCAAGTAATGGTTGACTAGGCAAAGGGGAGGGAAGCGATGAACGGTATAAAAGACATAGCTGTAGCGGTGGCAAGAAACTCATAGTAGCTGCCTTGTTAATTGCAAGAGCTCTGAGTGAGGGAACGGCTCGAGGGACTGCGCCAAATGTACAGCTTCATTAAAGCATGTTTAATAGCGCACAGGTATTAGCAGCTAGTGACTGATATACATAGACCAGGGGAAAAATTTTAGGGAACACAGACCTTAATGTCGCGAAGTTTATTTTCAGACAATTCCAGTCTCCTAAGAGCTGTCAAGGTATGCAAATCAGGCACGTGCCGTAACCGCAGAAACGACATCTCCAAAACGTTCACCTTTTCCCTCCAGTTTCCCCAAGTAACTTTAAGGTCTCCCAAAAGACCTACTGGTGGTGCCCCCCAATGTGTAGCAGTAGCAGTAGCTAGTTGGTGCTTGAGTTGGCAGGCCAAATTAAGACGCCTATGAGGCCCACAACACGTGAGGCCTGCGTCTCGTATTGCGGTGGCAACGGAGCAGAGTCCTCCACAGGAGTTGCTGTGTTCTACTGGCCGGATTCCAAGCGTAGCCGTAGCTGATGCATGCGCCATCTCAGGTTGTGATATATCTCGCGCACTTAACCGTTCGCCATTGCAGCAGTTGCAGCAACAACAGCAGAAGCAACAGCAGAGATCACCAAGTCCCCGACACGGGGGTAATAATAAGGCAACAGGCAGCGGGTCTAGACCTTCCAATGCCGTTGAAGCTCCAAGAGTCTCTGTTGGCCCCATTTTTAGCATCACATAAGAACACGCAAGGAGCTGTGCGTCCTCCGCCTTGCAAGTACTGCAGGGAACAGGACATGAAGCTTTGCAGTGCACCCGGTGGAAGGCAGTAAAGTGCTCTGTGACTTTGGAGCCGTAGTGCTTGACCACCAAATTGCGTTTTACTAGATGATGCTAATCAGTTATTTTCGACGCCAACACGCTCCACCATTCTAGACGTGTAATGTAGTTATATTTCTTTCTACACTGCTCCTACTCTGCCGTGAATATTTCTTCCACATTCAGATCCCTGTGCTATCCGTTAAACATGATTGCCGGTTGCTCGAGGTGGCTCGTGCCAGGAACTCACCAATATCTTTGTATATGATATTCTTCGAGGACAGGGTGTTGTACTGCTGCTGTAAGTGCCCAACCATGCGGCCCATTTACGACCATTGTCCGCTGTTGCTGCATCAGAGTGTCCGTTGCATCTGCACTAGCTGGAACCGCCAATGCATCCTCTTCCCCCAGAAAGCAGGGCCACGTGAAGTTCAATGATGAACATAGAGGCTCTGCATGTGGGTTGTGCAGATATCGTCCATCAAGCAGCTCTAACGCTGGCAGTAGCTGCTGCAAGTGCTGGTTTGTGTAAGGGCCCATGTGCAAGGGGTTCCCGGCTAGCCACAATTGCCGCAGTTGCGGAGCAGCGGTGCCTGTAATAGCATATAGCCCCCAAATGACGTCCATATGCTTACAACGCTAACAAAGCTTTGCTAGACGTTAAATGTGAGCCTCTAGACTTGCGTATCTCAACCACAGGCATCTTCAAATGTACAGCAGCTAATGGGGGGGTCAAAAGGTGCCATGGGGGGTATTCTCTGCTTAACGGGGCCTCATATAATGTAGACTATTCGAATAAGGCCTGTGTGTATGCTTGAGTTTGCTCATACTCCTGCCAATCGCATTTCTTTTATTAATTATGCCGGCCCATGGCCTGAGGTTTGGAGGATAGCGGACCAAGGGGTGCTAGGTCGGACATCAGCAGAAGATGGTTAGCAACAAGGCAAAGCTGCTGCAAACGTGGGGCTTTCCAAAACCCGTCGAGGATGCACAATTCATTAAAGCTTAAGTCCAACACCCTCAGCTGGGGCAGTTCGATGTGGGACCCCGTCTTCAACACAGCTGTGGTGGGGGCCGTTGGAGAATCTAAGAGGCTGCTGGTCCTCCTAGACTCACAAGGGGCCTCAAAGTTGCGCAGGCCGTTGAGAGGCAGCAAAAGTACCTAAGGAGTTAAGTCACAGCTAATGATTCATTTCATTCGCCTATTAGGAATTTGAACGTGAGGCCTTTTGTTGTGATGCACCTTCAACTCTTCAAATATTTCAGACCACATACTGTCGGGGTTTGCTTGTTGCATTTGCTTAAGCGCTTAAGTGACTGTTTTCCAGCGCCATGCTGCCATGAGAGGAATATCTGAGTACAAGTACACCTCTTACCCGCAGCTTCAGGAAAGTCAGTAGAACCCCTCTGCTCAAAGCAATAAGATGGGCTCTGCTGCTGAGGCTCAGGGACACGATATTATCATTTCGGTCAAGCTGAACTTTGCACCCATCGGATCCTCCAACCTTATCCATCGGCGTCGAAGGCTCCTGATAGCTGATTGAAGAATCAATCAGACGTGAAGGTTTTGCAGTCATGTTCTGCAGAAGCAGTTCTCGCAGCTGGACTTCGCCAAACACAATTTCTCCTGAGGTTCTGGAAATGCCGGAACAATTGGTACCAAATGCTCTCGTGCTATCATCGGACGCCTCAGGAGTCTTCTGGCCCTGGACCATTCCTTTGCATGGATGTCGTGGTGACATACACGAGTTCGATTCGCGTGTATGAAGTGCCATTAGGTATTTAGCCATGCTGTATAAAACAGAGAGTAAACACTGTATACCCTCGTCCTTTCTACTTTCTGAGAAAGTCTGTCTCTGATCCATAAAGGCTAGTGAAAATCTAGACACTATACTATTCAGTCATTTAGAGAGGAGTTATCCAGAGAAAGCGAACCTGATGAGATCACAAAATGGCGATGCTTCGCCAACCTGTGGTGGTATACCGCTGTGGTTCCCTCGAGACGGCTGATATTGGGCACTATTATGGTCTTGGCAGCCCCCTGAAGGCTCTGTATGCAATCCTTCAGGTTCTAGTACTCCTGGCACTACGGAGCTTTTCTCTCTCAGTGTGTCAGCAATCTGTGGTGGTGCTAGCGTTTTCACTGATGCTGCAGGGCCTGCATTTGCTTCACTTGCTCGGGTTGGAGATGCCGGTCTTGGTATTGACGATACTGCATTCGAGGTAACAGGAGGTGTATGGGGACCAAGCCCAGATGGTTCGTGAGAGTATGAAAATCGCACAAGAAAGTGCGGTACGAGGCAGTGAGGTTCAAACAACCACCTAAAACACGACGCAGCAATGGGAGAAGAGAGCAAACGCTGAAGTGTAATGCCAACAATACTGCGAGGAAAACAGGAACTCAGGCGCGAAAGCAGGTGATGCCCCTGCGCATGCGGCTGGCCATTTGCTACAAGGATGTTTTGCCAGGGCTGTCAGCAACCACGAATGCCCTGCATGTATTCCCACTGTTGCTGCAGTAATGGATTAGTTGTAGGCAAGCAACTGTGACTAATTTCACACTCTGAGATTGAAAGATGTAATGTGTTTACCATATTCGCCTATGAGAATTTGATATATGCTCCCTGTATATGCTCATGGGTCCCCGAGGTACAGGAGCTCCCAAGCATGAAGATGCTGTCTCCTCAATGGCCACACCTGAGGCATGTAGACAAGACAGAGGGCTATTTTCAGGCTTTCTAGCACTGCAGACAGCGCTTGTGGGGCCTGAACATATCCAGCATCCAGAATCAAGGTGGTAGAGATTACAGAATAAAGGTATCGGTAAGTATAGGAAAGTGACCAGCATTTTATGGGTAGCCATGGGCCTTCCTACGCCCGAGCAATCCCAGGGAGAATGCGAGGTCAAAGCTAGTACACACACACACACCATTCTCGCCTGAAGCACAGCTGGAAGTTTCTAGCCACATGTGCAGGGCTACTTTCGCACATGAGTGTCTAGGTACATATTAAGGTACATGCTCAATTGAAATCATAGGATCCTGGATACGTTTAGCACCCCAGTGTATTCGGCTGAGTTATAGGCTATGCCATACGGCGCAGTTCCACAACTTTGTGTGTAGTTCCTTCTGAAGGACCACGCTCCTTCATTATAAGGGCTTCCTCTGCTCTGTAGCCCAACGGCGTATCCGGCAAAGAGTTGTGCAGCAGAGCCCGGCACAATAGAACTTCGCCATCTGGTAGCAACATTTGATAGTCTCTAACGGCTTGCTGCAATAATGAGAGGGGGGACCGCTCCTCTTGGCCTTGGGAGAGTTGGGTGTGCCCTGTACATTTGCGAGCACCAACAGCAAGGGGCACTTCTTTTTGTACACCTGACTGGTCTTGACGTAGCTGGAGAGTTTGTTTTGCAATGGCTTGAAAAGATTCGTTTGCAGCAAGAGAACTGCATGAATACAACGAGGACCACACAGATTTTAGTTAGGCGGGACACTGGGGCCATCTACAGGCCCTCTCGGGTTCACTACATCAACTGAATGAACTTGTAAACCTGGTATAGCATATACACATCTGTTTTATCACAGGACTTCTAAACGTCAGAGCTTTTACCAGGCCCATAGGATACCAGAGCCATTGGGGATTCTTAAATATGTGATTTACGGGCAGTCGGGGGCTACACGAAGGGATACTGGCCAAGCTGTGTGGCCGGAAACCCTTACTGTAGTCTGGCTAAGTCAGTCTCCGCTAGACCATTGGAAACAAATAGCAGTGGAGTTTCCTGGAGTCCCTTGTAAGCAAATAAATTCCCAAACATGTTACTCGTGCATTGTCTGAAAAGCAAAACAAGAGTACTTTGGTGTTATTTCAGAATATGTAAGTAATTTAGCCTTCCGTCGACGCATCAAGCTAGCGAGGGGCCTATCGATCTATGACCAATGTTTTTTGCTTTATCTCGGCAGGACAGCTGCCCCCTTAAACGCTGGGAATACATTCGACTAGTAATAGAAAAGCTATTACAGTGCTACTAGCTCAAAAAATTAAGATTAAAGATTTCATGAATACACAACCTATGAATTTCGATGTAAACTTTGAAATATAATGACGTTTAAGAGAAAGGCCTTTACACACAACATTCAGCCACCTATTGAGTGTTGCTAGGTACTGGCTCTGAATGATATACGTGCTTTATTTGAGACTGCGAAATTCTTTTCGCTGCAGGCTCATGCACAATAGCCGCCATAGGACATGACGCTCCATTGTTAAGATTTGGTTTTAGTTGGCACGGCGACACCCATAGTCCACTGCCGGCAGTGCTGCCTCACCTGAGAAGTCCAACAGGATGATTTGGGTCTGTGCCGCACAGAACCCATTCCTCAGCGCTCTCCGGAGACCGTAAAGCTCTGGAACGTAAGAGCGGCATTATCAGCGAAATGCTAGTTGCTCATATATATACGTCTAAATGAAGATGAGTAGTCCAATAGCCATAATTTGCTTCATGGAGTACGACTGGATTAAATTAGAAGGAAGAATATAGCGCAGAGCTGGACAACCACCCAAATTCCTGCCTTAGGCTTGAGTTGTTAAGAGTTGTGTATGTATCTGTTGATCGCTATGAAGCTATCGCTAAAGAACCAGAAGAACAAGGCTCAGCAACAAAAATATCAGCAATACCCTCAGTTGCTTTGCACCCGGACAATGCTGGACTAAGTCTGTGCCTACAAATGAGCCTCCCTTCAACAGTGGCGGCTAGAACACAGCACCACTCTACATCTGTAGGCACAGGTCCTAGCATGCACAACCAGCCAAGCAGTAGCAGGTGTCGCGCTTGCAACGGCAAGCCTATATTCACCTTTTGAGTTCAAAGGCCACATCGGCCTCCCTGTTTACGATTCTGTGGACGCTAATTACTCGAATACTTTTAAAGCCAAAAGCTGAGAAGTCGTCGGGGGAGAAAGAGTGAATCAAGCACTCTGCAGCACGGCGGTACCTGCAGCAGCCCCTCTAGCACACTTTTTAGTGGCGGTTAAACATGCTTTGCATAAATTGAGTAGTAAATGCAGCACCAATCGTAGGGGCCCCGTAGGACACATGGGTATCTCTACAATGTGGCGCAAGACTGACCAGGTCTTTGTAGGGTCACCCAACTCAAAATAAAGATTCCCGAATTTTTCCAGCTCGTATCTTCGGGTATGTAAGATGGTATCACGCCGCTTTCGTGTTTCAGCAGCTGCCCATCGAAAAAATGATGCTCCCCCGCACAGCTTCCGCCGTGTGACCATCAAATCCTGCCAAAAATACATATAACAAGCAGAAGTGCCGGCGCTTAAAGCTTTTCTGCCTAAGCGATTATTACTTTCAAGATGAAATTGTGACTGTTCTGCAAAAGTATGTCTGTCTGAGGCCCCGGCAGTGACGTATCGAGCAGCTGTCCTACTGGTCGGAATATACAGTGATGCCTCCCTCTCTATTAGTGTGCTTCCCTCTAACACAAGTTGTGCGCATGAACTCGGCCCACTTGTGGCACTGTATACCCATAGGGTAACATAAAAGGGCGTAACAATACACTGTGACTTGACGACTTCCCGTACATTGAACTTCCTGCTCTCCTTGACCACCAGCCTAAACTGACTGTGTAGACGTTCAAGCTCCTTCAGTGCATCTCTAGCATCTCGCCTTGTTTGCTGTTGTTCTAGTAAGTAGTATAACCGTTTGCGTTGATAGGTCGAGGACACAAAGGTGATATCACTGGAGTCAAGCAAGGTTTGGTTCAAAGCCTGAGGGTCCGCGCTGCACAGAGAATAGCCAGCTATTAGACCTTGTTACGTACCTGGTTTTCATCGCTTTTTTGCTGCCTTCAAAAGTGTATCTGTGTGTATATAGCCATACTGCTTGGCTACTCCTGAAAAATACATCAAATTAGCTAGCTTCGGTATGCCAATGCCACTCCGTTGCTGCCCATATCCTCCGCTGCTGATCTTCGGAATAGTTTTCCCTAGGAATGCCTTACATCCCACCTTTCTACTGTTCCTTTGCCATCCTCACACAGCTCTACCCTGGTCTCATTAGCAGTAACCCTATCACTCATCTCCCAGGTAGTGCTTTGTCTAAGTGCTTCGATCTACCTGCAGTTAAGTTTCTCGAGACGTATAACTTTTTGTGGGACTTCTATTAAGTTTGCTCTAAAATACTCTTAAAGGCTATCCAAAACGAACTACAATGAATATGTTCTATTTTATGTTGTAGCGCCAATAGCTGTATAGTAAAACATGTAGGAAAGCAAGATAAATTATCTACGAGCGAATTAGAGAAAACTGCTCATCAGGTGACTTTTTGGGCTTCTAGTAATGCCGGACATCAGGGCTGTGAGGAGCCTCCTGCTGCGATTTCAAAAGGATACCTGTAGCTGCGGAATATGGTACAGGGTGAACATCTCATGATTTTTGAGTCTGCAAATCGGATTTTGTTTGGAGAGGAAATGAACGTCAGAAAAGAGGATGGAACGGAGGCAAGGGAGCTGAGAGAGGAGGGCCACCTCCTGCAGGGACCAAATGCTGCAACGATAGTCGGACAGAGACGCATTGGCAAACAAGCGACCCACAGAGCTTTGGAAAGACCACTAGAAGTAACGAGATGGGACAGTACGAAAAGGCAGGTCGTCGCACTTTCGTATAGGAACACCGAAAAACAAAGTAGCTCAAAAAGTGGGTTGAGCTCGAATTAGAGCGGACAAGGCACTGGTCACATTCGCTACAAAATGTGCAGTGTGTAGCCTATAGTTCAATATTACCTTCGTGGTGAGCTTTCTAGTGGCATATCTTACTAGTTTGCTGCAACATTCAGCTTTTCCAACTTCTTGTTGTTGCTGAGGCAGGCACCCACGTGCGTCAGCTCGTTGTCGGCAACCTGCATCTCTTTTAAATTCACAAGACGCTCGATGCCTCTTAGGGTTTTCACCCTGTTACTGTTGAGCCTTAGAGTTTGCAACCGCTGGAGAGCGCTTAGTGGTCCTACAGAAAAGTTTTTAAGTAGACCATCACTGGGATGCTGAATGACTTCCCCTAAATCTGTGCGATATGCTGGGGCTTCCAAGGCAGATATACGGTTGACACTTAGGTCTAGATCCTCCAAAAGCTTCAATGACTCGAGGCCTTGATTTAAACACACGCATGAATACAAGTACGGCAGACTACCGGCATGAGCAGAAGGGACAAAGGGTGCAATTTAAATGCAACGGACATGGGATAACGTAAGACTCCAGTGCTGTAGATTTTAGCTGAGAATCTGGCACATTATTGTTCTTTAGCTTTAAACCTCGATTCTGAGCACAGAAGACTGTCAACCAAGCCACTGGCTGCTCAAGGATATACTGGAGTATATGATTGTGACAAATATGCAGTATATACCATCCAGACTGCTTATTCGATTCTCTGGGAGGTGGAGGACTTGTAGGTTCTTGCAAACGCCGATGTGCTCAAGACTGGTTATTTGTTGCCGTACAAGCCTCAGCTGCCGCAGGCAGCAGAATGCTCCTAGAGCCTCTAGTGACCGAGGTCCTAAGCATCTATCCATTATCAATTCAATTGAATCAACAAGATTAACTTGCGAGGCGTCCCTTATACCTGCCACTTCATATAACCGCGGGAGGTCTGTGCAGACACTGCAACAAAATAAAAAGAATAGCACACTATGCTGCATGCTAAGGCTTCATGTGGAAGAAGGACTGCTGCTACTCTTCTTTTGCTTGCTGTAAATGGGAATGGCGAGCAGCAGCAGCCGTCTGTTGACGCCTCCCCTGGTTCTTCCTCCAAAGCATCAAAAGTGTTAGTGGAAAGAACCACAAATAAAGTGCACACTCACAAAACCGGTAGCGTGGCTGCTGCTGCTGTAGCGATAGAATAAGAGAACAAGTTTAGTTGCTCTTACTCTTCCAGCGAAGTAAGAGCGTCCACGCCCTCCCTCATAGCGGATGCCGTGTCCAAAGTCAGGGTTGCGACGGAAATCTTCGGAGCATCATCAGGATCACTGATGAAGCCGCTGTGTTGTGATTCTTCTTCACCGTTGTTGGCTTTCACAGTCTTGGCGCACATCTCGGGGGGCTCCAACGGCGACAACACATTTAGAGCTGCCACTGCAGATGCCAGGCCCATTCGGGAAGCCCGCGCACGCCTGCAACTGTGGGGTCTCCAGGAGCCCTTTAAACAAAGGGACGAATCATACGGAGAGGCGATATGCAGCACAGCTTTATCCTGGAGATTCTCTGGTTGTGTCGCCTGTGGAGGGTCCCTTGGGTCTTCTGGTGGGCTTGGGCGCTTGTGGGGACTAGTGGGCCTACTGGTTGAGGGAGCAGATAGGCTCTGACATGCACCGTTGAATTCAAGGTTATCGTGCGGTCCAGCAACAAGACCAGCCCCAGGGGTGGTGATAGTAGCAACAGCAGCAATTTCATCGGCCTTCCTGGGGCTCTTGAGTAGAAGGGCACTGCCATCACCTTGATGCCTTTTGCAATTAGCCTGATTGTCCTTATTGTAGCTGCCGTCACTGCCGCATTTGCGATAGCTGCTGCCCTCAAGCCTTTTTGGGCTTCTTATAGAGGGCCACTGGTTCAAAAGCTGGGAACGAACGGTGGGGATAGACCTAGGCTTCTCTTCCGATATGCCTCCCCAGATCTCTGGAGCTCTAAACCCAGATACTGCCATCGTGTCGCCTGACAGCTTGTTAACGTTTCCACCACTAATCACAGAGCCCTTGAATGCCTCGGCTTCTGCATTCAGGCAAGGAAGCTTTTGGGTTCTAAGTCTACTGCTGGAACTGTTGCTTGTAGTGTAGCAACCATTTGCATCACTGGTGCTGCTTTCAGCTGAATTGTTGCTATCGTTGTTCATGTTATCTTTTTTTGGTTTGAAGCTACAATTACTACCGTGGCTAGGGGTGCTGCTATTGCTGCCAACGCTGCTAGTGCAAGCGCCCCAGGCATCGGGCACCCACTGCTGCCGTGCCTGATCATTGTTGTGCTTCTCATGGGGGGCTTTGCCGATAATATGAGGGACACTTATGGACTCTTGACGTTGCTCGGGGAACGCATGCACACGGAAAGGGCATGGAGTGTCTTTTTCTCCTGTCCTGCTATCGCCCCTGTACATCAGCGAGGATCCTGAGGCAGCCTTACCACGTCCAGGCTTGCGCGAGCTACTTTGGTGGAGCCCTTTGCCTTTCTGGTTTTGCATATTTCTACCTGATTGCCTTGCTGAACAATCTTTCTGGGGGGTTTCAGTTACACCAGCATCGCGTACGCCGGTGAACACACAAGTGGTTTCTTGCGGGCTGTCACATAGGGTCTCTGCTGGGTTAATATCCCAATAAGGCCGCTCAATATTTTTAAGAAAATAACATGGAGAAGGACTATTGCAGCTTGATGCCGCATATACAGAAAGAAGCCTGCGGGGCATTGCCCAAGGAATGGGGCCTGGGTTTCCGTACGTCCCAGCGACTGCATTACTACACACCGTGGCCACCTGGTGTTCCAGCCGCTGGCGATCTAGCTGCTTCGTGGAATCGTGAGATCTGTCAATGCCTTCCTGAGTTGCTTCCGGCGGTAGCGCTGGATTGAGCACTGTTATGGGATGCACCTCAGACTCCTTGTTGTGTAGGGCCCTACACCCTTCCATCTCCAAGCCTGCTCGCTTAGTATCCAATGCGATTCCTGTACTGTGCATTATGCGAGCTGAGGGGCCAAGCACATTACTACTGTGGGTAGGCATATTGACCTCCATTGCCTCGCTCTCTGTACTATTCACTACCAGGGCGGCGCTGGAACAAAGAATGCCAAACTGCGTTCCGTGTGGGTCTGGTTTCAGCAATTTTAAGAGGATTTGGTTTTTCCCAGAGCTGTCTGCCACTTCAGTCAAGAGTCATTTACTCGTCCTTGAGGTTTCCTATAGGGGACTCCTGAGATGCGGCCTCATCACGCCGTTTTACAGCAGTGACAGCAAGTGGTGCAGGAAGACCCAGGGGACCTGTGGGGAGAGGGAAGATACTGATAAGGCGCATAGATGCTACAAAGCTTTACCTCATTCACGTTGTTGGGTAGCAGTATATTTTTGTTTTATCTGTTTTAGTTACCGCCCACTTACCCATGCCTCCCGCACAGCTTGCATTAACTTCTTGCTGCACTTGTTCCTCGTTTAAGTTCTCCATGTCCATTTCACTCCCTCTTGCTCGCTATGCAAAAATCTGTTTTCTGCAGTCTTGTGTCCTCGTGTGGTCGCCTGCACATCTTTTCTCAGATTCGTGGGCAGGGATGTGTCCGAATGAGTTTTCAACTCATATCAGACCAAGATTATGAGGACTGATGTGTCTAGAATTTCGGTAGGTTTAGCTTGGGAACCAAGTCCTCCCTACTCGTCCCCTCTAAACACAGGTCACTTACAAAAGACCGTAGCATGTCTCTTCACCCTGAGACAACGAATGTTCAATGCACCGCCTCTTTCTCGTTTCACGCCCAAAACCGCTCTAAAACAAAAGGTTTAATGCATTTTAATGAGAAAGGAGAGCAAATGATGCCCATTTAGCGCGGCTCTGATGGCGCGGGGACAACCAGAGACGACGGAGGTTGCAGAGGAGTGAAATAAACATACGGAACATGCAACACTGGGGCTATTTACAAGCTTCTTTCTGGACATAAAAAACAATTGAATATAAGCCTTGATAACACTCGCAGCGCTTTGTGCAGGCTACGTCCATTTAATGATCAAAAGTCAGCCGGCGGTAGGTTTTAGGCGATAGGCCACTCGTGGCAGAAACAGCAGGACAGTTTAAAGGCACTTCTACCTTTCACTCAAAGCAAGGTACATATTTTTTATTTACTCCTACATCGCAGTAGAATACACATGCTTGCAGGTTGCGAGAGGGTTATCTCGCCAGCGCAGAACTGTGGGATAAAGCTGTCTTATAAGTTTGCTCGTGGGGTCATAAGCAGGAACGCACACTGAATCGCGATATATTGCCTTGCGTCTACATAGCCAATTGTACTCTAGAAACGATAGAGGCTCCCTGATTGTCAAGGTGCCTATGTACATAGCTGGAAACCCTGTTCATTCGCTAAAGTACTCTGTGACCCCAACGTTAGCAACGCTGCAAGTATTAGTGAGCCAGGGAATTCTCTTAGACTACAGTGAAAAGAGTGCGGGGCGTGAGAGGGGCTTTAAGCAGATGTTGAACAGCATATACACACATAGACAGCTCATGAAAGAGTAAGGGGAATGCCAAAATGTTGTGCTGCTCACTAAGCGAGCTCTCGCTGCAAACAAATCAAATTTCATGTTTTGAGTTTAAAAGAAGGAGCCTGTGATACCTTATAATCTGAAGCCAAGTTTTTTGGGGATCAGCTGCCTCTTTTCCCCCTCCTCAACCCTGATCCCTGGCAGATATTCGTACATATCCCATCCGGTGCCTGCGCTAAGCCCGATCCAAGACTTAGCGGAGCTTCGTCCTCTGTGAATAGCGCAATTATTAATCTTTGTTGTATGTCACATCAGAGGGGGGCCAACTGTATTTACGTGGGGGCTCACGGCAACATGCGAACTCCCCCTGGCGGTCAAGTAGAACCCTTAAGTAGTCCGTGCACCCAAAAGCTGATTTTTCAACACAATATTGCAGAACCTCTTTTGAGCAAAATGGCCCTGCTGCAGCCACCACCGGACCACTGGTTTCTCAATAAGCTGTAGATAGGAGGCAGCGAGTAGAAACGCTTTGCGGCCATGCCTCTTTTCTTGACAAGCCCTGGATATGCCAAGAATACCATGGATTTCTGCTGTGCTGGAGAGCCCAGGCTTGCTACATGCTTGCTTATAATATCTAATTACACGGTTATAAAAGTGTGAAGATAGCTCGTTATGGTCTAATTCTTTCGCCTTCAAAACACGTCGGTGACGTACAACACGTGCACGTTTTAAAAGCCTAACAGTTATGAAGCACGATAGCCCTGGGGCTTCGAATTGGCCAGTGGCCGCAAACGCGTAAAGTGCCAACAAGTACGGAACTTAACACTGCCACGGTATAGAACCTGGTGCCGCGACGGGAGACTGTACGGCGTAACTCTGCCCATGTGTTACCATCTCTGTGTGCCTCCTCCGTTGGCTTCGTTTAGACATTTGGAGCGATGCAACGTTATGAAAGCCACACAGTGCCAACAATAAGGAAAGATGTACTAGTACAGGGAAGAAGAGACTCATGGCGATTTCTTCTGTTGTCGTCTCAACTGTGGTGGCAGCCAGCTCCTAAGTAAATTCCAATGAGCCACTGAATACAAGAAACCCAAAATTTCAAAGCTCTGCCACTTAAAGTCACCTGCAAGTGCCACTCATGAGCAATGGAGCAGCTATGGCGGAGAAAGAACGTTCCCCGCAACCCCGGACCCTTCTCTGGAAACTCCTGCCCGACCCGAAGACCAAGACAATTGCACAAAGACTTTATTTAGCATAGTTTCGAAAAATTTAGTTGGCATCTTCATGAAATTATAGACGAGCAGCTGCTTTGGAAAATTTAAAGGCCTTACTGTCTCGGGGAACGTCATCCTCGCTGCCAGCCTTTCGCTTGTTACCTTCCCATAGGCGACGACCTGGGAAATCACGCAAAGCCCAAACCATAATGCGTTAAACGGAGCTCTCCACGGTGAATCCTAAACCTTATATCCTAAGCTCACAAGATTTTGAGGAAACGGTGGTGGAGGTCCCTACCGCGTGCTAGTTCATCTTTCTGTTGCTCACCCGTTTCGATTGTCGAAGCCGCCTTTCCCTGGTGTTGTTGTTGCTGCTGCTCTAGGGCAGGATGCTGGGGCACAGTAACAAGCGGGAGACCAAGGCGTTTCGAACTGCATTGCTGCAGCGAAAATAGCGAACAGTGCAAGGACGCGAACCCTTAGCCTGCTGCTTCACATTTGATTGTTTGAGGATATGGTAGCAGCTACGGACTCCTCGTCAATAGGTTTTGGAAGTGTCAGCAATGCAGAAACTTCGACAGCTCTCCGGAGAGACTCACCCTCTTGCCGTACTGAAAGGATTCTTCCTCTGCATGTATATAGAAGCACAACTGTCGCATATCATTCATGCAAGAAGAGTCGCAGCAAGGGAAACAGCTGGTGCCGCAACTGCATGTAGACTCGCTACACCCCTAAGGCTGTTCTTGCATTTACCTGCTGTCCCAGTAGGCCGCATGATAGGCAAACTTCCTGCAGCAGGCGCCGCTGCTAAGGTCGATTTAATTCCTCAGCAAAAGCATACAGCATTGGCACCTACTGCTCGATCTTGTGTTGAGCGACGCCGGCCTCTCGAGCTGCAGCTGCTGCCATCAAAGCTCTTGAAGCGGAACAGCTTCTTTAGAAGCAACAAAGACTCGCCAAATTCTCTAGGTGCTGCCTGCGCACAGATGTATGCGCTACTGCTTTAGCTTCATTTGCAATCGTCTGCTGCTTTGTTGGTAATACCGAACTGCCACTCCGATATCTGCATCAGACTTAACTGATGCCTTTACTGACGTGTAAACCACTGCTGTTGTTTGCACTGCGGTTGCTCTTTTGGAACTTTGCGGAGTAGCAGCTCCTGCCGCAGGAACACCGGATGGGCAAACTAGCACAGATTGATGCCAACGCTCATGCCCCGATAAGACGGAAATCAACTCCTAAAGGAACTACTACAATATGCAGCAAGCAGCACGAGCGATAACTGTCGGTGGTGCTACCACAGCATGCGTTCCAGAGGCTGCAGTCGGCGGCGCCGCAGACACTGTCGTAGCAGGAGAGGCAGCTACTGCTGTGCAAAAGTTGTACGCCCATTTTTGACCACAGGGCAGTTTAAGTGGCATCAGAAACTCTTTTTCACGAGGGGGAAGGTTAATAACACCGGCACTAGGGGCTACAGCAGGAGCAGCGTCACATCTTTTCACGGAAGGCAGCCCTTGCTGCAGCCGAAGTAAGGTGTACGCAACAGCAGCACCAATAAACACACCAGCTGAATATTTGTCTGCTAGCAGAGACTCGTCTGGCCACCAGAAGACCGTCTTGCAGTGGGTACTGGGGCTGTCGATCGTTTGAGCACTTGACTACTCAAACGTGGCAGCGGCGGCGGCAGCAGCAGCAGCACCAGTAGAAGCTGATGGCCTGTGTTGCTTCTGCGAGGCAAATTGATAGCACTGAGGGCACGAAAAAATTAGTAGCAGTCCTGGCAGCAGTGGCAGCCCTTCAACCTGCAGCTACGACGGCACTACATAACAGTGGCAGTGACCAAACGGGAGCACTTGCAGGATCAGCTGCAGGGACCCAGCAGAGGACGCAGCACCCAGTGAGCATATGTGGATGCAGCAGTATCAGCAGCAGCTCTCACAGCAGGATGGTTACGGATTTGCCTGCACAAGGCGCAACGTCTTTCCGCTGCTTGTTTCTGCCCTTTTGGCGCAAGGGCTCCAGAGCAGGTTGGGAGGCCCCTGACTATGAAGCTAAGACTTATGAGATACGTAGCAGCCACGCTAGGCGCTTTCAGACATGCCTGATAGGAACAAGCCACCAACTCAGCAACGGCCACACCAGAGCCATTGGCTGCTGCAGGCCCCCAAAACTAGGCAGCTCAGAGCCACATCTGACTTGTTTCCTGCTACAACAGAAGCGTGAGCTGCCGCAGCAGCTGCCTACCGCTCTGTGCCCAGCCTGCACGACTGTTTATGGTGACTGGAATGGCTTCTGTAACTGCAATGTCAAAGATTCTTCCACTGCTGATGCAATACCTCCATCCAACAACCTGCTACGTATCCCATCTTGCTCTTCCCAGTGCAGCAGCAGCTTCCATGACGGAGATAGCGAAGAGGCTTCATTCGCGCCTTCAGGGGTACCAGCAGCAGAGGCTGCCGCTGCAGCATCAACAGGGGCATCAGGTGGACCAACAGCAGGAGCGGTAGCCACAAGGCAGGGGCCTTTCAATAGCAGCAGCTGGCGCTTCCGTATGAGCCACAATAGCAGCATGAACAAACGTTTTCCTTGCGCTGCATGCTGGAAATGTAGCAATAGCAGCACCATTAGTCTGAAAGTGCTACAGCTCACAACAGCTAGTGGCAGCATAATCCCTGCCCTCTTTTTGCATCACCCAGCAGCGAAACAGACTCTCTTGGTCTCCCACGGCAGCGACAAGGACCTGGGTTGTATGTATCCCTTGATAGTATCCCTCTGCCGCTCTCTGTCTATCAACGTCTTGGCGTATGAGTATACTGGATATGGCTTTTGCTGCTGCAGTAACACTAAAAAGCAGGAGCAGCAAAAGCAACAGCGACGGTTGTGTCGGGCATCATTGGCTGGGGTCTACAATGATATTCGTGCTGCATTTGTATGGCTGCTGCAACACCAGCAGCAAACACCTCTAAGCATTATTCTGTACAGCGAGGGCAGGGGCCTTATCCCAGCGCTATGGCTTAGGACTGAACTGGTGGCAGAGGGCCTGCAACTGGGTGGCCTTGTGTTTGTCTGTCCAGCACCAACTGTAGCAACAGTGCCCGAGGAACAAGATACGGAAAAGGAGCGACGCAAGGGATTTATCAGACGCATGGCCTCTTCTTGTTGCAGGAAACGTAGCGAACTGCACCAGGTGTACATGCAACTGCTGGAGCTACAGCTGGACGAGCTGCTGATCCTGGAGGGGGCCTCAGAGGCAGTCCCTGCCGGAAAGACACCGCAGTTGCTGTTACGGCAAAGGGCAGCAGCAGCAGCAACAAATTTTAAAGCCGAGGCTTCTGGCTGCACATGCGGCAGCATGCCAAAAGGAGAACAACTGCGGCTCCTGAAGGAGTATGTGCACCGTGCAGGTGAACAGCAACAGCAGCATGAATTCGTATTGGAGCAGAAGCAGATGTTCTTGAGCGATCTGATCCACAAGGATGAACCCAAAGTTTTTAGTGAGCAGAAAAGGCAGCAAATTTGCAATGAGCCGCATGCATGTCGTGTAAAAAGCGCTCCAACTAAATACCGCATTGAGCTTGTATCTCCTTCCCCTACAGTGGAAGGCACACCACAGCAGGAGCTGCAGTTGGGGCAGCAACGCCAGTCAGGTCAGCAGTAAGAGTTGCACAGGAACACAGTTCGGCTTTCAATGTGACACAGCAGCGGTTCGCTGCGACAGCTGACAGCAGTGTACGGCATAGAATGAGCTAACCGGCACCGCACGTTTTTGCATGGACCCAGAGATACCTGGGTGCCTTTTCTGCACGCAGCACTTGCCACGTCTATCTGGCAGGTTTGCAGCTCTCTACAGTCTTTAGACATCTTAGTAGATATCGAAGAAGAGTGCGGCGCATGCACACTCCACTGCAGTAGAAAATATGGATAATCTCGTAACTTAGTCATCCTCTCTGACGGACAATGCATGAGCCAGCGCTTGGAGCATTCGAGTAAATTTGCTGCTGCCACAGCTGTATTTGCAGAAGCAGCTGCGGTAGCAGCTCTCTCGTCAACCGTTGCGGGTGCAGCTCTTCTCTTTTAGTTGCAATCTTTTTCGGCTAAATGTACTCGCTGTAGCCCTATTGCAGACAGCTGACGCCACAGCAGCCGAAGCCGGCCGTGTTGCATCAGAAGCCTTTGACCAACCTACCGTGGTGTACACAATGCTGCGGGGGGACAAATAGCGACGCTACTTCAGAGGAAGGTATCTTTATTTTTTGGTGGGCATAGGAAGCTACTATCTCCGCTATTCAGACAAGCGCTGCCACAGAATACCCCATTTTCGTAGTGTGCCCCTAATAAATGACAACTCAAACAGCGGTTTTGCGGTTGACGCTGCGGGGATCACAGCTGCCGCAAAAAGAGTCAACTCAGAAGAGTGAAATTGCACTGGTGGGGGTGATGTAAGCAGCAGCTGTAAATACAGTGTAAGAGTATTATATCCCTAACATGAAAGGCCAAAAATGACTTTAATTACGAGACGCTTGGAAAAGGATGTCAAACTACTTAGTGAAGAAAAGAGCTTTATGTAGCCCTCTAGCCGTACATCTGTCAACACCCTTGTAACACGTAGGCAAATAATTAGCACTTATTCGCGTATCGTCTCCCCGTTTTCTTTTTTCAGATGCCTATATCTGGTCGTGTGCTAAGCTGCACAGAAGGCCAGCAGAGCAGAAAAGCATCGCCAAGGTTTGGATTCTGACACTGCAGCGCCCGCTTCATGTCACGAACGTGGAGTAATGAAGCCTCTTAGAGAGGTCATGAAGAAAGGCCCGGGGCCTTTGCTACTCTTATCAGCCTATGGGTGAATAACTATGAAAAGTGGAAGGAAAACGGTTGAGTACTCGAATTAGTCGCATGCAGTTAGTATCATTTAACTGCCACCAGAGGCTTACAGAAGAAGCCCCCTACGTCTGTTAATGCAATAAAAAGAACAAGAGCTGCGTGCGGCTCTTAGATCGATGAGAGTGCTGTGTAAATGTCGAGTGATGGGTTCTTGAGCACTTATCTGGAGACTAGCGCTTGAACGAATTTCGACGGGGCCCCGTAATATGTAGGGCTGCTGCTGCTACGACCCCGGAGGAGAGCAGACGCTCTGTTACAGGGTGTCTCTACCAGGTAATGTCGTACCATCAGCTGAGAGAGTGGCTTCCTCAGTAACAGCCGTAGGCTCCTCACGATGCGACGCCCGATTTGCATCCAATGTAACTCTGCCAGCTTTGCTACCTCGCTCAGACCGACTAGGATGCGGGGCATACTGAATCCGAATCTGGACACTGTCTGTGCCTACGGCGATTGTGAACTCCTTCGATGCGCTGAGAGTCGCGTCTGAAGTGTAGCGCAGGGTTGCGCTAATGGTATATCTGTATCCGGGAGTCAGCGTATATGGCCTTACACTGGCAGTAGTTTCGTCGGCACTTAGCCGCAGCAGCTGATCGGCTGTTCGCGGGTCATTGGGGCAGCTAGCTGTCCACTGTAGACTTACACCCGGGTCGAATAGTGTTGCCACAAAAGGGCAATAATCAGGGATTACTGATAAGTTCACGCTCTCGTGCTTCTGAATGGAAAAACTATCCGCGGAATTCAGTGCGAGGAAAGGAGGTTCCAGTTGCAACGCCAGATCGACCTTGCCCGATGCTGCAGCACAGTACACATTCCAGCTGAGTCGTTAGATTGTCTAGTGCTTCTGCGTCCTGGATTTGCAGTGCGGCAGCCTCAGCACATTATTGCACTAAGCCCTGACATGAAAGCTTACATAGCCCTCTATGAGTCAGCTGAGGGCAAGGGCACATATATGCCATCATTTTCTGAAATAGTGGAAGACTTTAGCGAGCTACAGCCTACCTGTATCAGTGGCTCCTGTTGTATCTGTTACTGTCACAGAGAATTCAAGTTCTATGCTTTTGGCCCCGGGGTACCTGGAAATGAACTCGGTGGCGGCACTATACACGACATCCCGTGGAATCATCACTTCACCATCTCTCAAATTCAGTAAGAAATTCTGGAGATTTAAAGACGCTGGACCTGTGTTTTTCCTGGGGAAAACCACACATTACTTCTTACGTTTCACATGACTTAATGGAGGTGATCTGAGTAGAGTTCCAGCACGCGTTATGGCTGCTATCAAAACACTGTCTTTGCAGGTCTCTGGTGCTTGCTGCCAGAAAATCCTACCAGGTGTATGTGAGTGCAGGGTCTTCTGGGACGTAAGCTGAGAATTGCACATGCGCAGGCGATGACATTTTGCTGTGCACCGTGAATAATTTTTAAAACACGGTGCTTCACAATGAGAAAAAATAAGTGCGCATGTCGATTGCAACATGCTCTTGCGGGCTAGCTTTATGTGTGAGGCTTTGCTGCTGTCCTTGTGCAGCCGTACAGACGGAGCCGCTGGCGGAGAGCACAATGTCGCTGCATATTCCTGTTTCTTGGGGCACCTGCGCAGGGGTCAATATACTACAACCACATTATTGTTTGGAGAAAACATGACAACACTGAAATAAGCTGAAGGCACTTCAAATTGTAGTAGGGTGTGTACAGCTGGAGGACCAAACCATCTCTACGTGGTCGGCAAGGCTGCTCCACAGGGTACCCTCCAAAAGATGGAGAGTCGCACTTGGATCATGGCTTTTGGAGGAAGGACTGCTAATGTTGCTCCTGAGGTAGTGAATCGTTTTGCAAATGAGCGCAAATCAGCACATGAGAATAAGGTGAAAGTGCATATGCCCATGTACAACGTTTCTCACTTTCTCTGGTAAGCCTCTAACCATTAGCTCAGCTTGATGTGCAGTGACCTGCATACCTTTCCCGGCGTCCTCGGGCATATCAATCGAGGCAGGAGACGATGGGCTTTCTTGATTAGACAAAATGCCGAAACAGTTACTGTACGCCTAAAGTTGAAATTACAGGAAAAATGCAATTTGCATGCGCGAAATGTGATATCAAACAGGTAAGTAGGATGATAACGCGTTGAATAGTCATTGTAGCGTCCTTCATTAGTACTAGAATAATTTCGTGTACTACCAGTAGAACGCTGATGCATAAGGTGCGGGGCACCTGTGCATGGCCTTGGTAGAAAATGGCCACTCCCGTAGCTGCTAAAACACTCTTTCACGCTGAGAGGCAGTCAATGCTCATGGATATCCGGCATACACCGCTGGTAGAGCTAAGGGTAGTTGAATACCCAGCAGCGTCCACCAATTATATTCAAGGCCACACCTAAAAGTGCTGTTAGCTATATAGCTAAATAATCTAGCGAAGCGCTGAGTTTTGGTAAGGAAGTGCGCACGGAATTTGAGGGACTATGATAATGTTGGGGAGTCACTGGACGCGAATTCTGGCTAACACAATCTCTGCAGCGAAGTGATTGAATCATGATACACATATCTATCGTGGCACATATCGCGAGGCGAACAGGGCTGAGAAAAACGAGCTTAAATAGTAAAACGATCACTTAGAATGCGAGAGGCTGAGTATTAAAATGGCGAAAGAACGTTCGCACCAAACTGCATGGAGAAAAGTGACTGGGGGAGGGTATGCTGAAGAGGCGGGAAGGCGGTACCTGAAAGCGGTATCGCAGGTGCACTTTGTACTAATACGTAAATAATATCCCCGCTGAGGAACACACATCTATGGATGAGGATCTGTAATGATACCTACATATCGTCTAGACATGTGAAGGGGTGGACATCAAACAGGATTCATTGACAGGCTAAAACCCGCAATTGACTACCTTTAAAAGTTCTTTCCCCGTAAATCCAAGTCTTTTCCCCACTAATTATATATCCACACGTACAGAAGTCCAGATGGAGCTCCTTAGGGAAGGATTACACATTTAATGAGGAACAGTGGCAAGTCAAACTTGGTGACCACCTTGCGTAGGGGATTGAAGGGGTGTGCCTTTCAATCAAGATGGACAGGCACTGCCGAGCCCTTGAGCTATGAAGCGCGTATCCTACTGCACTAGCTCTAGTTAAGTATTTTGAAACATGTACTAACCATGCATTCTTACTAGAGGCTAAAATGTGGAAGTAAGAGCGCACCAAGTGGCCCTGTGGGGAAGCTAAGAGGCACGCAATCGAGAATGGTTTGAACTCTCTAAGCTTAGAAAAGTCACCATATTGGAGCTGGTTCGACATCCCTAACACTAAGTCTGCGCTCACCGCGAGATGAAGCAAACAGGTAATGAAGTACACGTAAGGAACCATTCTCCTCAACCGCCGACAAACGGTGTGGGTCCTTGCGGCAGTAGCTCTGATTCCCCACAGATCAGCTACGGGTGGAATTAGATAGAGGTAATGCCTTGAAAGGCTCTCCCAAGCTACGGGGATAGCGTAAGAATCACGTGCCAACCATCGCACAGCCCCGAAGTGGTGAAACCCGGTGAACCTGGTAGGAGAGCGATGTTCTAGCTCCTTTACTTGGCGTTTGATAAATGAGAAATGATGAAAGTCTAAACGCTATTGGAAAATTATACAAAACTGATAACGTGCAAGCAAGTATGGAGACACCCTTAAGCCGGGGCATGCAAACGGCGCTAGAGACACTGGAGACAACCGGAGACGAGTATTACGTAAGGTCATGTCCCACTCGCTGTGCCAATTAATGTAAAAAAAATACATGCCTAAATCGTGTATCCAGTAGAAACTGAAATGATATGGCCAATTGTTGAGTCGGCAGCACAGAAAAGGCTCATAGACGCGTGCATTGTTGTGGTAGCCACGACATGATAAGTGTAAACGGCTTGGTAGACTTCACGGAGTCAAAACAAGAGCCATTCAGTTAATAATTTCATCAGGCTCGAAATCAAAGTCTTAAAAGATGGCCATAAAGAAACTGGGGACGCAAATCTCGCGGCGTCGACTCGTGAGCCCATTTGGGTCCTCGGGGGTCAAAAAGATCTGCAGGCCACTAGCAACGGGGAGCAGGGGTCCTAGAGGACACACAATACCCTTGTACATGCCGTGGGAATATATGTGCAGAAGCCACACAAAGAAAGATTCTGCGCCTCCTGCACTCGTCGCCCCGGCATCATCATAGCTACTAGGTACAAATGACGAGCTGGATATCACGCTTCTACCAATGGGGCAAATATGTTTCTCCGTCAGTGTACAGATATACAAGGCAACATGGAAGCAGAGCACTGCAGGAGGTGAGCTATTCTGTCAATCCCAAGGGTGAGATACTCAATGCAAATGTGCTCGATTGGTATAAGACCATAATGCCTTGCCCCCCTTCAGGGTTTCTGAACCCATATAAGTATAGCTTAGTTCACATTTGGGAGCTATAACTATGTATATCTTCTCGCGGACACTTTTCGAATCAGCCTCGAAGATTGGGGGCAGCCAGCCAAGCGGACACAATCCTGTGTGCCCAGGTTACCCTTGGCAGGCATAGCATAACTCTTCCTGCGCTCAAAGTATTCTCAATCATGCAGCCCCACCGACGTCTAGAATCATTGCGACGCCCCCTAGAATCCATTTGGCTGGTGGTAGCTTTGTTCTCAGTTGGGCGTTGAAAACGAATGTCGGCCCGCGTTGCACTGTTAGATAAACGGGACAGATGTAGACGCTATTGTCATCGCGAGTAGCTTCAACGGATGCCTGAGCAATGACAACGCGAAATATGGATGCGCTAGAGCATTACATACATCAGAAATGGGTACCACTACCGTCCCTTGTTCACGTCTCTGCTTGTCCGCTAGACTCATTTATCTCCTAGTCAAGTTAGCCGCTTGCTTGCCTTGCAGTGAATTACAGGCATGGGAAAGAACAGCTCTTTAGGTCTTGATTCAACAAGGTAGCCTCCCTGGAGGTCCCATCTTGCCCCATCAAGAATGCAGCCGGTCACGAATGCTCCTGTAAAGAAAGCACTCCCATGTGCTACTGCATCCTTGTAGCCAATTAGCATATAGACGGAAAAGCAGGCATAAACTAATCGTAAACTCGCTGCACTGATTTGGTTTATTTATGTCCTTTTATCCCTGCTCCCTGTTTATGCCTCTCCCCCCTTCTCGGGTTTCGCCACCGCTCGTAGTGCATGGACAATGACAACACCACAGTTTAGTGCAAATTAAGTAGTTAAGCAGTGACCTTTTCACCATACAGCTAAGCTGAATGATAAAGCTAAAGTGAGCTAATCTTTTGTTGGCCTTTCGACACCTGATTTACCTTCACGGGCTGGAGCGTCAATTGAAGCAACGTCTTTTTTGCTTACAGTGGTGACTACACTGAGCTTGTTGAGCTCCAGATGGTGCTGCTGAGAACAAACTTCTTTAATAGCTGTAAGAAATGACTGCGGATTGAACAATCTAGAAAGATTTACGACCTTTGGCGTGCTGCTAGGGTCCTTAGTCCACTCAGTCAAATGCTCGTAGCGGAGCTTAACGTCTGCAATCCAGGAACCAAGCGGCCGGCAGGATGCAAACGACACCTGAGACCGAATCGAAGGTATTGCAAAGTGCTGTAATGGTACCATACACTCTGCCAAAGCTGAATGCGCTAGGCTCCTAACCGACTAGCAGAAGCAACACCTGGACACTGCAATTTTGTGTGGTCAGCGCTGGCATCTATGGGGAACACACACAAGTCAGAGGATTTCGCTTTTAAACTTGCTAGCACCATAGTCTGAGCTTGTGGTGATCCACCACACACAGACCATGAGAGTGGTCGTGTTAGGCAGATGTTGGTGCAAAAAGGCTGACCTTCATCCACGATGCCGGTACTCGATTCATGCGAATGTCATTGACAAGCCTTTCCATAGAGGCGGAGAAGGTGAGTTCCCCCTTAAAACCCATTTCTACCTCAACCAGGGACTTGTTCAATTCTTTTAATAAAACATTCATACATTGGCATTCCTGATAAGCAAAGCATAATATTTTTACTGTGGCGCAAAATACGATGCGATGTAAACCTGTGCTACAGGAATACTAGATTCTTCTGTAAGTCAACAGGGTCACAGGGTGTTCAGTTTTAAAGGCCGATAATTAATTTGTGGGCTTTGAAAGATAAACTGCTTCATACATTAGGGTGAGACCTGCTATGCGTGGTGCTCAAGCAGTAATGCTGCGAAAAATTATCTTTTATACCGCCAAAATTGCACCTGTAGGAAAACGTGCTGGTAGGGGCCCTTTTCTTCGTCCGGGATTGCCTGGCTTATGTCCTCTACATCAAAGCGAGCGTCTCCAAATTCTTCGAGGATCTCTTTGCATAGCTGCAGTTTACCGGAGCAGCCGCAAAGTGCTTACAGCAAGGAAGGCTTTGTAATGCAAGATTGTCTCTACAAGATCACTTACAGGTGTAAGACATGGGGCTGAGTCCACACAAACTAGCTTTACGAGTTCTTTAAACCTCACGCCCTTCCTGCTGGCTGCATGCACTTCGGCTAATGCGAGACGGTCTATATTCCAATAAAATAAAGGCCGGCACAACAAAGAGTCAAGGTATCAGTACTGTTCGAAACGTGATGTCCTTCTGTGAGGATCTTATCGTATTCACATTGAAAGTGCCCGCAAACCTTACAGGCTCGCTTTCGCTTTCATTGCCACCGCCTTTACTGGTTGTAGGATTTCCACCGGCCCCCTCTGACTCCATGAGCGTGTTGAAGAGATCTTCGCACTGCTGCGTGCGGTAACCAATCTCTGTATTCGGATGAAGCCCAAAGGCAAGTGGCGTCTCGGGAGGCATCGAGGCCACACATTCCATGTATCTGGCCAAAAACATTCACCCCACTAAGCACGAAAGCGGGAGTCATTATCGAGTTGTTAAGCAGGATTCGCGATATCAGAGGGCACCTTGCATCATCCACCCAGTAGTTTGAGACCGGCGCACCTTTCGTAGCTCTGAGCCGGAGGAGTTTTGTAGGAGGCTCCTTCGTATTGCCCACAAAATGGGAACAACTCCGCCTCGTCCAAAAGCCTATCCTGTTTCCAAGCGTGCACACGATAAGAGCACGCGAAATTACGTTTTCCCTCGCGTTAACAAGTAAAAAGGTTAACAAGCCCGGGCTTAGGAATTTAAGAATACATTGAACACAGCAATAGTTTCAGAGATAAAGATACCAGAGCGTGAGACGAACCACTTGCCTGCATGTAGAATTGGAGGTACGTATTGCATACCAACCGGTCCCTGGGGTCAATAATATGGCCACCATACATTATCTCTCCGAAGATGTACTTCAGGTCGTCCCAAGGCACCTTCGAGCTTCCCTGTTGCTGGTCAATGTAGTTCATTAAAACCATGGCAGAATCTCTCAGGTCACCCATAGAAAATGGATAATTCATGTTCCAACCTCTCGGCCCGAACTTCTTTCTTTCCAGCAGTACAGCGTGGAAGAAACACAGACCAAACAAAATGGCCTTTACCTGAAAATTTCCAATTGCATGATTAAGTTTCCAGGTGCAGCTCAACTTATTTCAATAGATGACTTCATGTAGGAAGACTGTTTTACAAAGAGGTAAATGCCTCGAGGCCAAGCAAATTTTTTACAAACCAAGGGGAATGTTAATTACCCTCAAGAACCACCCTCTTTAGTGTAATCGGCACCTTTTGATCTTTTTCATCGAAGTCGTCTTTAGGAAAGCACGCGAAAGCTCTTTTGAGATTGGCCTGTAGACCCTGAGGAGGCTCGTTAGTTAGTTTAATTGAGCGGTCTAGAATGCCAACAGGAATGTAGTGGCACAGTTCAGAAGAGAGAAAGCATCGGAAATTCGGATGCAGGCCTTCAATGGAAAACGAGTCAAGTTTCTTTTCAAGTTCTGTTGTCCATTTGGGCATTAAATGAATGTTCTGTAGAAGAACCCAATGACCTTCTTTGTGACCAAGATCCAGCTTTTGCATTGCCACAACATCTTGACCCTATAAAACGACAGCCAGGAGTTAGAAAAATGAGCCAATATACATGGTGAGAGAGTCAGAAGAAGCATATGTTTTGTGGTAGCACACTACTCGTTGAAGCGCCCCTATTGAAGAGGATAAATAATTATATAACCCAAAATGGTGTTTTCATTTGTCTTGAACTCAGAACTAGCCATGTGCTATTTTCTAAGAGTTTATGCTTCCTTTATCACATTAGCCATATCCTATACAATAGTGTTGGAGCTACCTGTCCCAAGGCGACGTTGTGAAGGTTAAAGTTTGCTGAATACCCCAGTTTCTTGCCCAGGGCTTCGATCTCTTTGACTGGGTCAGCACCCGGTGACAAAATAAAGAAAATGGGAGTGGTTGGGGCAGAGTCGCCGAATGAAGACTCTAAGATTTCATAGAATGAGAGTGCGGTGTCACCATCCAAATATTGACTCCCGTTAGGAAGCATCATGCGAATATAATCTGCGATCGCAGTAGTCAAGCGGTCTGGTCGTAGGCAGCGCAGCACCTGAGCACATAACAAAGCAGACTAAACTCGACCATTAGAGTACAAAAGGACTTTCCCAATATATTTACTTAGATGAGAAGATTTTCATACTTCGCGAGGTCTCCCTTTTCTCCAACTTCTTACAATCCCCTGCTTACTCCATCCAAAACGCCACAGCCATCCCTTTGATACCAGTCAGTCGTGTTATGTTATTCCGCTTGCACAGCAATCTGTGGAAGCGCATGCGGTTTGCTCACTACAAGCTTTTTGAACGGCATATTATCCAGTGCCTTCCACTCGAGCGGCAGCTTGATTTTTTCGGGCTGAAGCTCCTGGAACCATTCTTTAAATCGTGAGGGCGCATCTTTTTCCATATTCGTGGCAAAAGACTCGAACGCAGGCAGCTCTGTGAGCGTTTGCACGGCGTACCACGCCTTGTTGGGCAGCCAATCGGCAAGAGGATTTTCGGGCACGTGCTTTATTGGCCCCTTAAGCAAGAAATCCATCAGCTGTGGGTCGTATGTATCTTTAAGTTTTCCGTCCTTCAAAAGCTGGAAGGTCAACATGGTCAAGAATGCTAATTTATGTTTTTCGAATAGACCGCGCCTTATCCATGTAATAGTGGTGGCGCGAATTTTAGTTACCACCTCGGTGCACCGTTCTTGGACTGTTTCGCATGGTTGAGCCTTCTCTATCGCCTAGGGTTTCAGGAAGCCGCACAAACAACGAGCTGTGCTTCCTCTGATAGATGCATGCCCATTCGCTGAAGATCTATCCGAGCCACTCTAGAATCGATCAACCAAGTGACACTGAGCCCATTACAGTAAGTGGAACCATATATGGCGCGTTAGCAATTTTTCGAATGGTTTTATTAGATTTATTTCTAAAGCGCGATGCATGATAATTTTAGGATATAAGTTTTACCTAACTTCGAGTGCACACACACTCTCTCTCTACGTTGTGGCTGACCTTCTGCACAAACGTGGTAAACGAGTCCAGGGAGTACTGGTACATGGGATTAATGCTACGAAGTCGGGTGAGCACAAAGTACAGCATTGAGGCCTCCGATGCTGCTCGACGGTAGGCTTCACGATTCCTGTTAATTTGTTCTTCCCGCTCTTTGGCTGCGGCTTGCTGAACAGGCATAATCCAAGAATAGCAAGCCACAATTTAGGGCGAAGAAGTACCAGCGACCAGACCTTCACATGCTAGTGAGCAAGTAAATAACAACTTTCAAAACGATAGATCCGGCTGCTTAGAGGGTGGTCGCCTGCAGAGTCTAACGCACTCTTACGATTAACCGTCTTTGAACTGCCATCAGTTTGATGGGCGAACTGTCGGGGCATCCATTAATTCTAGCCTGTCTCATGTAAGCTTATGATAGTGCGGCCATGTACGTTTAGATGCCCGACAAAGCTCTGCTACAAGTGTCATCCACTTGCAGCTGACCTGTATGTGGATCTCCTTTGCCATCCGTTTCGTTTCCTCGAGGCTCTCGACAAGAGCAGTGTTACTAAGGATCAGTTCAGGGTTTGCATTGGAAAGTTCAAAGAGCAATCTGTCTTCAAGTTGAGCAAGGGTCACCTTGTACTCATTCTGCTTCCTGGTAAGCGCCTGCTTTGAAGTCTCCAGATCTGGCTGCTCAGCGTTGACGATCATTGCCAAGAACTGCTCCTCTAAACCCTCGGGCGTCACGGTGAAATTAACCAAAGTACATTGTGCGGCGATCTCAGGCTTGTAGTGAGGGTTGGGAAGCTTCGTTTGCAGTATGAGTCGAAACGCATCGTTAAATTCAACGTCTTCCCCCGCGATCTTTATGTACGCGGTTCTTCCCTAAGCCACCAATAAAACACCGAAACTGAAAGTCGCCAGAAACTACAACGCATCTGTAATGCTAGAAACCGCGTAGGGGTTAAGCAAATTCTAGGCAAGTTAAGGTAAAACGTGACTAAAAGCTCAGCAGTTTGGAATGTCCCCTTAATTTACGTGTTTTGCAGCACCTTTCTGGAAACACTTCGAGACAGGAGAGGATCCAGAATGGGATCAATAGCCTCTGAAAGGTTTTCGACTAGCAGCATATCCCCATTGCGAATTGCATCAATGGTTTTCGAAAGCCAGCGATCACGGTTGACTGAAACAGTTACCAAAGTTTCGTGAGCTCGCTGTTTTACCCAACGTATTCCTTGTAGTTGCGGATCAATCAGTAAAGGCCATCTGCAAAGCAAGTGCATTCGTGCACCAAAAAGACTTAAATCCAGATATAACAGCTCACAGCTCTACGGCGAAGCTGTGGAGGTCACATATCCCAAAGATATAATGATAATACCTTAGGCAGCATGTGACGATTGCAGCATTTTCGATGGAAGTGCGGTCTGCAGGTAACCCTTCATTCTTCCATAACGCGATATCCGCCTCATCAGCAAGCACGTCCAACGGGCTGACAGTTGGAGTAAATGAAATATTTTGTCTGACTAAGTCTGCTTTCCATTCCTCCTGAGTTCACCAGGCAGCAGACCCGGTATCTCAAGCTTAACCTAACATTGCGCTAAGCAGTGCTACAGTAGTGAGGTGCATACATCAGCCTATGCATAGCTGCATATCAACTTGTCTTATTTGGCAAAGACAAAGGTAAAATAAAGAATAGCTGTAGGACTTTCTTTTGATGCGAGGCTTGGAAGCAACTGCGGACCTCAAGGCCGACTCTGAATGGCGCGGAAAAGGCTCCAGCATATGATACGAAGGCGGCTCCAAGCATATAGTCGCCAACAATAGTAATCTTGGATGCTTCGAGTTCAGCCATAGAATCTGACCACCTAGCATTTTCGTCAGACAAGCCGTTCACAAGCCTTTCGGCAAGATCTAGTTTTAGTTGGCACTCTTCCGCCTGTTGCACCACGCCCCGGCGCTCCTCATCGGCTTCTTGCATCTTTTGTTGAAGCCGGGCAACTTTCTCTGAGTAATGGAAATTGCATAAGAAAGATATGCCCCTGATGTATGCATGGATGGGTAACTTTTGCCTCTCGATTCTGCACTGGGTGAATATTTTGCCAATCAAAGTCAATTATCAATAAGAAGAACAAATGATGAATGTAATACAGATTTTCATCTAGGATTTTGTAGCTACAAGTCAAACGATAGCTATTCCTAATAGGCTGTACTCTGGTACGGCAAATCTAGATTCATGCTCACTGCTGCTTATGTATCCATGTATATGCATGCGATTGTACTACGTTTGAAGCCACGGTACACGCTATGTATACGTGAGTACACTTGCCAACATGTAAGAAGCGCTGAGAACTACCCAATGGACCCACCGTTGATCTCCCGAACGCGTTCCATCACTTGAGCCAGATTCGAGTCTGCCTTTGCCTTAGACTCGGAGGCCTCTGTGAACCTATCCATAAGCGGCTTGACCTTACGGTAGATGGTGTTGTACGTGACAATATTCACGACCCAGTTTGCGAGGAAAGCAGCTGCTAGAGATTTGCCTTTCATACCCTCAAAGTTGAAAAATGGTTGAGATATAATCGGACTAATGGCGTTGACTGTCTCCTCTGTCATATTTTCGGCGTCGAACGCGCGAACCTGCAGCATCATCGAGCAGCGGCAATGAAGTCGTTACAGGTTAAACTTCTGGTTTTAAGAAAGCAAACTAGGACATATTTTGTTAGTCCCGCATTGTCCCGATTTAACATAGATTACGCTGTAATTCTTAGCGGTTGAAGCCTTCAATATTATCTTGAAGGAGAATGTTAAGTACTTTGAGGGTTCCGGAGCGCCCTCTCTTGGGATGCCGCATTTAGCATGAATTTCAGACTCGTATTGATGCCACTGTGGTCCAGATATCTACACTTTTAAGTGCAGGACCCCAATACAAATACATTGAATAATCTGACTACATGGTGTAAGGGCTTTTCTCCCCTTAATACCCGCTGCACACGTTTAGCGTATTGACCAAAGGAAGCTGCATTTCAGTGGAATATCAGATCTTTCAGGAAAAGCTACAACGACGCTGCGAATGTAGTGTGAAGCTTAAAAATGCAGGGTCAAATATGCTAAGCATGGAAAGAATAGCTAGATTATGTGGTGCAGTAATTATTGCCCCTGCCCTACTCAGTCTGACGAAATATCAGGTACCAAAGTAAATATATATTTCGGGGAGAGCAAGAGACTGTACCCACTATTCTAGATCCAATGCAAAGTTTTTTTGGACGGCGAGTGATTATACCTGGTCAAGGAACCTTCCAGGGTCGCTCATCATTTTTTGCGCTGCCTTCCACTCTGTGCTCTTTCCTTCTCCCCGCATGATTAGTACGGCTTTGGTAACTTCCAGGCACTCAGCTGGAGGCTTCTGTAGCGACTTCAGCTCCTGTATACCACGCTATTATAGCCCTATGAAATTTTGTACTGGTGCTCCCTTCCCCACTCCCTGTTTTGATCAGAGTGGCTAAGGTAATCTGACTTGCAGAAAGTGCAATGTCAGCATCAATCCTAGAGCCATCAGTACTTATTTTTAATATTTCACTATATACACGCATGGGTACCTGAATAGCTGGTTTCGTGAGGCATTTCACTGCTTCTCTGGCACGTTCCATAGCCGGCATGGCCTGAGACAACTCCTCGTCTGCCCTTTTCTGGATCTCCGCTGCTTCTTCACTCAGAGCATTAGCCTTATCTTTTTCTGCATTTGCAGTTCTAGCCTCTTCGTCTGCAATGGCTGATGCCTTAAGAACTTGTTCAACCAGTGCATCTGCTGCGGCCTTCTTCTCATCAACAACAAGCATTTTTTGCCTGAGATCTTCCCGCAGGCCCTCCACCTCCGCAGTAGTTTCTCTTAAAGTTGTCAAACCTTTTTGCAATCTCTCAATGGATTGATCGGCTTCTGCTCTCTTGCGGTTTAGGAACTGTTTGTAAAATGCAATGAGCTCCAAGAACGACTTCGGTGTTGTATAGTTATGACGTCGCTCATGTCTAAGGAATTTTTCATTTGCAACGTCTATGCTTAAGTGTACGTTTGCCATGTGTTCCGCCAACAGCATTCGTAACTCTGGTGCTGGCAGCGAAACATCTGCAAAGCCGCATGGGGCATAGGAAGTTTAAGGTAGGGGTATTAGCAGCTGGCAGGAACTATTCCTGCAATGCAAATCACCAAGCCGGATGCATTCGCATACACCTCGTAAGCACCTGAAACGGTGCTTCTTCTAGCGTGTTTACATTTTCAAGCAGCCTAGCTATCTTCAATAATCCTAAGGAAACGTTACAAAGTGCACCGTGTGCCCCTCGTTCCCACTTGTCCCTGACGAATTGGGCTTCAAAAGGAGCTAGATCTCGCTATTGGCACTAACCGCGCAGCTTAGCTCATAATTCCGAAAGGTTTCTATTTCCAGCGCACGTTGACTGCTCGTTGTCATGCAATGTCTCACCATTGAGAAATGCTGTCCCGGTATGAACCAGTGCATCACGCGTCCAAGGGTGGAACTGGTCAATGACAGTCCCAGACAGGAGCCCCGGAAATTTTCGAGCACGGTCGCGCAGGTGTCCACCAACAGGGGAGTGACAAAGTATTACGTGTACATTCATCTGCATCTTATCAATGAAAACCTGCCACATGCCTTCCCGGGTGTCTACTGCAGCCCCTTGTTTCAGCTGCTTCCTGCGCAAGGCAACAACGGAAAGGGTATGCCGGAAGTCAGGCCAATTGAAAACACTGTTGTAAGAATTTATTGCACAGGTGTTCCACGGCGACACGTTTTGTCTCGAAAACCTGCTATCATGTGCCGCATCATATGAATATGAGATGAACAACGCCACTGGTTGCGAAGGATGTGAATTTCATTGTGCGGCTTGCCTGAGAACTGAAAAAATGTGCTCGTATTCGTCCCGCGCGAAAAGGTCAGGGATGCTCCCAGAGGCTAAGAGGTCATTGACGTATACCAGCAACTGGTCGTCAACAATCTGTTGGTCTGTTAGCAACAGAGCATGGGGTGTTCCAGGGCGCACTAGAGCCTTATTCACCAGTTCCTGCAACATGATAGGCATTGTATTCTGAGGGACCCATGAAACAGCGATTGTGTAGCAACCAAGACACACAGCACACCGTGGTGAGTTTTTCGGATAGATATTAGGGCCTTGTGAACTGCGTTTCACACCTGCATATCAGCCTTAAAAGATGCACAATCATAATGCTGGCTGACGACAATTTGAAAGGTATCCACTTTGGAAATAAAGCAGGCCAGTTTGCTGAGGCTCTGCTTTCCACTACCTCCAACACCAACTAGAAGCGCATTGCCACCCGGAAGATCAATTATTCTACAAATGCGTGTCACATGCAGAATTGCATCATCAAAAAACACCAAGTTCATCTCAGTAAAGGATTGAGAATACTCTTCAAGTTTTCCTTTTAGGACATCCCGTAGAGAATCCATATTTTTAGCTGGCATGTACACCTGAAGTCATGCACAGAGACGCAGGTGTTCAGTGCTACCGTTTATTCAGTGCTATATATGGGGTAAAGGACAGATGGTGGATTAGTATCAGCTCGACCAAGCTTTATCTGGGCGGGATATACTCATGGCACTAAGTGCCGTATTATTTAAAAGGTAACACGTGTAATGTAATACCACACAGAGCAGATAGCTCCGAGGTGACGCTTTTAGGGCTACTGAATGTTGCGGCTTACGGGGTCGTGGCCCGAAGCCTCAGAGACAAAGGAGCTCATAACATTTGGAAATGCATGTATTTGCTCCCGATCTTGTTCTGGGAAGTGCTTTTTCACGACATCGGCCAAAATGTTGTCAAATACAGACATGTCCTTCTCACATATTAGGCGGTCCCGCAAAACTCTACTTGCCTCGTGGAGCCACAAACGAATCATCTTGAGACAGCCGTTGGCTATGTGGCGGTACATAGAGGGCGTTGAACGCAAGACGCCGTGAAAGATCGAGGAGAGGTCACGGAGGTTAAAAGTGTAGTGGAACTTCTTTGCCGAATGCAAAAATGCTGGTTCAGCGTGTATTTGAGCAAACAAATCAATTGTGGCCAGTATAATGGGCCGCTCCAGCTCTGACACTGAACTATCGAATTTCTGAAAGTGTTGCTTTAAGATGCTGCCGTAAATCCGTGTCATGGTCTCCGCATCAGGTTCAAAGCAGGTAATAACTGAAAAGTGTCTCTGCAGTCGTGAGCTAATGTTGAAAGAGCCAGCAGTGGGATTCATGCATCCCATGAACTGCACATCCACTACGTTCATTCTGTCTTCTAAATGGCTGCGGTCAAACATGCTTCCGTAATCCAGCAACTGTCGGAGGAGTTCTAATGGAGGCTGCGTGTCATATTTGTCAACAGATGGCATATTCAGGTCGTCAATTAAATACACAATGCGCTTATTTCCCACAGGTCCGTACGTGTGCCCTGTCCTGTGAAATTAAATGACGCGCATGACAAAATAAAAGGAGCGCCTTCAGTTCGCACTGGCAGTTCCTCGCATGGATATCCAAAGCAGGCAGTGAATGATTCAAGGCTCATATTGCGACCCCACCGTTTTTCGATATTTGATTCTAGAAATTTTTGAAGAGTACTTGAATCGGTGTAGGAGTTTAGGTTTATCGTGGAGCTCTCGAAGTCTGGAGGAAGCCGCCGCAGGAAATCCTGGTGCAGCATGGAGCACACACTGCTCGGAAGAAGCGACATGTAAAGCCAAGATAACCATAAGCATGTCGCATGAATATATAAATGTTGCAGTTTCAAGAAACTAACGATATCACGTCATACAACATGACGAAGGTCAGGAATTCGTGTCGTGGAATAGCAACTTTCACGCACCTTGACGATAGTAGTTTTGCCTGATCCACAAGAGCCTACAAGTAAAACTGCTCTCCCTTGTTTGCAAAGGAGCTCGCTTACGTAGTTAATGCTGTGTACAAACAAAAGCAATTACAAATGCTGCTCAGTTCACACACCGTGGAGGCAACGGCCATACGTGGCCTAGATGTTTAGAGCCCATTTTTCTAAAAGGTTGGAAAGATCTGACTTGAGAGCTTACCGAAGGGTGTCTGTGGTCGAGACAATGATTTTGTTGAAGAGCATGTTTGTGACGGGCTCATAAGGCATTAGGCTTGCGCTCCAAGGGACCCATTGGCACGATGTCTCTTCAAAAAAATAATCGAAGCAGAGGCCGCCTTCTGGGAATTTTAGCCTTGCGGCAGCCCTTAGCCAATTACTAAACTGGGCCCTTCACCAACATTCCAGGTACAGAAATAGCACAACATTGGGTCACATTAGGACAATAATACATGGATTGAATACTCCGAAGGTTTGCAATTAGGCTCATTGACGTCAGTGTGCTTCCGTAAGTGAGAGGGACTGGCGATCATCGCCTAAGCCCTTACCTATAGTTCACCACTTTGTCATCGGCTACGCACGCGCCAACGCTCCACATGAGGGCTGACAGAAAGTACCCTTCGTACGTAAGCTTTTGCTCATCCATGCTTTTGGCTTTAAAGGACTCGGCAGTAGCCTTATCGTGGCAGAGAAGGGCATTCACAAACGAACAGATACCGTCGACGAAGGCAATGTCCGTCATCGGGCAGACAAACTTGAACGTCCGATGGAACATCTCGATATTCTGAGGTATGTAATGCACATAAACAGAAGGGAACCAGCTGTGCATTCCAATAGTAGACGACCTCTTGGGGATGACTAGAGATCTAAATGATCTGATATATGCGCATGAAACTGATCAGTGCATAGGGAATACTTGTGGGCTGCAGACATTACCAAAAACAGCGTGCTCGCATTTCACCATACTGGTTCTGGTTTAGAAGTGTGTTCTATTTCAAAAGATGCTGTGTATTTAGATGCCGTTACAAGGGTGCGGAATGCGTGTCACTTACCGACTCAAAATAGTAGGAGAAAAGCAGGTAGAACTGCGATTGTGCAACTTGATCAGAGAGTGTTTCTCTCCAGGAGTCAACAAAAGGTTTCCAGCCTACATCCATCTCGTTGATATAGACAACACCGCCTCTCGACACTGTAGCGGGACTTGCGTGCTTCATGTCAGCGATTTCAAAGATCATTCGCATGGTCGGCGTGAACGGAATACGCTCATTGCTAACCAGAGTTAGCACCTATATACATATCAACATAGACAGCTTATTCTAAGACTTCCACGTATCATTCAGGACACCAGCGGATGTACGTGCATGCATAAGAACAAGCGAGTTTTCAGTGTGTATGGGGAAATATGAGCGTATAGATACAGGTGCAAATTCCTAGAGCATGCATATATTGCGTTGGAGCTTGCCATAATCCTTTGGTACAAGTGTGACATGACCTTCATAGAGGCCTTCAGAAGGATATCACACAGCTCGATATCAGTTATTTCTGCTCGCTGTTTTTAGACCCGCCATGTACCTTGTTGTCGTCCATGACAGTGTTCATCGACTCAATCCATTCAGCATCAATGTCCCCGTCTAGTACAATCCATTTGTGCAAATGAGAGGGCTTGAAGCCTCCGCGTTCCTTTGACATGTTGCGCATAATAACTGCAACTGCACCATCTCTCCATTCCTTTGTCGGAGTCATGTACCTGTGAACGTATTACTACAGCTCAGGTGAGGGTTGTGTACCAGTATGATGGGGAATATCTATCTTTTCTACCGTGTAAATTTTGATAAGTTCACTGGATCAGGGTCTTCATCGCAAAACACAGGAATAATCGCCGGAATTGGCTGCTGCCACCGCGCGTGCAACAATCAGAGCTTATGTGTCAGCATGTGCATATCTTCCGTAGCTGGAAAGCTTTTCCACGTGCTGACTTAGAGGTAGGCCTAATTCGATTCACATTATCTCTAACTAGAAACATCTATAGACAGCCCACCCGTAGAGTTCATTTGTGGATATGGCCTTCGGGTTCAACACCTCAACGGTACTGTCCTCTCCAATTGCCTTCAGCGCCTTGGAGAGTGTCTGCCAGACCCGCGACTTGCTAGCGCCGGGGGGTCCCAAGATGAATAGGCAGTGCCTCACCTGTGGTTACGCATCTCTATTAAACAAGCATTTCATTGGATCCACTTGCCATAAAATGTGCCATACATGGAATATAAACAGATGCTAAAGATTACCGTAATTGTGGCAAAAAGGCTTAGAGATAAAACTATTGGTGGCTTAAAGATATGCAACGGTAAAAGCTCGACACTACAGCAGACCCAGTGGTTGAGTCAGAGACTCATCACTTTAATCCCCAAGGATCCAGTGCCGCCATGGTCCAACATCTCAGATGCTTTCACGCTGCAATAACGTTCTGCCTCATCCAATGTAATGCTGAAGGGCATCGCACCTGAAGGACTTCACGGACTTGGACACATTTCAGAATAAATTGCTCTTCGCATTGCAGTTTTTCAGCTTTTGTGACGGCCATAACCACTCTCCAAAAATCTGCATCGCGTTTTGGAGGAGCTACAACTCCAGGGAAGAGGTCTTCAATTAGCCGCAGGAAGATTGGCTTGTCTGCAGCCATCACAGTACCCCAAATACCCACTGCGCTGAGCTTTCCATTATATCACGGGATGATCACACAGAATACAATCTTGAACGTCTCAAAAAGGGTGACACAGGAGTCTGTACATGCCTAGAAACGCATTGTCCGTCTATGGTAGGGACGATATTGGGTATGATGCATAAGTGGATGCTTGGTTGTGTCCAAGGAGGCAAAGTGACAGTTGCACAAAATAATCCACATCAAATCGCAAGAGATTCTTAGTCAACTTTTTCTCCGTTTCTGTGCATGATAATTCACCACATAAGGGGCCTATTGTTTTCTTGAGCAGCTCTGATGTCAGGTATGCTTCTAGGCGGCATTTCCAATAAAACGGAGGGTGAAGCAGAAAAGTGAAGAAGCCGGAACTTCAATCAGCGTCGCCAGACCTGTGCTTACCTTCGCTTGTGATTTTGGCAATGTTAAAATCTCGGAGAGCCCTTAAAAGAAGCGTATCTTCGTTAATATTGGGATCCGCTCTCTTGAGGGATCCTGCCTGCCTCAGGACTGCTTTTACTGCTCGAAGGCCCCAGTCGTAATGTATCGCATCAGAGAGAAGTGTCTTACAAAGGGCATATAGAGTCACGAACTTGTGCGCCAGTGCACGCGCAGACACAAAACCTTCCGACATCAGCATGTTCTCGCAAATAAAAAGCACATCCGGCACAATCATTGCACACGGCCTGCAAAAGGGCAATGCACAAATTAGGCTGCACCATCAAATGCAGTAGCACACATTACGCCACAATCAATGCGTATTACAACTAAAGTGCGGGAAAGCACGCTCTGTGCCTTCGTCCTTGGTCAAATAGGCAAGGCCCTCTCACCAACAAAAGTAAAGACCTTTATAATTAAAAATGCCTTATGCCCTTGATGTACAAAGGGACAGTGTTGGTGTGGGGTTGTGTCTGGCAGGGCGAACCTGAAGAGGGCTTTCAAGTTTTCTGGCAGCTCTGTTCTGCCTGCATACCCAGGGTTCATGGTAATGAACATGCCACAAGTTTGAACGAGATTTATTTCTTCATCCATAAATTGAAATCGCTTTTTCCCATCCTTCATAGCATCAAGGATACACTTGACCTGGGTCGAGACCACAGAAAGCACTTCAATTGAAATCCGGTTAAACTCATCAAAGCAGCCCCACGCCCCAGACTGCGCAAGTCCCATGAAGATTTGCGCCATGGACAGATAGTTCATTTGGTCCGAGCAGTTGAAAACAAAGACTGGCAAGCCAATAGCACGGCTTAAGTCCTTGGTCGTCTCTGTCTTGCCGGTCCCTGCTGGACCAGCAGGTGCTCCCCCCATCATGAGGTTCAGTGCCTGAGTCAGAGTGATGTAGCAGCGATCAGTAAGCGGCGTGATCACAAGGCGTCCGCAGTTGCCCACGAACTCGTGCATATAGGTGGTTGTCCAGTCGCAGATCTTAATCACACAGTCCTTTTTTGCCTCTCCAGGCTTTTTGATCCAATGGAAACGGAGCTGCGACTGCCACTGGAAGGAAGACGCTGAAGCGCAACATAGATGTATGCACAAAAGAAGGCACAAGAAGGACGAAGTTCTCCTGCGTCACGTATGCATGAACGCGTTTCCCACCAAACACCTAGGTTTGTGGATGCACCAGCTCTGAGAATGCTTATAAGTAGAGCACACCGGCGTACATATCCCTGCAGCTACTTAGAGGCTTCGTAGCAGACTGTTGAGCAACTGTTTATAACTCGAACCTAGAGTAAATTCGGCAGGTTTGCTATTCCTGTTCTGTTGGCCAAGCTACATTCAAATTTCCAAGAGATTCTCGTAAGCAGTTTTTCTATTCTTTGCATTTTTAAGTTGAATGTGCTAGTCCTGACCTTCTGAAACCTTTTTAACAATAAAACCTTCCACAATATCTCGCAGGTGCACATCGATGGTAATGAGGGTGATAATTTTGGTCCGCAGGTCTTTGCTAAGATCCTGCTGCACTTGACGAATAAGTTTGTCTATACGGTCGTCGTACACCCTTTTGTAGTCCTTCATTGCGTTTTCCGATCCTCCCTCAAGCTCTTCAAAACAACGGGTCACCTCCTCCGTCCACATTATCTGGCTTGCCACTAGACACACCTGACTGCAGTAGTCCCGAAGCCATTCTTCCCTGTCAAACAGCGCCAGCGGGTTTCAAGCAGACTTGCATAAGGTGCACCAGCTAACGCCGCATATATGTAGTGTACGCTGCTATGCTGCACTGCAGCTCACACAAGGGGAATCCTTGAACTATGAGGGGGTTGAGAATAATTCTGAGTAGTGCCAGCGGTGCAGCGTAGCACCCTGGCAAAGCATAAAGCGCCCCTAAGAATATTTTACCGGGGCTTCTCAACTTCCCAGTTCTCGGAGGTACCCTTCGCAGCTTCCAATATGTCACGCATTTGCTTGCGCATGTGCACTTCAAAATTTGCGAGGTACTGAAAAGACAACCAAGATTGGATCGACGCAGCGGCTCATAGGTACGGAGCAAAAGCAGAACATTGGCTAGAGACCAGCATGAACCTTTTTACTTCAGAGTAACACAATTCAAGTAGCATTGAGTTTGCAGACGATTTAGCTGTATCCAAAAGCGAATCCATGATGTATTCTTTGGTGAGTTCTCATTAGCGCGAAAACTAGTTCGAACAAAGGTAAAAAAGGTCAGATCCTGCCACTCTTTTAGGACAACTATCTCAGCCACGCGCACCGGCCTTTTATGATAACAGTACAAACACAGTGTCCACAGCATGATGCCTATACGTATGTTTGTTATTTGGTCACCTAGGAACTACAAGCCGTACAGTTTCCACAGGGCCTTCGATGATATAATCTTCAGGAAAGTGGACATACTCTCCCTCTTTGGAGTACATTCCACTTGCGATGCGATGCGTCTCAAGGTTCTTTTCGAAATTAAGCGCTGAGATGCCATCGAAGCAGTCTCCGAGATAGTAAGATACTTTTAAGGGGTTTGTGCCGTTTGCCAAGATATCAAGCAATGCCTGGTTTGACACGAAGTAGAAGCGAGCGAAGGCTTTTTTTTTTTGCTCCAAGTAATCTATTGCATAAAACGAAGCAGACACACAGAACTACGCGTGTAACAGTGGGAGCCCAATATCTTACCGCAAGCTGAAAAGCCGGAAACAAGCAACAAGGGTGCTCCATGCAGCTGGTTGCCGCACTTATTTTGCCCCCATCGCCGATGGAGGCGGCAACAGTCCACAATATTGTAGCTATGAGCGAGACCGGCAACAGTAATAATAGTTTTGGTAGCAGAACCAATGACAGAGCCAGTGAACTACGGAGAAGAGTGCAGGCAATGCCCAACAGAGTTATTTGAGGACTTCGAAGGGAACAGGCCACAAACTCTTGCAATGCCGTGTGCATATCCTTCAAACCACCTGCATACCTCCAAGGGCTTTCTCGCATGTGTCTATGGAGTCTCTGAGTTTGTTCAGGAGGTCTTCTCTGCCTTCGTGCTGACACGCCTCTAAAACGTTCGGCTGAGCCTGGGCCACGTACATCATGTCTCTCCATTCTCCATCGGCACATTCAAAACGTTTGGATTCCTCTGGTAACTGCGATCGAATATCATCTGACTGCATGAAAATGGGCTGCAGACGCTGAGAGCACATTTAACCGCAGAGGCAACAAGCCAGCGCAGCCGGACTCTTCCACAAGGAATAGCTCACTGGCAGAGTCTTATGTGGGAGCACAGTAGCACTCAGGAAAAGGACTGGCGCAGCGGGGCAGCTTCAGGAGCGCCCAAGTAAACCAGCAACAGCAAAAGCAGCACTGCTATTAGAGGACTTGGCCAATGACATGCGACTTGCCTCCCATTTGCGTTGTACCTCCATCCACACGGTTAACACGTTATCAACGATCCTGAGCTTAGACTGCCACTCCTCAACAGACGACCTACAAAAGTCGATAACCGCCCCCTGACTGATCATAGTCATGAGATCCACTGAGTGTTGTTCTAAAACCTCCACGATATCATCGATCGGCAGCAACAGCGGGGTATCCTCCCTCGCCAAGGAGAATTCCAGCATTGTCTTCCTCCAAGTGTTTGTGATTTCCGCAAGCTTTTTATCGATTCGCGCCTCCTTCTGGGCAAGCACCACAATCTCGGAGACGTCTGCCGCGCGTTCGTGCAGGTTGAGGTTCATTAGGTCTTGAAGGCAGAAACCAGGGCCTACAGATACAGGCATCCAGGTATGAGCAGACACCTTGCAAATACTGGTCATATTAAGGACAGGTAGAATTGTGTTGGAAGATCTATAGTCTTTCACATGCCATTTCGACATATCTGTACGAGTATTGGAGCTGTGGATGACTGGGATGCTTGCCACCGGGCTATTTGAAACCACAGACCTTTGGTAAAGGTCTGCCCAGCTATCGTCATTAGCTGCTTCCAGTGCCGGTCACGCATAAATTCAGAGTGCAGCTCTGCAACTAGCGGTAAGACCACCTGCATATTGGAAACCCTCTCCAGCACAGCCTGCAATGCAAACACCAAATACTGGGGGGCCCACATAAATTAAAATACAAACGCCTTTCCTTAACTTAATTTGTTTGACTCAGTCTTCAAATAAAGAGTTCTGGTCTGCCCACAATGTGGGAAAAATCCAGAGTAAAGGGTGAGCTGTATTGCAGCTGCTGATACCAACATGTGCTGCAAGCAAATTACTGGCAAAAACTTATTATCCGTAGGAAACAAGTCTCCGCTACTGCCACACTATTCAGTACCAAAATGCTTATCAGTGCCAAATGCACTCGTGCAGAGGGTCGAAGTTGCTTTATAGGGGCGAGTTGCAGCTTGCTTGTAACCCTGATACTGCAAATAGCCTACTGTATAAACTTTGGTGCTTTTGATTTCTTTAGAGAGGCCTCGTATATATATATTCATGTCTCTAATGTGCAATAATAACGCGTCGGAGTCTATTGTGTCCCAGAGCATTGCTTTCCAGGTGTCGAACCAGCTGTTGACGTAGACGTGTACGTCCCAGGCTTCCTAGAAATAACATCAGATCAAGATGTTAAGAATTGAAACAGCAATGGGCCCAGGATTAACTCACTAGAAGAGTGGGGATAGGTGGTGCTAGCCTGTAGAGGAGGATCGAGCCGAGATACAGAAAGCCGTCACATTAGATATTACGGTGTGGGCGAATCAAAAAACGTGTGCAAGGAGGGGTACATGCTGCTCAGATGGACGCTGGACATAATGGCAGTACGGTACAACTAATAGCTGGGAGGAATCCAGGCAGCCTTTCATATAAAGCAGAGTCGCCGCAGTGCATCGCGGCAAAAGGGGAGAAGGAAATGCTTAGCAAGCTGTTTTGGTGGCGGTGATAACTGCTGAAAAAGGCTTGGCCACAAAGTGTGAAGCTTAGAGCATATCTGTATAGAATCAAGGCCTTCAAAATGCAAGGCTGATACTTGCCTTTAGAGTTCTGAGGTCTTCTTTGGAGTCCTTTAGTTCCTTATAAACTGATTTGGCCATGTCAAATAGGGTCTCAAGGTTATTCAGCTCTTTAGCCACCTGCTCTATTCCAAGGCATCTGCCGTAAAAACTGTCGATGGAGGCGTATGCGGCGGATGCCCCTATGCTAGGGTTGAACGGAGCCTCTGACAAAAAACTTTCTCTAAACGCTGCGACCTCTGAGCCAAAGGTTTCGAGGGTGTTGCGAATGTTGGTCATTTCGGTGTTTTGGAGAGGCAAAATGGCTTCTTTGGCTTCAAAGGCCTTTCGGATTACATCTTCCCACTTCGACGAAGCAGCATCAAGCGCCTGTAGCCGTGCGTCAGGCACTGTACAGCCGTGCTTCCTGAGTAGCGCGACCTGCGGAGGGGGTAGCACCAGTAGGGAACCAGCTACACAAGCTGGACAAATTCACAGGCGTCACCTTACTCCAGTAGGCACAGCTTAAAAAGATGAATGGCGCCTTCACTTCAGCAACAAACTGACTGCCCTAGGTGCGACGCAAAGCACGAAAGGCTCTCCATAAGGGGCAAAAGCAGGACAGCTACCGTCTTCTCATTGCTGCGCGCTTCAGTTCACACCTGCTCATGAAGAGGCTCTAGGAGACGCTTGATGGGTTCACTGGCTATTTTGACGTCTCTGATATGCGTCATGAACTTGTACAATGCCTCTTTGTCTGGCGAGTCTTCACTGTCCTCTGACTCATTCGGGGGTTTGGTCGAAAGGAAGGTGTCCATGCGATTTATAAATGCAGTAACAGAGTCCGCGCGGGCGAGGCAGCAGTTTAACATGAATTCAGTGTAGGAAGACGCCCAGGACTTAGCCAGCTGACTGAGCTGTACCTTGGCTGGCTGCGCATTGATTCGCAGCCAGCAGATGTCCACGGGAGTCTTTAGTTCCGCGATCTCAGATCGAAGAGCTTCAAAGTAAGTTATCTTTTCGTCGAAGCATGACAACTGTGGTATCTGGGAAATGCCCCCAAAAGAATGCAGCAACCCGGCAAGACATTTTCTGGTGCACCGCAAACCCCAAAAGGACTTTTAGGTAGCGCGTGAGAAGACCATCTGGACTGGGCTTTTGTGGCTCCCACTGCTCTTAGTGATGAAAGTATTTGGTGAATTCAGGGTAGCTAGATGACGATCTTGTAGTGCGTTGTAACTGACCTTGCGTCCGAGGTCAACGCCAATGAGCTCCAGGACAGCATCTAGAGGCTCCCCATCGCTGCCAGTTACGGCAAGATGCTCGGAGGGCGACTCAGCGATGAATGCCTCCAAGTCATTCGCCAGGTCCTTCTTCCATAAGAACTCGTACTTTCGCGTCCCCTTCAAATACTCTAAGACCTTAGACTCGGTTTCTTCTAGTAGCTCTGTCAGCCGTGCGGAAGCGACCTAGCACGTGCAGCACCGCAACGCGAAGATCCAGCACAATCTGGAAGTGTTGTAGCTCGTACAATGACAGCGCATTGGTGGGGTTTCCGTGGCCCATAAAGTCGTCTTGGGAGGGTATGCGTTTATTTGCGTGTTCACCAGATAAGCGCATGAATCTCCTTTTCAGTTCGTAGTATACGCGTTAGCGCTTTGTTCGAAGGCAATCAGGAAGAGAGCTCACCATAAAGCTGTATGACTCCTTGACCTCAGTAATATAGTCCCCTTTCCCAGAGTCAAGACGCGCTGTCGTTGCAGCACTCTTGAGGAAGTCAGCCACCCACCCTTCCACCACTTTGCAGATACCTCTGAGGAGGAAAATGCATACACAGACAAAACGCCTTTACGAGTCACCAATGGCATAGCCCCTTGACGTGGGCTGCTAGGTTGTAAGGTAATGGTGCTGCAGGGAAGTGCCTTTTACACTATGGGGTATGGCCTGGGCTTAGGATGTTAAAAAAGCTTTGCACCCTTTTTCGTCACGAAAAGCCGGTACGAGGTCGATGCTACCGTTTACAAGCTCTAGCTTAACCTCAAAAAGAGGCTGAGCTTCTGGACGGGGTCCCATCGCTGTAAGCGAAAATGCAGCAGAGGATCTTCAATTACTGATGCATGAGAGCGGGAAAATAGGAAGGCAAGGATGTTAAAACTAGACGCAAAAAGTGCTCTTTGTTACAGGAGGTCTTCCTCCCAGACTGTTGTGGCAAGGCTTCTGGCACTCAGGCTGATACGTGACATCTGATCCTACATTCCTTCTGGTATTTGTTAGGACAGCTGCCAAGTGCGGAAGGGAGGACTGCTGCTTTTCTATTCTCCTTTCCACGGCGTGTTCTATCTGGCTTCCCGGATTCTTCCACTTCAAAAACTACTTAGCTGTATCTCCTATTCAATGTGCACCTAAAAGTAAAAAGCTACAAATTCTTTTTTCCAGCCCTGTCTTCACTAGCTATGGCATTGAGGTATTTGCTGAGGTTCAGAACGTTGGTTCACACAGCATGAGGGCAAGGTTTTCAGTGGGAGCTCTGTGCACAGAATCTACTATTCAAGTAACCAGTTGTTGTCAGGCTAATATGTGTAGTGCAGGGAAAAATGGGGCTCTTATACATCTGGCAGCTGAACATGCAGTATGGGTAGTATGGACCTTACTTGCTTCTAAAAGCTTGACCAGCTGACTGACTGAAGCAGAGGCCACAGCGGTAAAGCCTTCGCATACAACGGCGCTGACGAAGCTTGCATGTGCTCGCCACTGGGCCATCCCTGTAGGCACTTAGCAGTAAGGTCTTGTGGCGTAACATAAGATCACGTAGTTAAATAGAAGAAATATACCGGCACAGCCTAGAGCACGATTTCATGTACCTTCCCACAGGATTTTATTGGGGTCTCCGTAATTGTGTGCATCGTTTTGTGGTCCACTCACCTTTCGTGGCCTTTAGGGCTTCAGAAGAGTCTCTCAGGATTTTATGGAGCTCCTTGCCGTCTTCAGCCATCAGATGTAGTCTGTTAGCAATTGAACTGCGCACTACTTGGTCTGCGTCATCCAGGGCCATCGGCTTAGGCTTACGCTCAAATAGAGGCTTCTCCATCCAGCTACCCAGCAGTCCTGCAAAGCAAGAAGAAGCTGCCTTGAAGGCTTTCTAGTTGTTGTGCTACAACAAAGCATAAAGGCTGCTGGGCATGCTGAACGTGCAGCTGGCGCTGCACCTGCAGGGACCCTAAAGTCACAGTGGGCAGGAACATCACTAGCATTACTCCAGGCAAAGCTGCCATCGTGCGCATACACAAAACAAAGCCACAGTAATGATCGCGAGGCGGAGCATCTGCATCTACGTGCACCTCTACCCATGTATCAGTGGTAGATGGATACATCTTGTACAACACATGAAAGTCCGCATATATATGCAAGAAACACGGTGCACACTGAAGAGAGACCAGCTCTAAGCCTGACACATGTGTGATCGAACCAAATGACTTATGAAGGTTGGAAGTGATGGAGTCGCAGATTGTAAAGGCATCTGAAACCGCCACGGAAGCTTGAGCGATGAAGGCGTCAACACCTTCCGACTCCCAACTTAGTGTTGTAAGGCCTGGCTCCAGGGTGGCATCGATATTGCTCAGTCTTTCAGCTAGTAGAGGACGCTGATTAGGCAGTAAGCCAGTCAACACCTGATGACGCAAACTAAAATGGAAGTATGCAAACTTGGCACGCTGTTACTTGTGGGGCTTCACTAAGGAGCAGCGATTGAGGGGCACTCGTCGGATGTAAAGCAACAACAGGGGGGTGCCACCATGAGCCATGCAGAGCATGAAGCAGTAGCCAGAATGTTGGGGAAAGCTAGCTCGCTAAATGATAAAGTCCATGTCGTTGCTCGTTGTGATTTGGGATTCCCAGTAAACAGCGGAGAGAGGCGTACCCGGTTGTACTGGTGGCACAACGTCTGAAGGGCGCTAACTTGGACTCTGTAGACCTCGGCGCGCTCGTGTACGGCCTTCGCTGATGGGGGAACTGTAAGCCCCTGTAGCTTCATGTATCTAACCTCCCGGAGAAGGCCCATGAGCTCGGGATGGAAGTTGACACGCAACAGGGAGCCCTCCTGACGCTTCAGCAAGACGGCGCTTAGCCTTGCCTTTGAAGGTTCAACCTGGTTATCGCTCCATTCGAAACGCTGAAGAAAGATTTCGCCAAAGAAGAAAACTGGATTATTGGATTTACATTTCCAGCAGTCGGTGGAGGTCGTATTAATCTATAGTAAGGGTCCAAAGGCAATACGGAGAGAATGACTGGATAATGCAGCTAGGGGCAGCTCCATCATCATTTCAACGAACTCAAATTGCATAACGTGTAGATCCCGAACGCAGATGTATTAATGACGAATATGCACATTTTCACCTACGTTGACTGTCGGAGAACTAGAGTGGGAATCAGACGTATGTCACGGTTTAACTGTGAAAGGCATATGTATTGAGAGCTCTTCCGCATCCATATGCACACTATTCTGCACGTTCGAGGCTCTCTTGGCAAAAAGCATCCATACTTCCGTGGCAGGTGCATACTCTTATATACAGCAATGTTACACCAACGTCAGGAAGGGGAACGCATCACACGCAAGCTGCAAAAGCCGGATACTTTGTTTCCGATAACCGGCATCGATGGGTAATTGTACAAACTTTTAACACATGTATATCTGTCTCTAGCTAAATGATAGTATTTCCGTATTCATAGAGACAAAGCACCCTTATGTCTACGCACTGGCAAGTTAAATAACTAAACAACGCCTACGATTTTGCGCTGGTACTGTTCAATGCCGGCGCCGACACTCTCGCATTGTCTACAGACATCCTTGAGCTCCTCCGGTTGTTTCCCCAAAGCAGCCCCTAGTTTTTCAAGTCTTTGGAGCGGCTCCCTTAGTCTGCTGAGAAGCGATGCTGTCCAGTTGAGGGCTTTGGCCACTGGTGGTTGGTTGGTGAAGACAGATGTGACATCGTCACTAGCCCTGCAGCCCTCTAAAAAGATGGTATGCACCTGTTTTATCTCATTTTTAAATTGTTTTAACAACTTGGTGTACTGCTGGCCGGCTTCCTCACGCATGATGGGCCTTTCCAGCAAAGGCATGAAAGCATCAAAGAGTCGCAACCGAGCTGAGATCGTCCCGCAATCTTCAAAGCTCATCGCCAACACAGAAGCCAGGCGCTGTTCTATATCCTTCACTCTTGCCCTATAGGTGTGCATACAGTAGACCAGCGTATACAGATGTGAATACTCGCGAATTTACTGCTAAGTGTGTACTTTGCGATCTGTGTGCTACACCTGGGGATGTACAAATGCGCACATTTATAGGTACATACATATTTAAAATCATGCAACTACATAACACTTTGCTCCTGTAGCTACGCAGGGATTACACACACACAGATATGTTTGCGCGGAGTAAATATTGAAAACTTTATCAGTACAGATGTGTATGTACACTTCATTATGCTACAGAGGCAGAGCTCCTACGCGTACGGAACCTTTGCACTGCAAAGTACCGCACTTCGGAGACAGCAGCTAAGTTACACCGTAGTAGAGTGGGCGCAGTTCACGGAGGAAACTGAAAAGATGGCACCCTTTATCACAATAACGAGATAGGTGCACCCCTATCTCAGAGGGGAATTTCGTTTCGAGGCATGGGGAAATGCATGGCGCTGATGGAGTGTTTATGAGACCTGAATGCCTGAAAGTGCTTATCGGGCTTCTTGCAGTCTACACTGAGAGGATCAAAGTCGATCTGCTGAAAATTATCCATAGCCTCTTTGAATTCCAAGTGCAAATTCTGCACGCTGGCAGATAAGGAACTGCCTGGTTACCGTACAAGTACACAACAAATAGTTCCGACCGATGCCCTTCTTGTGAAGTCAGAACCAAATCAATACTACTTGCACAATGCATGCCTTGAGCTTTCCAGCTGCACCGAACCCCAAGTCTGCCCAGGTTGAGGAACGAGAGACGAGAGGCGGCCAGGTGTGCAACAAACCCCCAATGGCGTGTGCTTTTGTACTCCACGTGGAAAGTCCATTACCCACATCGTATGCCTTTCATTACCTTGCAGTGACAGCAATATTCAGCGGCTAATAAGATGCTGATCGTTTACCTTTAGTGCCACAGATTTCAATCTTTTCCAGCTTTGAGAACTGCTGAGCTGTGGTAGTCACTGCACTGAGCGCCAAATTGCGCTCTCTGTAAGTGTCAAGCCGCAAGAATATCACTTCTGCTTTCAAGGCCCAGGAGCAACCCTCTGCTGCAGCTCGCAGGGCGTAGTCCCCATACGTGCTTTTTAGGGAGTCACAAACCTGAACCGTGAGAGTGACGCACTAAAGACACAGCGCTCCCTAACACCTATGCTGCCACATAGCATTCTTTGAAGCAAGCTTGTAGGGTTACACGCCCTTAGCCCTGCCATGCTTTTACAACAGTTAACATCAGTTGTAAACATTGGTACAGGAGAATAGCGGAATGTGTATTTCAGTGCGTGCATTACCTCCAAGGCAAAGGCGAGCTTCTCAAGCGCTTCCTTGGGCTCTTCTTGCTGCAAGAGCTTGAATACTTCCTGGCCAGAAATATAGCGCATGGCTTGCCTGACTACTGCGTTGCAAATCTGACGAATGAGCACCACAATGCGGGAGAGTTTGTTGTAAAAGCTGGAATGTTGCCAAATTAGCAGAATAATTTCGAAGATAGGTTCAAATGTCTCCAAAACAGTAGACAGCGCAGCGGTCTCATCCGTCAGCTTCTTTATCCTGAGCAGAACAAACAGCATAAATGTCTTTTCTTCTAAATGAGTTGGTACGGCGCTCGGCTGAGTGGTCAACTTAAATTCTACAGGAGGATGCACAGTCTTAACTCATCATGCCATCTGAGAGAGATATATTGTGGAGAAACCGGAAAATAAGGAACAAACGCAGGAATAAGAGAAAACAGATTAATTGCTTTCCTCACCACGGCTGGAGGACTGCTAGATATCGTGCGTTTTCATCAGCCTCCTCTCTGGCCGCTTCGACATCTTGTCGTAGGCTCTTGAAGGCGGGCATATAGGTGCTGCTGTTGTTTTCCAACACTACACTAGCTTGCTCCACAAAGGGTGCTTGCAGCTGCTCACTCAAACCATGTAGTGCAGTGGCCCGTTCTGTCCAGAAACTGATCTCCTCATCGGGTTCCGGATTGCGTCCTGACGAAGATGCAGAGCCGCAGAGAAAGCAGCAACTCAGTACCAGCGGACACTGGATTGCCAGTGACGTAAAGACAGACGCATAATAGAGGTTTCCTGTGCTGGTTATAAATAAATCCACTTCAAAATGTGTGTATTCGCTTGTGCATACATGCTCATTCACGCATAGCTGGCGCATGGCGTGCAGTTAATCGTAAAGTAGCTGGGCACGTGTTTATACTTTATAGAAGTACACATTATCAACGTTCCTGCTTTGAATGGAAAAGTAGATCCAAGCCGTATGCTTGGCCTTATGCGCACACAGTGTTGGTCGGGATATTTGGTGATTCTTTCTTTTAAATGATCGGCATTGACGTAGATGTTCGGCGCTACCATATAAATGAATGCCTAAGCCGACCCTCCATTGCGTATTGTCAGAACGACCACTGTGCATAATGTTGTAAAAAACTAAGATAGAGGGATGCCCCAATACCTGTAATAAAAGTACCCATCCAGGCCTATATTCATATGCTACACTCCTGACTTACCCTCTACTAGCGGCTGCCCTGGATTGCCTTCTAGGACGCCTCTGATTTGCTTCATCCACAGCAGGAGGCACTCTTCGTAAAGATGCACTCTCTCGGTGTCGGTTATGTCCCCTGTCACCGCCTCCGGGGGAGCAGGCAGAACCACTTGCCCACTGATTGCCCCTGCCGTTACTTGGAGCCTGGCCAAAAAACTACTGTACTTCTGCAGTATTTCTTTGCTGTTGTAGGCAACAGGATGCAAGTCGTCCTGAATGCACACGGCTGCTTACCTATTGCTGTTTACGCCAGAGCACTAGCCAACCACGGGTATGCAAAGTTGCAGAGAGCTACATTATACAATATTTTGTTGCAAGCCAGCTAACACAAGAACATGTAAGCTGATTCGCATGCCTCTGCTACTGCAAAAAATGTAAAATGGCGCAGTTCGTGGATATGTAGGCACCAATAAGACCTCGTGAGTGCACACGGCGGCCTGTCCATCCCATTTGGGGGAGACCGAGCCATCTACGCATACATCATACAAGTTTTGTATTTGCTCATATATGCTATCATTTGTGACAAGGAGAAAAAACAACCTACGCACGTCTCCACCAGCCTAAGTGGCTGCAAGCCCCTCAGTGTGGATTCTCGACAAAAGGCACTCAGGTGCCTCTTGGATAGACAAGGGGTTGGTTTTAGATATACGTTGCACATTCCTTTTTCCTGACTTGACTGAATCCACTTTAAAGATATTCTGTGGGGACTGACTCTTTTGATGAGCTGACAGAGTGATTGTAGGTAAATGTCTTTGCAGAGGAGGCTCATTTGTTCCAACATGTTGGGGCACACCTCCATCGTCATCACGCATCTGCTCACGTTGGCCTGACAAGTATCATTCACACACGCAGACAAGAGACATGTATCTACACATGTAGTGTGCGCTCTGTACGTACGACGCAGCTATTCTTGCTTGTAAGGAATACTGATATAAATACGAAACGAGGGCGGGAAGCAAATAGCAACAATCCTGAGAAAGCCATGGAGCGAAAAGTATATATGTATAATGTAGTGTATGCAACACGCCAGCGAGAAACACATCACGCCGTTTATATGTGGATATTGCATTGCCGGATGCGAACCGTTTAGGGGGAATACTTGCAGCGATAACTCAGCAGCTGACTACACTTGACTTACTGAATGCGCATGCTGCGCAGCTGGATGCAAAAGGAACCGAGCGAACTACAGATTAAGAGCTTGGACATGCCATATATGTATATGTCAACTAGCATCGAAGACGGTTATGAAAATAGACTACAGATGCCGTGAAATGCTGACGTGTCGAGACGGAAGCATTCATCTCTTTACGCATTATAGTGTATCAGCTTTTGTCAAGAATCGAAACAATTAAGTAGAGCAGCAGGTACATGAACATGGCATTTTTGCATAAATAAGCATATACGTGCAGCAAGGGGGGCAGCCGCAGCACTTGCGCGGTAGCAGACGCACAGCTAGACACAGCCCTACGAAACGTCCTACCATTGCGTCCTTGCCTACAAACATTTCCAGTACTAGAAGTGGGAGCGACTGCTGGAGACGAGAGTACTTAAGCCCCCACGCGGCAGAAGAGCATTGACTAAAGTGCTTTTTACAACTGGCGTAAGCAGCCGCCACACAATTTATGAGTTCTCGTTGACCCAAAAGGTACTACAGCGGATTTCGAAAGACTAAAAGAGCGAAAGCAGTGGTGCCAAAAGGCAATGCACCAGCAAAAGCACAGTACGAGCAGTCGGGGGACCAGTAGCAGCAGCTGCAGTAAAAGAAGCTTACAGGAGTGATCTCGACCTCGCTTTGTATCTTCAGCAGTAAGAAGGCTTTTCGCTTTCCCCGGAACAGCGGATGCTGCAGTAACGAGGCCGTGGCTGTCTCATTTGTACTGCCCATCTGAAACACGAGTGGTGAGGTCTCGCCTCCTGAGAAGAAGGCACGCGCTGCCCGCCTGCATAAGCAGACAGACAACATTTTAAAGTCCCCAATACCTTCGTCCTTTTTTGATTGCGTGAGTGCCCGTGGCTATTTATCGGATTGCGGTGCTGTGTGCGGGTTTGTGTGGCTCTCTGTGCTTTCTTTTTGTGCCTGTGCACATAGCGTATATTACAGTGCAGCATCGTGGTGCTATTCAGACGCTGTAACAGTGTCGGCCCATCAACATAGTAGTTAGCACAGTACACATTGATGCGTACACACTAACACGCAACCCGTGAGCTTGGCGTTCCTTTTGAGCGCGCTACACTCTGTCTCAAGTGATGCCCTTCAAAGAAAAATGACTGGCAACATAGATCTCTACGGGAGCCTTGCAGTTAAAATCCTGTTCATTGCCTCCAAAGGGTATTTTTGGTGATAGAACAGTTGCCGGTCCATGACCAGGGCACATTGGCCAGCGGACGCATCCGAGTTTTAATGGACTCGGGGATCATATAGGGCTGGCTCAAGTATTTTCCTAGCTGAGGTACCCATTGGTTAAACTACGTGGGAGTAGAGTAGATCTGGTAGAGAGATTGCATTCAAGGGCTTTGTGGAGTACAGCACGCGTATTGCCTGCAAATTTTTCGAGGGAAAATCCAGATAGAGTGCCCCCTCGTGATTTGAACGCGTAGATACATTGTCTTCCTAGCTGTCAGCAAGTCGATTGGCATTCTAATTGTTTGGTTTGATATAGGGAGTAGGAATAGCGGGCTGTTTCTGTGTCGCCCCTTCCTCTGCCTAGCTTTGCTGGAACTAACCATATGAAATCTAGAAATCGGGTTATGACTAGTTTTTGATGTGAGTGTGGTCCTCAAAGAGAGAGTCCCTATCCGAATTCCGACGCTTTCAAATACGCATGCTCAGGGATATGTACCTTTTTTCGGAGTGCCAGCATGAGTGTACCAGCATGCATTTCCTGTACAGGTGCTCTTTGCGTGCATAGTGTGGCTTTCATTTGTCTGAGATTCAGGAACTGGTGCGCTTTTTCTTACATGCTGGTTTCATCGGACTCGAACGAGTTCTTGAACTTATGCCAGGCCCCCTGCTTTGTGCCAAAGGCCGCAAAGGCCCTCTGAAGTGCCCATTCCACCAGAGGACTCCCCTCCTTTTTCTCCTCCATCATGACGTCAGGAACTCCCTCAGAGAAAAGCACAAAGCAGCAAGGGAACCTTAAGCTGCCGAAGACTAATTACAGTAGGTGCTCCAACGTGTGATGGCGGAACACTTCCTCCTGCGTGCCAAAGGCGCGGGACTGAAGCTGGATGCGCATGTACTGCGGGAACGACTCTCTTCATATATACAATGAAGTCTGCGTGAGCCTTCTGTCGGGGCTTCAGGGCCGCCTGAAAGCCGACACCTGTTCAGACTGCTCGAGGGTCGCCTCAGACATCCGGGCCCGCGGACCCCTAAAAATGATACAGTCTTTCTAAATCTTTTCACATGTAACGACGTCTGCTACTGTACATACAGGCACTGCATCCGGGACAGCTTGTATTGCTACGTCTGCTAGGTGGGAGTCGCTGGTGGGCAGCTTCGTATCAAAGACCCACCAGGCGGCTCTTCGGCGATCCTATGGATCTCTGTAGATTCGCCTGAAATCAGTTGTATCAAGAAGCCTCCCATGAATCCACTAGCAGCAGTATTACGGTAAAAAGGCCCAAAGTGACCTCGACCGTCAGATGCATGCAATCGCGTGCTTAAAACTGTTTACCCCTTTTCAACCGCAGTGCTCTTCCTTTTGAAGCACTACACACCATCCACGTCTAGCGTGTCCAGAAACCGTGAACCAAGGCACGCCATTCTGCAGCTTCCTCAAGGGAACTTACAGGGGCAGGAACCACCTGGGGCTGGGGTCGGGTGTTTACTCTCTGGGGCTGCAGCAGTGGCGGGGGTAGCGGTGCTCTTACCGCTGTATTCCGTTTCATATTGCTCTGTGTCTTTTAAAATAGTAATGTTATTACGGGCACTAGATTGTTTGGTGAAAAAACAGAAGCGAGGGCACCGGACTGTGAGCCCATCAGAAATAGGCGGGGGGCTGTCGGGGGGTGAGCCGTCGGCTGCGATGAAGACCGTGGCATGCTCCCCTCTGCACAGCGGGAGCAGCAACCACGGCGGTAGCAAGACCAGGAAAATCCAATAGAAAAGCCGGACAGAGCAGGCAGGCAGGCTTGATTCAGAAGACTGCTCTGTAGTCTGAGTGTGCTGGAGCTCTCTCGCACGGGTGCCGTTGCTGGGGATGATGGCCTTAATCTGAGCCCCTCGGATTGGGCAGCAGCAGCATCGACTCATCAGTATCGAGAGACTGCTGGAGAGACCAGCAATACTTGCAATGAATCAGCAAGAGGAGCAAGTGTTGCCTCAGCAGCTCCAGCCGCAGCCTCAGGAGCGGCACTCAGCTGCGCGGCTGTCCGCTGGCAGTAGTAGAGTCATATGTGGAAAAACATTTGCTGTTGCACGCTCACGGCAGGCGCAGCACCGGCGGCAGCAGCATGACTCTGAAGAGGATGAGGAGGCTCTGCTCCTCAGGTTGCAGCAGAAGCGCATGCAACTAAGGTTGCAGCAGCAGCAGATCCTTGAGAGGCTGGCTTGCAGAGAAGACACGCAGCGCTCACAACAGCCGCCGGAAATACAGGAGGAGCCACGTTCACAGCAGCTGAAAAAGGTGCACCAGCCACACCACCAAGCGCTCCAAACGAAGCACGCAAGGATAGAAAAAGCGGGGTCTCTTGCTTGTGAGCTGCTACCTTTGAATGTACAGCAGCAAGACAACCCTGATGAGCTTCATGAGACGCCTTTGCCTGACTCTTCCGATGCTCAGCAAGACTTCCTGTCACGGCATCTGCCCAACGAGCTGCTGCGGCGCAGCTCGCAGAAGCAGGATAGTCGGGAAGGTGTGCTACTGCAGGCAGCCATGAAGCAGTGCCGCAGCGTAGGAGACGAGTGCGATGCTGCAACCGAGAAACAGCATCCACATCGGCAAGAAGAGTCGCAACAGCAACAGCTCATGCTTCGGCAACTGCGCATGCAGAGGCTGCAGCTGCAGATGCAACAGAAGGCGCTGCAGCACCAGCTTGACAGGCAGGAGGGGCAAGAGGAGTTCTCTGAAGAGGAGCTCTCTGAATGGCAGCAGCAGCAGCAGCAGCAGCAAACGGTGACGACTCACAAGCAGCAACAGAATGCCACATGTTCCCAGCGACTCCTTGACCAGCCGCTGCAGCAGGAGCTCCCCTTACAACCGCTGCGCTACCCGCAGCTGCGGCAGCCACTTAACAGTCCCCAAGCCACACTTTCAAACACACGTCTGACACAGCGACAAGCGGGGCAGGAGCAGCAGGAGCAGCAGCAGCAGCAGCAGCAGGAGCAGGAGCAGCAGCAGGAGCAGCAGCAGCAGCAGGAGCAGCAGCAGCAGCTCTTAGACCGTTCTTTGTACCAGCGGCTGCGCCAGTTATCGATGCCTCCGTTGAAGCAGCAACAGCACCAGCAACAACAACAGCAGCGGCAGCAGCAGCAGCAACAACAACAGCAGCAGCAGCAACTGCAGCAGCAACGGCTGCAGCAGCCCATGGCGCCTCGTCACCTTCCGCGATCCTCTGTGTGTGTATCACTGCAGCAGCAGATCCAGCAGCAGCAACACCAGAAAGAGGAAGAACGCAAACGCAAGGAAGAGAATTTGAGGCGTCTTTCCGAGAAGAGGCGCTTGCGGCTCGCGCGGCATCTGCAGCAGCAGCAGCGACAGCGGCAGATGCAGCAGTGGAAGCAGGAGCAGGAGCAGAAGCAGCAGCACATCCTGCAGCAGCAGCAGCGACAGATGCCGCAGCGGATGCACGAGCAGGAGCAGAAGCAACAGCACATCCTGCAGCAGCAGCAGGAGCAGCAGCAGCGCCAGATGCAGCAGCGGGAGCAGGAGCAGAAGCAGCAGCACACCCTGCAGCAACAGCAGCAGCAGCGACAGCGTGCTACAAGGCTCACGCCAGCATTCCCCAAAGCAACCCAGAGGGACAGAGCTCTCTCCGTCTCGCGGAGTAGACAGCAGCACAATAAGGTGCGTCAGCAGTTGCATAAACAGCGTGGCTTGGAGCAGGAGGAACGGCTTTCCCACCCATCACAGCCGCAACTGCAGCAACAGCGGTCATCACAGCCATCATGGCTACATGCGCAGCGACAGACAAGCAGCGAGAGCAACCCTGCTGCAGTCCTTCTTTCTGCTGCAAGGCGGCAACTACAACAAGACGCTGCGCTTGTGCTGCAACGCGCGTGGAGAGGTAGGCAGGCTGGTTGCAGAAAGGGAATTCAGATGTTTGCGTTCGAAGAGGCGGGGAGTTGTTGCATCGATTTTGCGGGCTAATGAAGCTAACGGCTTGGGGGTTTGGTGAGTGCTTTGCGGTGCGTCAGGCTTTAAGGAGCGCAGTCGTCGAGCAGCGGCAGCATCAGTGGCTCCTTCGGCTTCTGATGCAGCGGCAGCAATATCAGAACGGCAGCGGCGACTGCCTCTGCGACGGAGACGTCTGCTGCACTCGCAGCCTCCCCAGGGACTGGCCTTAGCAGCGGCAGCGGCAGAAGCAGCAGCAACAACAGCAGGAGGAGTAGGAGTAGTTGTGCGCGAGAGAGTTATCGGTTACGAGAAGAAAAGGCAGCAGCTATTGGACGGCCAGAAGCACCAGCCTCAGAGGGAGCAGGTGCAACAGCAGCCAGATGAGGAGACGCGTATGAAACTCGCAGCAGCCAACTCGCTCGATGCGCTCATCAACAAAACCGCGTGGAGGCTGCAGCAGCACGCTTTGAAGCAGCAGCAGGAAAGACAGCAGCAGCACACTTTAAACCAACAGCAGGAGCAGCAGCACACTTTAAACCAACAGCAGGAGCAGCAGCACACTTTAAACCAACAGCAGGAAAAACAGGAGCAGCAGCACACTTTGAAGCAGCAGCACACTTTGGAGCAGCAGCACGTGGAAGCAGCAGGCGCTCAGGCAGCGCTACCAGTCGCCGATGGAGTCGATTTTGACAGCTTCGGCAACAATAGCAGCGCTGCTACTGGCCCTGTGTTCTCTGCAGCGTTGGAGCTGCAAGCAGCACATGCATACGTGGAAAAACAGCAAAAGCTGGATGGTTTGCTGCGGGAGGTGCTGTCTTATGTGCGGGAGAAGCTGCCGACGCCGTCACCGCAGCATCAGCAGCAGCAGCAGCAGCATCAGCAGCAGCATCAGCATCAGCAGCAGCATCAGCAGGCGGAGAGTTACCTGAGCACCCCGAGGGCCACCCTCTCGACGCTTCTCCCGCTGCAGCACCGCAGATCCATTGGATATGCCAGCAACGCATCGTCAGCAGCAGCATCAGGAGCAGCACAGACAGGGGATGACGATCGGACGAGGAGCTCTCAGCACCATCCTGCGGAGAACGCCATGCCGCAGCACGGCATGCAGCATGCGCCCGCAGCAGCGCCGACAGCGGCTAAGACGTTGCTTCTCCCTCCGCCTCGCAGCACGCTTGAGTCTCTGCGCGTTGTACAGCCGCTCCAACATGACATTGCGGCAGCAGCCGCTGCAAGAGCCTACCTGGCATCTCCCCGATGCAGCATGGAGTCGCCGCGACTGCTGCCTCACCAGCAGCAGCAGCAGCAGCAGCAGCAGCAGCAGCAGAGAGCATCTGCTGCTGCTGCTCCCCCTTCTGCCAGTCCGAGAAGTCCACGTCCTACTCGCTACCCTGCCGAAGCAGCTGCAGCAGCTGCAGCCGCTGCTGCAGCTGCTGCAGCTGCACAGCAGCACAAGGCGCTCACGCGTGGGGCCTCCGCGGAAGTGGAGGGCCTCGTGCATGCAGTGGTGCAGGCTGTGCTGCAGCAGCTGCACCCTGCTGCTGCTTCTGCTGCTGCTGCTGCTGCTGCTGCTGCTGCTTCCGACGCTGCCGCAAGGCCGGCAGCAGCAGCGGAGCCGGAAGTCTTGCCGCGAGCGACGGCGTGTGCACCGGCAGCGGGCTCAGCAAGAGCATCGCTCGCCGCTCCACCTGCATGCAGCGAAGACGGCAGCAGCAGCGGAGACAGCAGAAACTGCAGCAGTGCGACCGTGGCTGCTCGCGTGCCGCGTTTTACCCTGGCGCAGATGGACAAATGTAGAGAGCAGCAGAATACCACAGCCTTCAGCGGCGGTTGGGGGGAACTTTTGTTGCCTGATGATGTTTCCCCTGCTACGTCTCCTAGTGCGGCAGCGGCAGCAGCAGCGGCAGCAGCGGCTGCTGCTGCAGTGTCTGTTGCGGGGGGGTCTGGCAATGCTGCGTCTGCCAGTGTTGGGGAGGCGGTTGCTGCAGGTGATATCCATGCTGCTTCTTCGTCTACGCCTCCCTTGGCGGATGGCGTGGCAATAGCAGCAACCGAGAAAGCAGCAAGGAGCACAGAAGGATTCGTGGAGGAAGCAGCGTCTTCGTTAGCTCCTTCAGCGGCAGCAGCAAATCTCGGATCCCCAGCGCTGCCATCAGCTGAAAACACGGCAGCGAGTCCAAGAGTATCGCATGCACACGTTTCATCTGCAGCGGCATTGACTTTTGCTGCCGCACGACACACTCAGGGAATGAGTGGAGAACGCCCTGCAGTTACGGCGACAGCAGCAGCGACTGGATCGGCGGTTGTCGAAGCGGCCAGCTCCGCCAAGTCTGCCTGTACACCCGAAGCTGCAGGAGACACGCATGTCTCTCGAGGGCCTGCCGAGCAGTCTGAAGACTCACCGATGCAGCAGCAGCAGCGGCACCTGCAGGAGCTCAAAGCTCGAAAACAGGCGCACCATCTAGCGCAAACACATCAGCGACAGGGGCACTCGAGGCTGCACGCTGACCAGTGCAAGCTGCAGCAGGAGCACGGCCTGCTCAGTGCGCTGCCGAAGCTGCGACACCCGGCAGATGCTCACTGTGCAGATACACCAGCTCCCTCCCCGCGGCAGCAGCAGGAGCACCAGCAGCAGCTGCAGCTGCTGCTGCACGGCGCTGCTTCGCGTGCTGCTGCTGCTGCCGGCGTTCCTGCGGCTTTTGCTGCCTTCCAGGGGCCTGCGTCTGAAGAAGCGACGGCAGCAGAAACAGCTGCAACAAGTCCAACAGAAGCAGAACGGGTGCTGCTGGAATTCACGAGCGGAGATGAGAGCTCACCAAGTTTCCTGCAACCCCAAGAATGGCGACTGCACAAAGCGCCTCCACAGCAACCAGCCGTGCAAGTAGCTCATGCGACGCATGCTCCTGCGACGCCACATGCCACCCTATCTCAACTGCAGCTACCCGGGAGGCCTTTAGGCCTGACGGAGAGACAGCAGCAAGCAGTGCAGCTGCCACAGCAGGACGGAGATAGTCCGCTGGAGCTGGAAGTGCAGCCGACACCAAAGCGAAATTCGAATCACGAAACACACCCACACCAGAGCCGCCAGAAAGAGCAGCGGCAGCAGGAAGGTCAGAAGGAGGAGCAGCAGAAGGAAGAAGAGGAGGAGCAGCAGGAGGAAGAGGAGCAGCAGCAGCAGGAGCAGAAGGGGCAGGAAGGGCATGCAGCAAAACAGCAGCCTCCTTGTGATTATCAGGATCATCAGCAGGAGCAGAAGAAGCAGGAAGGGCATGCAGCAAAACAGCAGCCTCCTTATGATCATCAGCAGGAGCAGAAGAGGCAGGAAGGGCATGCATCAAAACAGCAGCCTCCTTGTGATCATCAGGATCATGAGCAGGAGCAGAAGAAGCAGGAAGGGCATGCAGCAAAACAGCAGCCTCCTTATGATTATCAGGATCATCAGCAGGAGCAGAAGGGTCAGGAAGGGCATGCAGCAAAACAGCAGCCTCCTTGTGATCATCAGGATCATGAGCAGGAGCAGAAGGGTCAGGAAGGGCATGCAGCAAAACAGCAGCCTCCTTGTGATCATCAGGATCATGAGCAGGAGCAGAAGAAGCAGGAAGGGCATGCAGCAAAACAGCAGCCTCCTTATGATTATCAGGATCATCAGCAGGAGCAGAAGAAGCAGGAAGGGCATACAGCAAAACAGCAGCCTCCTTATGATCATCAGCAGGAGCAGATCCAGGCAAAGCAGAAAGATGAGCAGCAGCCACCGCAGTTGCACGAAGACAAGGAAGTGCCTTCTTCTGCCACGGCAGCATATCCGCAGCAAGAGCATCAATTGCAGCAGCAAGAGGCGACAAAGCACCAGCTGAAGCAGGATGCAGCCATGCAAAAGGATGGACAGGAGGAAGAGCAGCAGCAGGAGCAGCTGCGAGACTTGACAGCGATGCACATAGACTACGCGGGAGGTCCCTTGCGTCTAGAAGACTACCCCCAGGATACAAGCCCTGAGGCTGCACTGCGAGTATCTCTTTTGGTGTTGAAGGAGAGGGGTGTTCTCTCGAAGAGCCATTTGACTGTGCGTCATGCTGTGGGTCGATACGGCTGTTGCGTTTGCTGTTGCTCCTTCTATTCAACTGCAAAGGCTACTGCTGCAGTCAGTGAGCCGTGGTTGTTCGTAAATCGTGCTCCGCCAAGTTCCCTGCCAGGTGCCGCCGTAGCGACCCCCCGGCGCGAGCTTGCCGGAGTCGCTGCACCCCTGCACTAGCTGCACCCCTGCAGTAGCTGCTGCAGTGTTTCTGCGTTGTTAGGAATTTGTGCATGCGGAGGATATTCGTCCGACGGAAGACCTCTACCGTAGAGTGGTACGTGAGGCTGTGCAGTCTGGATGCCCCAGCGTCGTGCTGCTTGCGAGGCGTCTTCGGGGTGTTTATGGAGGGGGGGGCGGTTCGCGATTCGCGGTGTGCTTGCAGCATGAGGCGGTGAACGCCTCCACTCCTGCGTTTGGCCTTACGGGTGAAAGCCTTTTGTCAGTCCTTGCTGAGATCCCTGCAACAACAGCCGCAGCAGCTGCTTCTGCGGAAGTGCAGACTGTGCGAGCCTCCTCGGCAGGCCCCCCCGCTGCACCTTTCCAAGTGTCGCGTGACTTCGTTGAGCTCATCGCGGATCTCCTGTTCGAAGTTGCGCGCAATGCAGAAGCCGAAAATCACCTCGTCAGTCGGCCCTAGCCTCACGAGGCGTTGTGGGTGCCTCCCTCAGGCAGGGGGATGCTCCCGCTGCAGAGGGCTGGGCTGTCTCTGGTGATGAGGCGGCTGCGGCTTCTGCAGCCAGTAGCGCATGTTGTGCCGTTTGTGCTGCCGCGATTCGCTTCAGGGGGGCCCTCCTAGTGTGTTTCTCTCCGAAGCCACCGAGCCTCGCAGAAAAGCTCTTCAGGACCGAGTCGCCACGATACATCGCCGACTGCAACCCGCCACGGCTCGCAGAGGAGAAGCCGCTGGACCTCAGCACATCACATGGAGAGAGCTGCTGCACCAAGTGTGTGGGGGTAGAAAAAGAAGGCGGGTTTGGCTTTTTGAGGTTACCAGCTTGTCGAAACGACTAAGAGCCCCCATGCGCAGGTTGTGTCGATCCGGCGAGCGGGAAGGCCTAGTACGCCTGGCAGGATGTGCAATGCGTGTGGCTTGCGTCTTCAGGTGGTGCAGCGAGCCTCAGTTGGATTTTGTGGGGTGCTGCTGCTTCCGGAGGAGCAGCAGCGTCCCGAGCTGCTGCAGTTGCTGCCCTTCTTCAAGCCCTCTAAGGACGGCTGGACGGGGGGTACGGATTTGGCGCCTGGTGCACGTTGGGTTGCGGCAGGTGCACTTCTCGCCGGCGCCGGTGTGTGTAGCGTGACTGTGAAGAATATTTTCTGTTGCTGCTGCTGCTGTTGCAGGGGCTGGCGCAGCTGACTTAACGACAATTGCCTTTGAGCGACACACTGGGCCCCAGCGCCTGCAAAGCCGGCTGCTGTCTCTTCCCTGGGAAGAGGCGATGGCTCTCTTTAGCCCGCGAGGCGACTCCTTCTTCGCCGCGTGCGATCGAGAGCATCAGCGAGACGGCAAGGAGCAGCAGGAGGCTCCCGCAGACGCAGCCAGTGCTGCTGCACCGGCAGCCCCACCCGCGGTGTTGCAGGAAGAACGCATGCAGCCGGAGCAGCGGGAGGCTGCTCACGAGAAGCAGGTAGAAGTGAGGCATTCTCCGGTCGTCAAGCAGGGAGAGCTGCAGCACGACGACTCGCGAAAGGACGATGCACAGCGGGCTTTGCAAGAAGACCAGTTGCCTGCTGCTGCTGCCACCGGCGGAGCACTGGCCCGCAGCAGATGCAGCAGTGTCAGCATCGGCTCCGAGGAAGGAGCGAGCAGCCTCAGCAGCAGCGACGAGGCATCTCCCTTAAGATGCGCTGTGCTGCCGTCTCCGTGGACTGACCAGCATCAACGGCCAGCGCAGGCGGCACACCGGCAGCATGGGCTGCATCCCATGCCCCTGACAGCTAGCGAAGAAAGCACTGGCAGCGATGACGAGTTTTTGCCACTTGCGGCGCTTCCCTCCGTTGCAGACAGAAGGACTATTGCAGCAGCCCAGCATGCTGCTGCTAGGGTTGTCTTCTCCCCTACCGCGACGCTCCAATGAACAGACAGCAGCAGCAGCTAATATGCAGCGGCAGCATCTCTACTGCACAACTCCTAGCAGCAAAAAGCAGCGTCGCATTGCTGCACTGGAAGTCTGGCGCCTGTGGTGGGCGGGCAGCCTTCTTTGGAAGTGCCTTTGGTCCTGAAAAGCTTGCTGCATCGTGAACTACCATGCGGTCTGCAACCGCGTGGTGGCTTTCTGCGCGTCCTTTTTGCGCTGTTAGAATAAGAGAAGCACACAGAGCAGAGCTAAAGCAGCTAGTCAGACTTGGCCACAACAACATAGCGGTCCCTGCTCTGATCCTGCTTGCCCTGTGCCGTAACTGTCGTACAAGAATTCCTTCTTTGCTGACATCCAGCCCTCTTTCCGTTACTCTAAATGGTAGACCTACATTTTGGCAGCTTGAACAGCGCTAGCGAGCCTTCCTGAGAAGTAGTGGGGAGCCAACTGATGAGCTAGGCATGCCATAGCTGCGCTTTGTTGCAGAGTCGATTTGGCTCAAAACCACAGGAACGGAGACTCTGTGCTCGTGCTCGAAGTTGCTGTGTAGCCCAGTACAAAATGTTCAACTGCTATGGGCTTGCAGCAATATGGCCTCTAGCCACCTTTAACTTTATGCCGTAACCACATAGGATGGAAAAATAGAGAAAATTGGAGGCGGTGGGTTCGGGTTGACGGGGAGATGGGGGGACCAGGGGTGGAGATGGGGAGATCGGGGGAGGTGTGGCCATAATGAGAGTTTCTTTAAAGAGCTACACAGAGAACTTTCACCATGGATTGTACTGGTTCAAGGCTATTGGCACTTGCGAGTGTTTGACCCTGGGTTAAGCTCTCGATTTATGGTCTACAGCTCGCCGGAGAGAGATTGGAGATTTTTCAGTTCCTAAGGCCAAGGCTTTAGCAGGCAGTGAGACTCGCCATTCCTTCATAAATTTTAAAGCCTTAGCAGGGGCTCAGACTCCACAGGGGGCCAGTGGCACAAACAAATTACATTAAATCGAGGACCGCAGAGGAGGAATATAGTAGTAATGCCGAGCTTGCTCGGGATGTTGATAGGGTCGTTGTTGCCATTGTTGTTGCTCCCTTCTTGCTGCTGGTCTTGTCTTTCCTTCCACCGTTTCCGTTGTGAGTTGCACTGCTCGTATTGCCACTGTGTTTGGTGGTGTTGCTGCTCCAGTTGCACATGCTAGTTCTGTTGCTGTGGGTTGCGTTACCTGTAGGAGCGCCTAGTTACTTCTTGAGGAGAGACATCGCCAGTGTTAATCCCCAAACTGAGAGCCATAAAGTGCACTATTTCGGATAGCACTCAGAAAGCCGTTAAACATGGCTGTGTGACACATGCAGATACGCTACGGGGGACTACTAGGGTGTCTATGAACAAAATTCGAAGTCGAAGGGGCAACGCCTGCCAGATCAACGGGACTAGAATGCTAATCCGCATGCCATGCCGACAAAATACTGAATTACGAGCTCCGAATGGACCGTGGCTTCTAATACTGGGAGAAAACTCCTAGGCAGCGCCAGCACCATCGTTGATTCTCCTTCCAAGGGAAGGCTAAGCTCGCCGCTACTCGTAGACCGGCAATGGCCGTGTCACTCACAATGTAAATCGTTATTGCTTAAGGCTTTTCCGAGAGATACTTGGGTCCTCTCTTCAAATGATGCATCTGTTAATGTGGCAACAGAACAAGGTCTTTGGAAGCAGCGTAGCAAAACACGGACTGGAAGAGTTGCAGCAGCAGCGCGGCATCGGCAGCTGCGGCAGTAGCAACAGTAGCCGCCGTTCTCGCCAGCAACAACCCCTTGTGCAGCAACAGCAAAAAGTGTATAATTTTCTACGATATATGTGACTCTATTTCCACCGGTTGAGGCGGTTTTGCGACTGCAGCAACCTTCGTTGCTGCTGTTGCTGAAACTGCTGCTGCTGCAGTGCAGCAGCAGCCGCAGCAGCAGCAACAGCAGGCATTCGGGGTGTGTGGACCTCTCGCTATTTGACCCGTAGCACCTCTTTTAGAGTCTTCCCGCTGTATGTGTCGCTGCACGAACTGCAGCTGCAGCAGCATCCTCTGGGGCAGCAACGCAGCGGCACCTTGGAGCTTTTAGTCGCTTCCGTAATGCTACTGCTGGATCGTGTGTTGCAGTTTTTTGCAGCCACAACATTACCAGCAGCATCAACATATGCATCAGCCTCCTACTCAACGGCAGCACAGCTTCCCAAAGAACCACGCCAGAGGCCTGCCCACTCCCTTTCTTAGCACGAGCGCTCCACGGTTCAAGCTGGACGTGCACGAGCGGCGGCTTTACGAGTCGCCGCTGTATCGGATTCTTCAGCAAAGCAGCAGCTTTGGCTTCGGTTCATCCGTGGGCTTCCGCAATGTGAATGCGCGTGCCAGTGGACGGACAGCAGAGAAGCAGCACGAGGCTTAAAGCACCATCGCCGCGCATCCGCTGAAAATCAGTGACAGCAGTGCAGAAGGCACCACCAGCTCTGTACACTATAGCGGCGTGCGGTGTACAGGTCTGGTGTTCCGTTACGCTGCTGCTGCTGCAGCAGCAGCAGCAGCAGCAGCGACTTCTGCTGCCTGTAGAGGAGTCTTAGCTGAAAATGGGCGCATGCGGCTCAAAGGCGCAGCAGCAGACTCGGTGAGTGGATTCGGCTTTTTTGAATGCCTTTCAGTCTGCGCATATATGGCAACAGCTCCACGCGTAGCAGCAGGAAATGCAGCTGGTATACGCCTGGAGCTGTTGCCACACAACAGGGGACATAAGATATGTATCGGTCTGCCAAGTGTGCTTGCACAGCGATAATCCTTTTTCTCCGTGCTCTCTCATATATTTAGTCTTAGGGAATGCAGCAGCAGCTAGGCATTGGCAAGCATAATACATGCAGCAGCAGAAGAAGAATTACGCATACTTTTGGTGCCGCTGCTGGTGCTGATAGCGCACATGCAAGAAGCAGGAGAAGCAGCCGCTCCGCCCTTGCATCTCAGGATGCCACAGACATGGCCTTGTTTCATGGCGTTGCCGCTGCTGCTTGCAGCGCACACCTCTGCGATGGAAAGTCGATAAAAGTTTTTACGCTGCTCTTTCCTCTTTTAAAACGGCGATTTTGCGTGCAGAAGTCCGGAGCCCAAAGAGCAGCCGGCTGCTGAAGCCAACAAATCCACCGATCAGAGCGGCGCTGCAGTTTATCCCGCTGAAGCTGCACAAGTGTGAGAACTTGAGCTTTCCAGGCTTATGAAACGTGGCACCTGGTCTTTGTCGGCGTGTGTGTGTGCATGCATGCGCACTCGGAGGGCATTAACAGCTCCGGAGGGAGTGCTACACCCTTTGGATGGGTTTTTTTCGGGTTGGATTGTTTGTCGTCAGGGAGAGGAAAACGTCTTGTTCTAGCGCCGCAGCCGCTAACAAGGGTGAAATGCCGACTGCGAGCACGGGCACACCCGAGGCGCAGCAGCAGCTTGATCAACAGCAGCGAGAGCAGAGGATGCAGCAAGAGTCGAAAGTCGCTTCTCAGCCACCGCATCATGTCGAGGGAGCGGTGGTTGTTAAGACGTAAGAGGCCCCTTAATACGTTTTCGTGTTACCCGTGTGTTGTAGGCGTGTGCGGCTTTCGTGTTGCTGTTTCTTCCGCTGCTGCCTTTTTGCCAATGGGCTGCCTTCGGGGGAAGGGGTATGTATTTGTGTGTGTATTTGTGTGTATGTGTGTATGTGTGTGTTTGTATGTGTGTGTATGTGTGTGTGTATGTGTGTGTGTGTATGTGTGTGTGTATGTGTGTGTTTGTGTGTACGTGTGTGTGTGTATGTGTGTGTGTATGTGTGTGTTTGTATGTGTGTTTGTGTTTGCTGCTGCCGCAGCGGAGGCGAGAGGAAGGCGCAGAAGGCGATTATGCACAAGGATGACTCGCAAGCCGAAGACGCGAGGCTCCTTGTAGGTTGCTTTTCATTGTTGTGGCATGGCGAGTTGTGCCTCTTGGAGTCGGTGCTGCTGCCTTGGCTGCAGGCAGGCAGATGTGCCTGCGGACAGAGTGGCGTGTCTTTCTCCCCTGTGCTTGCACGCATGTGGGTGTAGGGGCACTTGGAAAAAAGGGAGAAGACTCCTTCGGATCTCGTTCTGATTCGGAGTTCTTTGGGAAGCAACTTGGTGTGCTCTTCCTTGAACGAGGCGGAGGTGGACGCCCTCGCGAATGCAGTCGAATACTTCGCCTTTAAGGCCGGAGATGTGGTTACGCAACAGGGGGAAAGCGGTACGATCAACGGCTTTAGATGTTGGGAGCGGTGGGAGTGTCGCGCGCTGGGGTTTAACGTGGCGAGTTCTTGGAGAAGAGGGTGAAGAAAGGTTTGTGGGCTGGTTTCTGTTTCAGGAAGTTATTTCTTCATTGTGCATAGCGGGGAATTTGAGGCAAGTTAGGCAGGCGCACTTCTCTCTCCGCTTTCTCGCCGGCAGATGCGTGCACTGCGTCGCCGATGTGTGTGGCTTTTTCCGCGCGCGTCGACAGCCAGCCACTGCGCAGGCGCATTCCGAGATCGCCCGCCCGTCCCTTCCCTCCCTCCTTCGTTCCTTCTCGCGCGTTGTCGCGCGTTGGTGGCTTGAAGAAAGGGACGGGTGCATGCACGCGCGCTGCTGGGGAAGACTGCGTTTTTGCGTGGGTGCCTTCGCTTCGTCTTAGGTGCTGGTCAACGACAAAGTCGTCAACAAAGTCATGACGGGGCAGGCTTTTGGAGAGATCGCTCTAATTCACAACACTGCCAGAACAGCAACCATCAGAACGCACACCCCGGAAGCCGCCCTTTGGGGGGTTCAACGACAGGTTTTCAGGTGCTGAAGGGTGGAGGCTGCAAGTTTCAGCTCGAGTTGTTGGCAGTGTAGACAAGATGGCGTGTCTCTGCAGCGATCGCCCTGCGCCCATGCGCCGCGATCGCTCGCGCCTGTGTTCGACTTTGTAGCGGCATGGAGGAAGCTTTTGCGGGGGCTTGCTTCCGAAGGGGCGTCTGTGTGCACGTGGGCTGCGTCTCGCTCTGCCTCGGTGTTGTTCGATGCACAGGGAGGCGCTGAAGCAGCTCAGCAGCAGGAACTTTGCTGAAAATCGCCAGTTCCTTGCGTCGGTCAAGTTTTTCGAAATGCTGACGGAAGCGCAAAAGAATGTGGTAAGGAGGTGCTTGCGGGTGTCTTTTCTGCGAAGGAGGGTGGGAGGGCGGCAGTCTACGGAGAAAGTAGGCGTTCGGCGCATGCGCATTCTCGTCCCCTGGTCGGCGCGAACAGCAGATAGACTTGCGTGAAAGGGGGTGGGTTGTTCTCTCGGTTTGGTGTGTCTGGCGTGGTGTTCAGATTACCAACGCGCTCGTGGTGCAGTCCTTCCAGGGGGGCCAGCCGATCGTCCAGGAAGGGGAGAAAGGCGACGTGCTGTACATTTTGAAGAGTGGCAAAGCCCTCGTCTCGATCAAGGGCAAAGAAATCCGAGTTTTGCAAGTTAGCCATCGGTCGATCGGGGGGGGAGACTGGGGAGGAACCGTCTCCCCAGGGTGTAGCCATGTACAGTCGAACAAAGCGTGGCTTGCCATGGGGGCGTCTGTGCGCGTGCCGAGTGGTGGCGCCTTTGTTGGCTGCTTCTCTTGGAGTGCCGCAGCGTGGAGACTACTTTGGAGAGAGGGCTTTGCTTTACGACGAGCCTCGCAGCGCTACCATCACCGCTCAGGAACCAACTGTCTGCGTATCCATCGGAAGAGATCTGTTGGATCGTGTGCTGGGCAACTTGCAACACGTGCTCTTCAGGAATATCATGCTTGAAGGTAGGACGCATGATTCGTAGACCTTCAGCCATCGTACGAACGCGAGCTGTCGCACATACAATCGACACGCTTTAGCGGGCAGTGCCTCACCGATGCGGAAAGGTATCTGAAAATCAGAGAAACGGTGGAGGCGGATGCGGCCGCTGGGGAGAAAAACGCCTTCGCAAAAACCGCAGTCCTTTAATTGACACGTGTGTATATGTGTGTATATACATGTATATATGTATATATATACATATATATATGTATATCTATATATATATATATATATATTGTAGAGATTGAGCGTTTTGGGGGGGTTTTGCCACGTAGCTGTGGAAATGGGAAATGTGTGTGCTGCACCGTGCAGAGAAGCCTTTTGTGCATGCGCAGGCTGCTTCCTGAAAGGGTGTGTTTGTGTGCGTGTTTGTGTGCATGTCTGTGTCGTGACGCCTTCCTTGTGGGGCGGTGTGTTTTTGTTTTTCAGCGCTGCAGCAGAGCAAGGTGTTTGCATCCTTTCCAGCTGACCAGTTGGGGAATCTTATCGAGTCTGTGGTGGTTAAAGACTACCCCGAGAATTACACGATATTGGATCGGGAGAATCGCACAAAAGTAAGCTTCTTTAAGCGTCCTGGCGCTGAAGGTGTCTGTAGAAGGCCGCTTTTTGCCCATATCCCTGCTGCTGCTACCAGCGCGTCCTCCTGCTCGTTAGAGGATTTTTCACACGTGTCTGTTTGCGGGAGGGTGTTTCTGGGTTCAAGCATTGGGAAATGTCGTGGCGTCCAAAGGCTCGTGCACCCTGTACCGTGGAGAGTGTGCTCTGGAAGATTTCATCGCGTGCGCGTTGTGTAGCAGGCATCCGCTTCAGCCTTCTTCTCAGCTCAGGGGGTCCGCTTCTTCTTCGTTTTGGAAGGCGAAGTATCTGTTTTCAGCTACGCAGAGAAGGCGGGTGGAGCTCGCAGCGGGGAGCAGGATCTAGAAGCCCACTTAATCGAAACCCTCAAAAGGGGGCAGGCTTTTGGGGACGAATATGTCTTGGCTCCTAACAAGGCCTTTGAGCACTGCGTCAAGAGCAACGGACCGACCAAGGCATGTTTGTGCAGTTGTCGGCTGTATCTCTGAGCGTTTCGCCGAGTTTCGTCACTCGAGAGCTTGGGCACGACATGCAAAGGCCGTCTAGAATTCATAACAAGACGCTTCCCACCGGCCTTGTTGGTTGCAGCCTCTGGAGGGAGCTGCCATGCCGTGCCTTAGATTGCTACGGAATGCTTTTGCCCCCTTCTCAAGCTTCATGCTTTTTGTGCTTGAGCTGTCTGTGCGCAGCTGGCGCTCTTGACCGCTAGCGCGCTCACTGCCACCCTTGGAGGCCATAACATTGACGAAACTCTTGACTACAACAACAAACTGGCCATCACCAAGAAGATGTACATCTTCAGATACCTCTCCGAGCAGCAGACGCAAACTCTCATTAGAGCATTCAAAACTGTCAGGTACCCTCCTTCCTTTTTTCGCCTCCCTCCTTCCGTCCTTCCCCTGCCTCCTGCCCCTCCCCCTCTCTTCTCCTAGGGTTTCATTTGCTGCCGCAAAGCCACGCGTGCAGACGCTGTGCACTTCCCTCCGCAGCGAGGCTTAGAGCATCAACTGACTCTCTTGCTGCTTAGTTGGGAGCTGCCACGTAGTTGTGCGCTTGCCGTCACCAGCTGCGAGAGATGCGGGGCATTTTTTGCGCAGATACACCCACGGCGAAGCCATCATTCGGGAAGGCGAAATCGGTTCTCGTTTCTTCATCATTAAGCTCGTGCGTCAGCCTGGCTCCTGCTGCCTGCGCAAGCAGTGCATGCGCTTGCCGTCTGAGCTCTGACAATCGGCCTGAATGGGCAACAAGAATGCAGTGCAGTCACGATGGGGGAAAATCCCGCCTGGCTTGCTTGCCCACCCACCCCTTCTCATCACACAGCGATCAGCCAGCTGCAAGATGCGTGTTGTGCGCGGCCTGTGTGTGTTATGGGGTGTGCGGATTTTTTCAGGGGGAAGTTGCGATCATCAAGGGAGACAAGCGCGTCCGAACTCTAGGGCGTCACGATTATTTCGGGGAAAGGGCTCTTCTGCATGATGAGAGGAGAAGCGCAACTGTGGCTGCAAACAGTGCAGAAGTTGATCTCTGGGTTGTTGATAAAGATGTTTTTCTCCAGATCGTCCGAGTAGGCCAACTACTATATACACGCAAGCTTTCCGCGCCGAACACCCTACACCTACATACATGCACACCACCGCATACCTACACACATTGCACACACCAACACTTACCTACATAAGTGCACACCAAGACATACCTACATAACTGCACACACCAACACTTACCTACATAAGTGCACACCAAAACATACCTACATAAATGCACACCAACACATGCCTACATACATTCACACCAACACACATCTACATACATGCACACCAAGACATACCGACATAAATGCATACCAACACATATTTACACATAAATGCACACCAAGACATACCTACACAAATGCGCACCAACACATACCTACATAAATGCGCACCAACACATACCTACATACATTGCACACACCGAGACATACATACATAAATGCACGCACAGACACTCACCTATAGACACTTGCCAGGAGGAAGCGGTGCCTTTGACGGCAGCTACGCGTACAGCTTAAGGGTCAAAAATGGAGGCTGTGCATGCATTTTGTAGGGCCCGATGCTTACCCACTTGGAGGAGCGCATCCGCATGCAAGACACAAAAGTGGAGTTCAAAGATTTGCAGGTCGTGCGGGTTGTAGGCCGAGGTGAGGCGGATTGAGTTCAGGCTGTTTTTTTGGCAGGGGACAGAGCGCACTTCACTCCTCCCTCTGCCCTGCATGCACGGCGGGGTACAGGGGTGGCATCCGCTAGGTGTTTGTTTGTGTTTGTGTGTGTACGTGTGTGTGCTGCACGACATGCGTTTTTCAGGGACGTTCGGAACCGTGAAATTGGTGCAGCACATCCCAACAAAAATCCGTTATGCTCTCAAATGCGTCTCAAGGCGCAGTGTGGTGGCACTCAGCCAGCAGGATCACATTCGCCTTGAGAGGGAGATCATGGCAGAGAACGACCATCCATTCATCATCAGGCTTGGTACGCAGCGGGTAGGGGGGAGGGAGGGAGGCTTTTTTTCAATTTTGTGATGTAACATCGGCGCATGACTTGTATGTGGTGCTTCTGAAGGGGCTATCTTTTGGGCGTCGGTGCTGCTGTGTGTGTGTGCGTGTGTGTGTATTTGTGTGTGTGTGTATTTGTGTGTATTTGTGTGTGTGTGTGTATTTGTGTGTGTGTGTGTGTATTTGTGTGTGTATTTGTGTGTGTGTCTGTGTGTTTGTTTGCATGCGTGCGTGTTGTGAGGCATGGCGCTCTGGGGTTGCGGATTGTGCTGTGTGCGGCTTAGTCCGAACATTCAGGGACAAGGAGTTTTTGTATTTCCTCACGGAGCTGGTAACGGGGGGAGAACTGTACGATGCCATTCGGAAGCTGGGGTTGCTGGGTGAGTTTCGAGCCGCACCAGAGTCGTGCTGGCAGTTTTGTAGCTAGGAAGTACATGCAAGGAGAAGGGCAGCGGCGGCTGCAGTACCAGCACCTAGTAGGCGACTGCCTTCGGAGAGGCCTTTCAATACACCCCAACCCCACGCATGAGGCACATGAGGCAGTTCGACTGACAATGCAGTCTTGGCTGGAGAGCAAGCCAGGCCTCCCTGAGAGCAGTCGGGAGATGCGACTTCTTTGCATTCTTGCAAAGGCTTTCGCAGTCGCTGCGACAGACGGAGAAGCGAAGTTGCACGGACGCGATGTCGAATGCTGCCAGCGAGGATAGCCTGATGCAGACGCACGCACGCACCGCAAAAACACTTCAAAAGCAACCCCTTTCGTGTGCGCTGCTCCTCGCTCAGGGCGATACCAGGCGCAGTTCTACTTGGCCTCTATTGTATTGGCCATAGAGTACCTGCACGAGAGGAATATCGCTTATCGAGATCTGAAGCCCGAAAATATTCTTCTGGACTCGCAAGGTAGGAGGATTCAACAAAGATTTGCTAGCTAGCTAGCTAGCTAGCTGGCTCATGTGCGTGCGCGTTGCATGTGGCTGTTCGGGCAGAGCTGCAGCATTCGGTGATGACGCAGCAGCCTGCGCACGCACACACACGGGTGCTGCGTGTCGCGTGTGGTGTGGCGATTGTTGCGGAAAGTATCCCCGTTTCCCATTCATGCGAGGGACGCTTGAAATTGAGAGTGTTTGCTGCACGCAACCGCCTTCGGAGCCGGTGTGGGGCCTCCCTTCCCCGTGGCATGGCGTATGGTGGTTTGCATGCTTTTTTGAAATCAGGTTATGTGAAGCTCATCGATTTTGGATGTGCTAAGAAGATGCAGGGAAGAGCATACACACTCGTCGGCACACCCCACTATATGGCGCCCGAGGTTATTCTGGGTAGGTTGGTTGGGATTTGTTCCTTTCCACTTGGCTCTTGAAATTGCTGCTGTCAGCTGACAACAGCGATTTCAAGATTCGCCACGCAAGCCGTCGCGGAGCTGACGATTGGTGCCGCCTTATTGATTTCGAGTGCGGGCAGCGCAGGCAGGCCCTTTAGGGTAAACTCCGTGAATACATGCGCAGAATGCACACGCGTGAGCGGAGGGTTGTGTTGAAAAAACTGTGCGCAGGCAAGGGATACACGCTGACGGCAGACACGTGGGCTTTTGGGGTATGCCTCTACGAGTTCATGTGTGGTCCCCTGCCCTTCGGCAACGATGCAGAAGATCAGCTGGAGATCTTCCGAGACATCCTTGCCGGTGAGGCGGCTTTGCGTTCAAGCAAGTGTGGGGTGCATGGGAGCGGGGTGTTTTTGTACCGAACGGGCATGTGCACGTCGGCGTGAATTCTCAAGTTCCTGGTTCGTTCTGTGCGCGTTTTTTCTCTAGGCAAACTGATGTTTCCTCACTACGTGACAGACCAGGACGCGATTAATCTGATGAAGCGCCTGCTTTGCCGTCTACCCGAAGTTCGAATTGGGTGCTCGATCAACGGCTATAAGGTGCGGGGGTGGAGGGTTCAAGGGAAAGCTCTGGTCCGTCAGGCTGTGCTTGGGGATCTTTCTTGCTGATCGTGCATTGACGGCGAGAAGCTTTCTGCGCTTGCATGCGTCGTGGCACAGGACATCAAGGAACACGCCTTCTTCTCGGATTTCGATTGGGATAGATTGGCAGGAAGAGACCTCTCCCCTCCTCTCCTTCCAAAGGGGGAGACCTACGCAGAAGATGCGGAAGAGGTGGCTTTTTAAGCTGCGTAGCATCAGCGGGCCGTTGTCTCCCGCGTTCACGCCTGGGAGGGAACGTCTTCCTGCAGTTTGAGTCTGGTCCTCCGGCGCGTTCTCGCAAAGCACAACGTAGGGGGGCATCTTTGCTGTGTCTCTTTGCCATTTCCTCTTGCTTGCTTGCAGGGTGGATTGGAGTTGGAGGAAGACGAGGGTCTTGAGCTTGAAGACGAGTATGACTGGGACAAGGACTTTTAACGCCTAAGCTCCAAAAACTCTAGTCAGATACATATGTGTTGTGCATGGTGAATTCGGTGATTCGAGGCAGGTAAGCAACACAATAGAGCCTGCTGCAAGAGCAGCAGCAGCGCAAGAGGGGTGGCATCCGCCTGCCGCGGCAGGAGTTGCCTCTGCAGGAGCGGCAACTGGAGCAGCAACAGTTCAAGCTGTGCCAACGCATTTTACCGCTGAGACTACGGTTCTTTCGAGCCGCCACTTTCGTCTTGCTGCCGCTGTAGCGCTGTTGCTGCTGGTGACGTTGCAGCAGCTACAGCAAACTTGTTGTTGTCTCTTATTGCTCTCACCCGCTAAGGTGTCTGGTGGTGCTGCTGCTGCTGCAACAGCTCCAGAACCACCAGCAGTGCGTTTGGCCCTCTGTACGCAGAGTTGTAGAGCTGCCTATACACTGCAACGAGCAGAGTGCCCCCCGCCCTACGTTGCCCAGAGGCACAAAACTTAAATGAGAAATTCTTCCCCTATAGTTCCGACAGAAAGCGTGGAAACACTTAGGCAGCAGCCCAGGCACTCGTGTTTAGCGTGGCGGCCTCAATTCAAAGGTCTCCTGCCAAGCGGCTAAGGGTGTAGAAGGGGAGGGGGGGCTTTGAACAGCCCCCGCGGAATCTGCGCTAGGATCTCTCTCCGGTGACTCCTCTGCTGCAGTCGCTCTCTGACAAGCTTCCTCGCGAGCAGCCTCCACGGCCTTCTGGCCCCCAAATGCAATATCGAACACTTGCTGGTAGTCCTCGACGAAGTGGATCTCGAGATTCGCCTGAGGCGAAATCCAGGAAGCACACGGCACTAGCAAACCTGTGTGAACATAGTTTCGAAAGGTGTGCTTTTCTCACAACGGCCAGTCTGAGAGAATTCGCTAGAGCACGGGCTCTACTAGCCATGGCCAACGAGGCCTGTGGCACCGCTCTGCAGGGGGGGAGGGAGAAACAGCGTCCAATGTGAGGTGAAGGCTGATACTGTACCTTGACGTTATCGGGAAGCTCGTCAAAGTCGCGCTGGTTGCCCTTGGGGAAGATCAGTGTCTGCGAACAACCACCAACTGGCGAGCTGTGGGGGTTATAAAACAGGTGCTGAGCTGTCGATTTTTCGGGGTCCAGTCTAAGCGCTACGCTAGCTAGCTACGTTGGTATCTGGCGTGCTCTCTAGGGGGCCATGAAGGTTTGGGCTTGCTTGCCTTGAGGTTTTCGCGCCTGGCGGCAATTACCTTCTCCTTGATGCCGCCAACCTTCAAAACTTTGCCTGCATGCATGCATGCGAAAGTGGGGAGGAAATATCCCTCAAGGGATGCACGGCATCTCCACGGCTCACGGTGAGGTTGGCAATACATGCGAAACAGTAACAACTTGGCGAGGGACGCAAGTGCACTGCATGAGATCGATTTCTACAGCCAAGAAAGGCACTGCGCGAATCAATTTACCTGTAAGCGTAAGTTCCCCCGTCATGGCCAAGTCTGGTCTGGGGTTTACGTTGAGAGCGAGGGAGAGCAGAGCCGAGGCGAGAGTTATGCCGGCTGAAGGTCCGTCCTTTGGAGTTGCGCCTGAGAGCATGCATCAGAAGTGTATTCATGCGCGCTGTGTGTCGAGCACTTATGGGACTGTAATGAGATTGAGGACGGACACCTTGTAGACTGTCGTTGCAAAAAACATGCCCTGTACAAGCCTATGATTTCGGGGTCAATTAAAATCGTTGGTGCTGCTATTTCAGCACGTGTATTTTACGCCGGCGGTACGCTGCACTGCGGAGGGCCCTCTTGAAGTGCTGCAGGCTTTTGTTCATGTCCATGCATGCGTTTCCACGTCCATGCATGCGCTTCCAGCATCCTTCACATCTGCCCCCCCGCTCCCCTGTAGCCGCCCACGCCACTTCCAGTGCAGTGTTCCTACCTTCGGGAACATGCAGATGAATCGACCCGTTGGAGAGGAACGCGTTCTGGGGGTCGATTTCATGCAAAAAGCTTCTCGCAAAGGTCATTGCAATATCGCAGCTTTCGCTCATGACGCCACCCAGCTGTCCAGTAACCTTCAAGCTACCGGCGCCGCTGAACCGCAACACAGGCAGCAGCAAAATCGATGCACACTTGCACCAATGCTGGTGCTCATGGGTACTGCAGCAAAAGTGCTAATTTCAGCGCAGTCAGCCCTTGCTGCTTGCTGTCCGTCCACCCAATGCCTGATGCAAACTCAGGAGGGCTCGTCCACTCGCAGGTGGGCAAAAGCGGCAGCGGCTTCGAGTTGAGAAGCAGGGAAGTTCAAATTTCAGACGAATTTCCCAGCTGCTGGAAAGTACGACATACGCTTTCGAATTAGGCTTATCCGATTTAGCGTTGGCTCCTTCGGAGAAGACGCGGCCTACAGCTTCAACAAAGATCACTGCGCCTCCCATGGACGTCCAGGCTAACCCCATGACGATGCCTGAAGAAGACAATCGCGTGATTTTGCACACGTTCATAAGCATCCTTGAAAGTCGCGGCGGGAAGGGGACTTGTCTACGCATGCGCAGAGCCTCAACGGAGGCCTGTCATGGTGTGAGCGAAGCAACTACCGACTTCTGCATGCCAGGAAGCATGCCGTAAACACATCGCCCGTGGCTGCGCCTTTTAAATCTGGCAATGACATGGACGGAGTCCAGTGCAGCTTTCTAGCTTTTACCAGGCTGCGTCTTCTCGAAGAGCCGTGATGAGGACCATGGAGGCTGATCCACGTATTTCGTCAAGTTGTTCTCGTCGATGGAAACTTCCTCCGTTTCCTTTCTGCAGCAGCAACCCCTTTCTGTGCGTGCTGTTCGGCATTCCCAAGAGGCGAGCATGCGCATTATAGGGCCCAGCGAATCCCCGCATATTCAACGGACAGCCTCAAAGACTCTGGAGTATCCCTCCAGCGCGCACAGCCTGCTTACCTGACGATAGAGAGGGCAGCCCGTCTGAAAAGCTTGTCGATGCATTTGGAAAGAGATCGAACCCCAGCCTCGCGCGCGTAGTCTCTCACCATGACGTTCAGCGCGTCTGGATTTATCTTCACTTGCGCGTCGGTGAGTCCTAAGCAAAAGCAGAGCCGAAGTGCTCACCTTTCCGCCGCGTGTGACATGGGCAGCTGCAATGCGTTGCATGTGGGGATTCGCAGAGATGATACGGCTACGTCGACAACCCTCTGCGTGGAGGGTGGGTTGCTTTCCTCGCGTGTGGATGCGGATGCAGATGTGTGAAGGGCCATACTACAGCCACATTGTCTGTCTCTGACTTGGGAGTGCACGCCTACCGGTGGCCTCTGCAGTCTTGGGAATCAAGTACTGCTGAGCAATGGCGATCTTCTCCTCGTGAATATACCCCGCAATGCGAATAATCTCCATCCGGTCCAGCAAAGGTCCTACACACCCAGACGCGAGAAAACTTCACCCCAGGAGGCTCTGTCAGTCGCCCCAAGCCGCCTGTACCAGACGAGCTGCAAGCCACGCGTTTGAAGCAAAGCGGGGACTCACCGGGGATGTTATCCTGTCCGTTCGCTGTGCAAACGAAGAGAACCTTGCGGAGATCGACAGGCACATCCAAGTAAAAATCCCTAAAGGAGACATTCTGAGAAGGATCCAACACTTCCAGCAGCGCGGAAGAGGGGTCGCCCCGGAAGTCACGGCCCTGTGGGGCACAACACAACACAAAAACACAAAAATACAAAAACACAACAACACAACACAAAAATACAAAAACACACCAACATCAGACACAACAACATCATCAGACACAAAAGGCTCAAGCTGCGAGGATAGGCCTGCGAAGAAGGCGGGTAGCAGACGACCGCTTCGGTGTGTGAAAACTCCCAAAACTCGCTAGGCAGCGTGCCTTTCGCTGCAAGAGCGCCTCACGCCACAGCGAGAAGACGCCTCACAGCCCCGCAGCAATCCCTCGCAGCTGGAAGTCTGCGCCCAAGACTCCCGGGAAAAGATGGCTGATTTCCCTCCCCGAGGGTGAGGCACCAGCGCTGTTTTCCAGGAGAAACAGCGTGGACGTCCAGGAGAGCTTCGCGTCCTATGCGGCGATGCGCAAAGCGCTCCTCCAGCTTACGAGTTTATCGATCTCGTCCAGCAGAATGAGGGGATTCATGGATTCCGACACCTTGAGTGCCTGAATAATCTTCCCAGGAAGGGCCCCTATGTATGTCCTTCGATGACCTCGCAGCTCCGCTACATCGAACATCCCCCCTGCACTCACAACGCCGGTCCGCAGCCTACGCCTTACCGCTAGAAAAGCCGTTTGGCATCCCACCCCGCGCATTTTCTCGAGGCAGCGCAGCTGCCGTCGAAAGACATCCTTTGCAGAGCTGCATGCCATGGCCAGTTTCCCCCCAGAGGGCTAAAATACTCTTGGCGTTGCAGCGAGGCGGGCATCACCCAAGGAGAGCTGCGGCTTACCCAGACAAATCCGATAATACTTTCGCTGCAAAGCTCGCGCAATGCTCTCGCCAACCGACGTCTTCCCCACACCGGGCGGCCCAACAAAACACAATATCTTTCCCTGAAAAAAACGTACGGGAAAGGCCTCCCGAATGCATGTGCCCTCTAAACGCGCGGCATGCACGCTGCGTACAGACTCTCGCGTCTCCAGCCAGTCGCTCGCGGATGAAAGGCTAGTCAAACCCAGAAAATCCTCAGCCTAGAGGGCAACCAACCCCCGCCTCCCTGCAAGGCACGATCCCTCAGAGCTCGAAAAACGGGAAGGCCGAACCTGCGAATCTTTCTTGAGAATGGTGACCGCAATAAACTCGAGAATTCGACGCTTCACGTCAGCTAATCCGAAGTGATCCTTGTCCAACACGCGGGCAGCCTCCTCTATGTCTGCACGGAAACGCATGTTATTGCTTGGCTTGCCGAGGTGTGGCTGCGCTTGCAAGAGCTTTGCACGCGCCTCCTTGAAGAGTCCGTTCTAAGGATTTCTTGCAAGCAGGTCTGTTGCGCTACCCCTCCTATCCCACGCCTCGCGTTCATTCACTAACCCACCTGTGCAATCCTTCGAATACTCCCCCCAAGGCAGCTTCAGAAGGTTCTCCAAGTATGTGCGGCTGACGTGAAACTCCGAAGAGGCCTGATCCAGCGAGGAGATCTTGCCTAGCTCGCTCGTGACTGCCTGCATCACGCAAATCAAGGATTCGTCGTGGGAGGCGTGGCGCATGCGACGGGGTAGCCGACAAGTGCGTGAAGCAGGCTGGGGAAGAGAGTGGGGCATGTGTTGGGTTTGCGGGATGACAAAGCTCCTTCGCCGCGAAATCTGCCGAAGAAGAGCTTGTAGAGGAGCTTGTGGGGGGAAGGCAGGGGTTCACTACGGCTTGCCTTTTGAATCTCCTCATTCATGAAGGCCTCTTTCTTGGCGTAAAGCTCTCGAAATTGCTGCACGCAGTCCGGTAGAATTCTCCTTGGCTAAGCCTTGAGCCGCACTTGCCCCTAAGGCTCAAGTCTAATGAGGACGCGTACGCGGCATCGTGGCATGCAAGCATCTCTCTCTCGCGCTGAATTCACAAGGGCGGCTTGCGGTCTAGAGGCTAGAGCTCACGTCGAGTATGGACTCTTTGTCGTCTTTGCTATACCCAAGCTCCTTCTTGATAAGCTTCAGCTGCTCCTGGAGTAAAAACTTCCGCTGCACGCGCGTCATCTTGTCTTCAACTTGCGCTTTCACGTGCACCTGCACAGACTCGCACACCCCTGAAGACAGCCTCTTGTGGCGATGGTTGCAAAATGGAAGGAAGACAGAGAATTTCTGAAGAAAGGCCTCCCCACAAGTCCGCACCGATATTCCCACTGCCAGACAAATCACCACGCGTTGACATACAACCTGGTAGCTTTTGCCCAGTGTGATAAATTTGGAGCACACATGGTTGTTGGCTCCAAGAAGGCGAGCTTTACCGACAGAACCCTCTCCCTCCCTGCCCCTAGATTGCAGCTCCTTTCCCACCCCCCCCTGCCCCCTCCCCCGTAGCTACGTCTGCCAATGCAGCCTCTCCTCCCGCAAAGTTGCCATCAAAATCAATCAAGGCCTATGAATGCCTGCGCGCTGCCTTTTGGTCTTAGGGTTCCTTCAGCGATACTTGCAGCTTGGCGAACTCCAAGTCTTTCTTCGCAATCTGTAACACGAGCATGAGCCGCTTTTCAATGTCTTCTTCCTGTCAAAAGACGACACCACCCCCACATCACCCTGCTCCTTCAAGCCTACGCGTTAAACAAGAGAATCCGGCACTTTGGCTGCTTCGAAAACACTTCGGTTCAGACCAAGAGGCACGAAGAAGCGGCTAAGACTCCCCGCAAGGCTTTCCTCCCGTCAAAGACTCAGCTGCTACTAGCCACAACGAGCAGCGCAAAGCCTGCAGCTTCCCCCCTCCCTCCAGTATTTCTTACTGCAAGCACAGCCTGCAGCTCATCTCGCTTCGCGAAGGACATGCCAGCCACCAAGTCTGCCAACTTCTGCGGGTAGTCCAAGTTGTAGAAACGAATTACCTAATCCACCCCACAAACCGCACAAAAACACACGCCTCCAGGCTTCCCCCTTCCTACCCTCTGACACACACGCAGCTACCCTCTCTCACTCTCTCACACATACACAGCTACCCACTCTCTTTCTCTCTCACACACACAGCTACCCTCTCACACACACGCAGCTACCCTCTCTCACTCTCTCACACACACAGCTACCCACTCTCTCTCTCTCACACACATACAGCTACCCTCTCTATCTCACACAGCTACCCTCTCACTCTCTCACACACATACACAGCTACCCTCTCTCTCTCTCTCACACACACAGCTACCCACTCTCACTTTCTCACACATCAGCCTGCCCTTCTCCCTCCCTCCCTCCCCGCCTACATACACCTCTTGCCCAAGATCTTGAACCTGTGACTTACTTGGTCAAAGTGCTCCTTGTAAAAATAGGAAGTCTTGAGAAGCTCTTTCATGGTAGCAAGGATTTCCAAGTGCAGCATTTTGATGATGCCCCCATGAGGCGTCCCCCCGCTGCTGCTGAGCGACACGGCAGGAGCCTCTTCAGGGAACACTACCGAGACGTAGAGTAAGGCCGTTGTGCCTCTGCTGCTCTCCCCGCTTAGCGTCGGCAGAGGCAGCAAACTCCCCAGTCCCCTTGGAGTGCCTTCATCAGCAGACTGCTGTCGCAACTCCTCCGACTCTGCCGGCAGGGGTTCCTGCTCTCCCCCTTGCGTAGACACCGCCCCCTCTGGCTTCTCCTGCGCTGAGTCTTGTTGCGGCTGTGCTGCTGCTGCAGTTGCTGCTGCAGTGGCTGCTGCAGTTGCTGCTGCTGCATCCAGGACCGCTTCCGCTGCTGCCGCTAAAGAGGCACTGTTTTCCATCTCGACAACAGCTGTAGCGTCTTCTTGTGCTGAAGGAGCTGCTTCTGATCTCGGCGCCGCCTCCGATGCTGCTCCTGGTTCGTCTGAACACTGCGCGGCCCCTACCAACTTTATGCTGCGAATCCACACATGCAGAACAGAGCACAAACACAGAGACACACATATAGACATACGCATATATACATACACATGCATACAAATGTAGACACACATATGTAGACATACATATGTAGACATGTATACATGCGTACACATACACACACACATACATGCGTGCATACACATACACACACACATACATACATGCGTGCATACACATACACACACACATACATACATGCGTGCATACACATACACACACACATACATACATGCGTGCATACGCATACACACACACATACATACATGCGTGCATACACATACACACACACATACATACATGCGTGCATACACATACACACACACATACATACATGCGTGCATACACACACACACACACACATAAATACATACACGTACATACACATGTATGTATATACACCTACATATATACAAACACATCTCTGCACATAAACATAAACCTTGAAACCTCATGACTAAATGTTCGAAAGGACAAAGCGACAGGATCACGCGAAACGCGCGAGGGCTTTCTTCTTATCCAGGGGACGCCTCCCTCGAGGGTTGACTCCCGAGGCTATTTTTAGAGTTTACAGGTGAGGAAGAGGGCTGGGGAAGAAGAACGAGGAAATAATATCTCTCCAGTTGCGGCATACCGGCGATAAGGCATCACAATGGCTTGGCCTCCTCGCTGTGTTGGATGTGGTGCGAGGGTAAGGAGGTGCAACAGGCAACCTACGGGGTGAGCCTCATCGATGCACGAGACAGGACCTACGCCACACACTCCCAACAGCTAGCTGCCAGCCTAAATGTTCGAATCCGAAAAAAATACCAAATGGCGAAGCTGCAGCAACTGCTGAGATCTCCAACACCGCAAGCCAGCTTTTCAGCATCAGCGCTTCAAGAAACTCCTTCCGCCGCAAACGGCATCTCACTCCAAATTTACCTGCCCCCTCTCTGCTAAAAACACGCCAGCATTCCCTCACCTGCGTCCTCTCTAAGTCTAGCTCCCGGTTCTAAGTCCTCCTCGTTCAGAGGTTCCTTCTTCACGAGAAATCCACCGACAAAGTCTCGCCAGCCGCCTCCAGTTTTGAGGCGAACCAGCTCTTCAAACAGCTGCACAGACAGACAGACAGACAGACAGACAGATAGACAGATACGCGCAGACAAACAGATAGACAGATAGATAGACAGAAAGATGTATACGCACAGACAAACAGATAGACAAACATGTAGACAGATGGATAGATTGATACGCACACACACACACATTCATACACAAGACAGACAGACAGATATACACAGACACATAGACACCTGCAAAACGCGATTGCTGCCTATTAACAAGTACTCAGAAGCGCCACGCAGACGAGACGCCTGAGGGAACAAAACACACGGCTGTACACGTCAAAAGCCGTGTATCCAAGCGTCAGAGACGCACCTGCTGGTCAGGTATTTGTAGCAATTGGTAGAAACCAGGGAAAGCTGGCCTTCTCAACAAGCCAATAGCTGGAAGAGAGGGAAGTGCAGGGGGAGAAGCGGCAGACACAACTGCGGCAAAGGATGCACGCCCCTCTGTTTCCCATGAGCCTGCTGCGGCTGCCGCTGCTGTTCTTGCTGCTGCTGAAGCTGCTAAAGGAGAGGATCTGTGCTCTCCAGTGGCAGCTTCTGAATCCACCTTGTCGCCTTCTGGAAGGCGCTGCTGCTGCTGCTGCTTCTGCTGCTGGCGCAGCCACTTGCGCCGCTGCTGCCGGCCCAGTTGAATTGTCGTTGCAGAATCTGCTCGATTTTCTGCTGCTGCCGCTGCAGAAGACTCTGGTGTGCTTGCTGGGGTTGCAGCAGTGACTCCTGCGCTTGCCGAAGTGTTTGCAGAGCCATGTGGCTGCTGTTGCTCCTCCTCCTGGGGTTGCCGCTGCTGCGCCTGCTTCTTGACACGGCTGCGAGAGGAGAAGAAGCGAGCGCTTGCAAAAAGTCTGCGGCTCTGGCTGCTGCAACAGCTACTGCTGGTGCTGCTGCTGTGGTCTGTACATGTGCTTGCATTACACCTGCCGATTCTCCACGAAAGAAGCTCCTTGCTGCCGTTGCCTCTGCGCCTGACGGCACTGCTGTTATCCGTACCCTGACTAAACAAAAGGGGGGCATGCCAGTTGCTACTGCTGTAGGTGGCAATGATGCTGCTGCAGCCGCTGATGCTGCTGCTGCAGGGGATGCTGCTGCCTGTGGCTGCAGCACCTCGTGAGTGCAGCAACGACAGCAGTGCCTGCTGCTGCTGCACTGCGAGTGGAAGTCTCCTCGTAGCAGCAGCTGCCGCAGCTGCTGCGTGCTGCTGCATTGTGGAATCCTTCCGTGCCTTTTCTTTTTCGAGCAGCAGGTGGTCCTTCCGCTGCTGTGCCTCCTGCTCAGCTGCGGGGAGGACGCAGACAACGAGGCGAAGATCCTCTTCTTCGGGCTGCTGTGTAGCAGAAAACGTGTCTCCTAAGCGCGAAGCGCCCCCACAGCAGCAAGATGCAGTGCTCAGTGTTGCTGATGCCACCGATACTGTGGCTGCAGGTAGGCATGCGGATGGTGCTGCTGCCTAGGCTGCTCCGCAACAGCACGCAGGCCGCCGAGCAGGAAAATCCATGCAATTCCTTTTGGCATAATAAAGTAACACCAGAGTGATTAAACGCGGGGAATGCGACCCTTGCCACTGCTGTCGCTCTTGCCGCTGCATGCGCACAGTCATACAGCATCGGCAGCGGCAGTCGCAGCACTGAAGCAGCACGCTCAGCGGCAGCGGAGGCAGGCTTACTAGCGCCAGCGGCCACGAAGATGTACTTTCGTTTCTGCGATTAAAGGCTCATGTGGGTGTCAGACAACTCTAGCAAAGGCACACAAAGCCGCAGCAGCAGCGGCAGCAACTGCAGCACCCGCAAGGTCGTAGAACGGGCAACCGCCACGCTCCTGCCAAGTAAAGCCTGCTGCTGCAAATAGAGCCAGCCATATATTGAGTCGACATGAGTCTCGCACTCGCTCTGGGTACATAGCGGCAGGATGAGGCTTGCTGCTGCAGCTTCAGATGGCGGTGGGTGTGCACGTGCCGGCCTGCGTGGGCAGCAACTGCCCCCTAGAAGGGGCAGTTGGAAGCCTTCGTGGCAGCGACAGCAACGGCGAAAAGCAGTCAATGAAAAGAATCCGCGGAAGGTGAGGTGGCAACAAGCAAATAGTCAGAAAGAGCTGCAGCAGCAGCATCGCCAGCTAGGGGAGGTCCTCGTTCACGGTACAGTCAAAGTACAAGTCTCGAAGCGACTCAAGGCAGAGGCGGAGCAGCAGCAGCAGGGGGATGGCGATGAAAATGACAACTCTGGGGGGAATACGGAGCAGCAGAAGCAGCGTCACTGCAAAACAGCGCAGCAGCAGCAGCAGCAGCGTCACGACACGGGGGGCAGAGGCGGAAAGCTGGGGCGGCGAAAGCGTCCAGAACCTGCCAGACGTCAAACACAGCGGCAGCCGCAGCAGCAGGAGGGGGGAGAAGAAGAGGCAACTTCGGAGGAGCAACACCAGCGGAAGGCTACGCTGCAGCAGGAGGAGCTGTTGCGCGAGCAGGAGAAACCTCTACCCACGCAAAACACGATCGAAAAGCCGCAAGCATCCAACTCCTTCACGCGCAAAACCTCAAAGATTCAGTGCCGTGCAAGTCGACCCTGGCAGCAGCAGTGGGAAAACGAGCATTCGCGAGCCGTTCTGTCGGATATCCAGCTGCAGCTCCGCTGTCTTCAAAGCCTGAGGTTCCTGCACCCGGAGGCACTTGCTGCTGCAGCACCAGCGTTGCTGCTGCATCCCGTATTGCTGCCTACTCAGCAGGATCAGTCGCAGCAGAAGCGGCAGCTGCCTTGCGAGGGAAACTCTGAGAAGGAGAAAAACAAGCGGCCGAAGAAGAGTGTGCATGCTGCTTCGGGGGGGGAAAGGAGCGACACTTCTAGCAGCAGCAGCAGCAGCAGCCGCCCTTGCTGCGTCCTTTGCGGCTGCAACGCTGCATGGGTGCCTGCAGTCTCCTCCGCTGCAATCCCCCCGCTTTTTGCGTTCGCTGCAGTGTCTCTGCACCTGGAGCAGCAACCGCAGCAGCAGGGAAAAGAGCAGCAGCAGGCGGAGAAGGAGGAGCAGCACCACCAACAGACCAACCAACCTCCATCGCAGAAGGGTTCATCAATGCAAAAAGCAGACGAAGAGCAGGTGTTGCTCAGAACGCCTGTGATGCTTATTGGAAGGGGGGCGTACGACACGTCCACTTTTCAGGTGACCTGCCTGCTGTGGGGTTGTTGTTCGAGCGAGTTGTTTATGCTGAATGCATTTTCTGATCGCTGCCACAAATGCGAGTGACTGGTCTGCTGCTTGGCTCGCTGCCTGTGCTGCCGCTTTTTGCAGCTCTTGCACTCCTGCCCATGTAGCAGTAGACTAGGTGTGTTTGCTGCCTCTCTGCAGCCAGGGACTGCTGCGGATCTTGCGGCGTTTGTCGCTGCTCGGCAGTCATGCAGCATCAAAGGCAGCAGCAAAGGCACTCTCTCTATCGCAGCAGCAGACAGTGCAGGAGTCTCTGATGCAGCTGCAGCAGCAACACTGCAACCTCACACGGCTACGGCTGCCGCAAACAGCGTCTCTAAGCTCGTGCTGGCGCGCAGTTGCCGCAATATTTCCCGCCTGCATGCGGCAGTTTACTATCAACCCGTACGTTTTAAAGGGTGGCGCGATCTACGCTTGCATGTCCACCGTCTGCAATTCACCCCCTTTGGAATCTGCTTACTGACACTGCTTTGCTCAGTTGAACGCTTTGGGGGTATGCAGCGCGCTGGTTTCGACGGTAGATTTTCGCAGCAGATTGGATGCGGATTCGGGTGTGCCTGCAGGCACGTGGCTGCTGGGTGCTTACGAATTTCTCTCGCCGTCCAATTTTTGTGGCTGATGCTTTCGCGAGTGGAGGTGAGCAGCGGCTGCTGCAGCAGCGCGAGGCTGCAAGCCCAGGTACAGGACTTGCTGACTGAGCCTCGTTCTCCTGCTCTTTCTCTCCCTCTTTTGCCACCTGACAGCCCTCCGACTTGCCGAGCAAACCTTCAACTCCTGCTCGCGGCTAGCCGTGTCTGTCGCGAGTGGTGCTCTCTCCTTTGAAGCCGCTGGTAAACGCAGCTGGCGAGGCTTCAGCTGCCAAGGGCCGTGCTGGCGTTGCTGTTGCTGCTGCTCCAGGTGAAGGCACACGCTTGGGGGGTTACTCCCTAGAGCTTGAGAATCCTCGTTGCCTGCTGCCTTGGAGGCTGCGGAACGAGCAGTCGCATGCTTACCAGCCGGAGTTCGAACTAGGCAACAGTGGACAAGGGGGTTCACTGCCGCGAGACAAAGCTACCGCCCTCGGCACGAACTGCAGTGCAGCCGGCTGTTGCTACAAAAGCAGCAGCTGTGTGCTCGGACCTCGAGCAGTTCTGCAGCTCTCAAAAAGCGTACAGCTAATATGGCGGCTGCCAATCCCCATTGCCACTCAATCAGCGTATGCCCGCCGTAAAAACCCTGTGCAACCTGGTGCTCTTAAGCAAGCCTTCGAAACTCTAGGCGTGTGCTGCCTCGCTGAAAATCGCTGCTTTTGGGTGCAGAATGCGCGGCGTTTAAGGGACACGAATTAGGGAATTTTATAGAGGGGCGTGGCGTGGAGCCTTGCGGACGCGCGGTTGAGGTTGGCGGTTGGAGTTACCAGGCCGCTAGGTGTAAGGCTGCGTGTTTAGGCTTTAGATTCTGTTGGCGTTGCAGAGTCGCCCTAAAAGGCTACGTTAGTGGATTAGCAAGCGGCAAATATCGGCAGAAGCAGCAACGAAAAGGGCAGCAGTATGAATTGCAGCTGCGGCAACAGCAGCTGCAGCAAGCCTTAGAGCTGGACGGCATGAACCGAGAGCTGCGACAGCATCTGGAGCGCCGCAAGCAAGAGCAGGCAGAAGCACCGCATCAAGGGTCGAAAAAGAAACTGCAAAGGAAGAGGCAGTAGGAGCAAGAGCAGCAACAGCGGTTGCAGCAGCACCAACAAGACGCGCAGCCGGTGTTTATACGAAGGATGGTAGAAGATCAGCAACAGCTGTAGCAGGAATTGCTGGAGCAGTGCATTGCGGTAGGAATGAAGGAGCAGGTGCAGTCGGGGCAAACGCAGTAGAATTACTGCGCCCGCGTACTGCAGCATCAGTTGGACGAGATGGAACGTCAGCAGAGGGATCTAATGCCAGCAGCAGGTGCTGCAATCCGTTTTTTAAACCGGTAGCTGCTATACTACTGCTGTTATTTTACTCTGCGAGGAGTCTCTTTGGGACAGCAGTACCAGCAGCAGCGCTTCTGGCGCCTCACGAAGGCAATACATATCGGTATTTTTTTGTAATCAACAACAGCACCCGAAGGCCAGACGTCGCAGGAGCTGTTGCTATTGGTGCAAGAGAGCCCTAGTGTGAGCTTGTGCACTTTGTTAGGCAGCTTGGAAAAAATTACAACATTGGTTGTTTTGGAATTAAGGATTAGCGAGGGGTTTCGGTTGGAGGTATGTTGCGATCCGCGAGGTGTTTCCATCGCTGACTGCAGCGCAAGCGTCACATGCGAAATAAGCGTTAGGTCGAGGGGTCAAAGGCACCGTTAAATTTAAAAATGCACGGCTTTTAGCCTGAGGGTAAGAGTTGAGAGGATCACCGGTTTTTGCGCATTTGTGCTGCACGCTCTCCTAGCTGGGCGGGGAACATTAGCGCCAAGTTGTTGAATAGCGGCTTGCAGATAAAATCTGCAGCACACAAACCCACGTCTTCGGGATTAGTTCTCACGTAGACATGAAGAAAATGGGCTTTCCTGTATGATGTGTAAGCGCATGCTTTGGATGTTGAACTTCGTTAGTATGGGTGGGCTGGACATGAGGGCATAGTATCTAGGCTTTACCGATAAAACCGATTTGCGCTTTCGCTATGCAAAACTCATCGAAGCTTTGGAGGGCTGGCATAAAAGGTGGTTGCCCTAGGGCTTCTTCTAGCTTGTTCTGCTCACATGCCGGGAGGTTGTGGTAGTAGGGTTCATGAAGGCTATTCCAGTGCAAAGTGGGTACGCTGAGAACCCAAGTGGTTTACAAGTAAGATCTACTGGCCTTTCTCAAAGTCTCAGGGCTGTGAATTGGGGGATTTGAGTAAAGAGTGAAGTTAAGGGTTGGGGGCTTGGTTTTGCCTGGTTAAAGAATTCATCGCAGGCTCGGATAGCCCAGTCCCTGCACATATCGAATTCAAGGAGAGGGTTGGATATGTCTGCCGAGTGAAGGAGTAAGCCCTCTAGATATGGCTTCTGTAGAGTACACATGATTCCTTCAGACAGCACCATTTCTCCCTGAATCAGCCACAGCAGCCGGGACGAAAAACAGCCTAGGGGCTGATGACAGGAGAATAGACACGCCTGGGGAGCGCAAGCCACCTTGACCCTAGGACGGCTGCTGCATTTTCGCATGAGTTGCTGGTAGTGCTTTTACTGTCACTCAGGCTCCTTCTAGGACGGCTTAGCCTGCCATGAACTTCTGCTGTTACCTACTTGTATTTTCCCATCTAGCTTGGCGACCATATCGAAGTGCTTCGCCATATCGGTCCACATTATTGCGTTGATAAGGCGCTTCCTAACGGAGTCAAGTTCTCCGTCAGACATATTTGCAAACAAGTCCATATGGGGCACGCTGCGCACACCAAACCCAAGACAGCAAGCCCTGAAACTCGAGGAACACCAGATATTAAAGACTCCATTCGTCAGTAGCGGGAATTTCGAAGGGTACGCGTGAAACTCACCGGAGGATCTGCAGTAGAGAAGCCGCATGGTAGTTCTCAAGAATTGAAGTATTGCTGTAAATCCGTGCTGGCCAGCTGCACATACAGTAGTTTCTAAGCAGAAATACTGCGTGCCACCACATTTCAAGGCCCGAATTCTACATATTTGCTTCCTCAGTATTGCAGCGCTACCGCTTTCAACTGCGAATGCCTGAGGTCATAGCCGCTAGGCTCCGAACCCTAAATCGTACCACTGGTTGCGCTGCATGAAGAGGTTGTTGAACCCTGGATGGCCTAGGTCATGCCCGAGTGCAGCAACAGACAAAACGAAGAAGTCCGTTGGAGTGAAGCGCGCGCCGACGTCAGGTAATGCCAACAACAGACACAAGACCTGGAGCGACAGCACAGGGAACAGCCAACCGCCATTGAGCATAAACCACCGCTCTCTCCCTTCACCTGTGCAGACTCGTTTCCTCTGTCCTTTCGGGTCCTTATGGGAAGCCCCGAACTACTCGCCACACACTCTGCGTAGTACAAACTCAATTGCGACAAACGAACACGGAATAATCCAGTAGCTTTCGCAAATCGTAAAAGGGTCTAGGAAGGCGTGTACTGCTTTGGAGGCAGCCCCAAACCCTAAGATGTCCGAACCTGAACAACGTTAAGGGCATGATAGAAGTTGTGGTATGGGTTTTGCAGATAATTCGCATGAAGGGCTCCGCAAAAGTTCATAATAACTTCTCCCCGAATGCCCAATGCAGCACGGTCCGCGTAGTACACCAACAAATCCCTGAACCCCAAATTCAAATCCACAGGTGCAGAAAACTCTAAGGGGCGCAATTATGGCCAAACAGGAAGATCACGATGACCTGCTGCTACGCCGGTCGATTCAGGAGGTGCACAAAACGATTTCCTCCTCGTTGAAGGTGTGGCATTAGAGGCTTAGGCTTTTGAATAACGTACCGGCAGAGGCGCACGGCTTCGGGCTCAGGTAGAGAAAGGACATGGAAATCCCAGTCGAGCAAATCGTGCATGGTGTATGGTTTGCCGTCGAAGCAGGACACGGAGGCTAAGTTGAATTGTGCCTGCCCAAATACCCTAGTATGTGAACCATAATCCATGTTTTCACTCATACGTAAGGAAACCCAATACTCCTAGTTTGCGCGTCTCGAGACCTCGACGGTGCTAACGAGCCCTTGAGTCTCTATTCTAGGGGTGAGCACTTGGGGCTTAATAACACACACCTGAATTATGTGGTTTGGAGGAATCTGTACTTTCAGAGCGGCGGTTGACCCCATCCACCACACGGGGTCTCTGCCTGCGACAAACGACTTAGTCCGCACGCCCTGAGACTGATCCTGCAAACGGCTAGTGCACTTATTCAGTGCCGCAGCGAGTATTTTTTTCAACAGTTGCCAGGGCAGAATACCAGGTGCAGACTAAATGCCTGTACTTAGGGTTCAGAAAGAAGCGCTTACGCTTCTGCGGGGGCGGAGCCGAGTTTTTGTATGCGAGTGGCTCTTCTTTCGAAGTTGTTTCCTTCCGCCGATTTTCAAGGTTGGCCAGAAGTCTCTCCACGTCCTCTCCCCTTTCCTTTCTGCGATATGTATGTACGCATACACGCAAATGGTGGAAGGATTTAGGATTTGCATGTTGGGGTGCAGATGTTCCTCGTGTGAAGGCCCCCTCGTAGCCGAACAAGTTAACACAACTTCTAAAAGGCCGATCTCAGTGAAAAGACGGCTTGCAGTTTTAAGTTGCACTTAAGGCAGTGGAGTGGAGTTTTGGGTATACGTGTACTTGAGTGTAAGTTCGGCAATGGTTTCTCTGCGTTGGTCCTCCATGGCCTTGTGCAGGAGGCGCTGCCCCGGCATTTCTCTATAATAATTGGCCAGTTCAATGCTCACATCCATCAAACCAGCAAACCTGCGAGACGAAGCCAGTGGGCGCTCGCTCGCTCGCTGAAACCACAAGCTCCATACTGAACGCCGCTCACGTCAAACGCTGCACTGTGTACCCCGAGCTCGTAGCGGTAGCTGCACCTCACGAAAGTGTGCGATGCCTAAACTGATGATGCCTAAGGTGCTGATGCCTCACGGAGGGCAAACGAGCATCTCTCCGTCGTATGCCCTTCGTATGGCTCTAGGCACTAAGCTCTCAGACCCAATTCTGAGCCCGAAGCACTGAAACGTACTTCCAAGAGAGCCGAAACGAGTTCGTGGATCGGCTTGTTAAATCCAATATCGTTGAAAACCCCCAAGGCATAGTTTGCATCTTCCCGCAGGCTCTCCGGGATCGCCTCGCGGGCCCCCAGCGCCTCACTAAGGAATTCATCCTCGACCTCTTCCAAGAGCACAAAAGTGCTGCTGCTGCCGCCTGACCGCAAAGCGCAGGCGCTGAAACCTGAGTCGTAGCCCGTAAAGCATCGCTTTTGCCAAAGTGTCACATGCTAGGCACTGGCACCTTGGTCTCTTACTTTCGCTGGGGTCTTCAAGGGTGGGATCGAATTTGGCGGGAACTTGGTTGACCGCCTGAGTAACCCGCGAACCCCTGCCTTTGGAAGCCTCCAGAGTAGGGGTCATGACTCCTGTTGTACTTCTTGCTCGGCTTGTTGCTCGTGAGAAAGAGGCACTGCGGAGTCTCTCCTGTGCCTGCTGCACCTGCTCCTCGTCCATTGAGGTCAACGAAGACTCCCCGGAATCTTTACGCACGTCCATCATGTAGGACACCTTCAGCTTACTCTTTGCGCGAGCCCTAGCCACACACTCTAAGCCGTAGACTCTTCGTGTTGGAGCTCAGCAAGGTGACTCTAAGAAGCAACGGGGCTCCCACGTTTCTGCTTTCTTGCAAATGCAAGAGAAAGAGGGTAGTTCGAAGTTGTGTCACAAATCTGTACAATGCAGCTCCTAAATCACAAATGCAATGTATCTTATTCTAGGAGACAGAAGAAGGGCAGTGAACCCCAACCTTTCTTCTCTTTGCTGCATTCGCTCTTCCATTGCTGTAACAATGACATCAATGACGTCGCTGGTCTTCAAGGGCATCTCAAGTCTGTAGCCACACCCCTTAATGCGCAATTCATAGTTTATAGGCTGTCATGGACTTCGTGGCATTTTAGAGTCCACCGATTTATCAGAATCCTTTTGGTGATCCCGGAACCTTTGCCCACATCCCACGTCACTCTGAACCGCTGACGCGCTAAAAATGTATTCATGGTGCACCACTAAATGTGCATCCCGAGACTTGCATCTCAAGAATTGGACGCCAAGGTCAACCTCAAGCCAATAAACAGCGCAGGTTTAACCCCAAAACCTTCGCACTATGCCTAGCCTCTAACTGTATATCTTGTGGCAGTATTTTTCCTTACTGCCGGTATGAAACATTGTCGAGTAGGGTACTAGCCCTCATGTTGTCACACACAGGACTGGGGCCACTGCTTTGCTGTGCGTCTTCTTCCAATTGCTTTTGATGCTTTGCAGAGACAAATGCAAATTTAACACCCTTATTGCCGTCTGCACAGTGAAGCGCCAGCTTTCCAAATATCTCCCGAGGGGCCATCGAGCGAGAAAAACGATCGGAGGGATTTGCACTACTCTTCACGAAGTCTCCGAGGAAAACCGCCAAGACCGGGCAATCCGGGTCGTCCTAAACCACATTTTACAAACTGTTGGCATTTGAAGGCTGAGCACACACCTGTATTCTGCTCTCTATGAGAGGAAACAAGATAGAGGAAGAGAACACACAAGCGATGGCAACAGAAAATGCCCTTTATTCCGTTCCCATAGAACAAGCTGCAAACCCCAGAATACAGAATTTTCAGCGCGTAAATTCTGCGTGTTAAATCTTGAATCCCTTTCCGTAAGCTGAAGAGTCTAGGGATACGCCCTGACCTCCTTGAGTTCCTCCATGAGCTGCCTGATGCAGAAGCAGTTTAGACAGGTAACGCCAATGTCTTTAGAAAGAAAGGTGAAGAACTGTTTGGTTTCCGGAGACAGAGAGAGGGTAAGGACTTTGGCGGTTAGGTCTCCCAAGCTGCTGAACCTTTTATCCATGTCTTCAAGACTGAAGCGCCCCTTACGCCGGAGAATAAACGAAATGAAAGTGCCTCTGGAGGGCGAAGATTGTATCTGCATGAATCCCCCTAAGGACTGTGCAATACGACTGCACGTAAGCAATCGAAGACCTTGGCCGCATCTGCAGGGCAGCGCATAGAAAGAATAACCGCCAATCGTAGGATTCCCACTGCTACCTCACACTCTCGCTGCTGTCTGTTTCCTTCATCTCTTTTTCCGAAACGCATATCCATCAGACTTCCGCCCTGTCGCCATGTGCAGTGTTCGACCCTCCTAGTGTTCCCCTGCTTTTGGATACGTGTCTACTTTCGAGAAAACTGTCTATTTGAGCTTTCTGGTAGGCTGACCCCCTATTTTGACGTCTACCAAAGCTACTGTCTGCGCTCGCCTTTTTCTGCATCAACCCTGCGACCTTCGGGGTGGATAATAAGCCTTACAGATTGTATTCCTTAGCAAAACGCGCACATGTGCATGCCCCCACTAATTACCTGTCAATAAGTCCTCTGGTCTGGACCATCATCTGGGCTTTTGTGTTTTCCATGCAAACTCCGTGCCCCTTAACCTGCGGACTCCCGAACACGTTATGCCGAGGGAAGTACTACTATATGTTCATCTATATATATAGATATGCGGACGACCCTACTTTCTTTGCTGCCTTCACTCAGGAAGCTCAGCGATCCTTCGCGGGTGCAAGTGTATGAGACTAGAGGCAAGGGTTTGGAGATTGAGATGTACCTCAAATCGAACATCGTAAAGCTGAAGAACCGGGCTGGCTGTCTCTCCCCTGTCTTTTGATCCTTTGTGGTGAGACGCGTTGGCGTTCACATACACATCGATTCCCCTACCCTTCTCCGCGGAATGGTCGATTACATACGCCAGGGTCTGTAAACAAGCCACAAGGCACACACATGCCATACACCCTCCACTCAGATATCTGTATCCCATAACCCCAGACCGCTTACTCCTTGATGCGTACTCTGGTGAGCGTGGTCATTAGTTTGTCCTGGTCGATAAATGCCATCGAGGGGCATCCGTTGGCGAACGTGCAGCTAATGGGGATCTTATTTGCTGCAGCTTTTGGTCTGAATAGCTCTACGCTCTTCTCAACGGCCGAACGCAAGTCCAATGCAACACCCTCTTCCTGTAAATCATTGGCAAGCACACACACTTGACTGCTGTACAGAGGCGGCCACAGAGAATTCTCCAATATGATCCTACAAAACTTTATGCTGGGGGAAGGGGCGTAGACCCCATAACTACTGCTCTTAATCCCTCTCTCTCTCTCGCTGTTCCTCTGTGTTTGTTTCTATTCCTCCCCCTCCGCATCAGCAAGCACCTTCACTTTTCACTTCCTTTCCTATCTCGACACGAGACCCTTCCTGAACCCTCGCCTTCCGGATCGTGTTCTCATACTTCCTCTGCCTCCTACCCACGGATCCCCTTCCGCCCCTTTATCCCTCTGCCCCGGCACCATCCCTCCCGCAGTCCTTCCCTCTTTCTTCGCCAAACCCCTGACTGCCTCCCAGCCAGCCGCGCCCATCCGCCTACTCTCTTGTACCCCATTTGCACCCCACATACATCGTTGCCGAGCACTTCAGTTTCAATGTAGATGATGAGATTGACGCAAGTGGTAAGGATATCGACAAGGGCCTTCTCTTCCAGCTTCAGCAGTTTGTGGTGGTAGGCTGTCAGCCTGTCACTTGCTAGCAGCAGAGCAGCTAATCCATTTAGCGCATGAACATTATGCAGCAGCAAATGCTCAAAGAAAGCCATAAAGAAGACTGACAAGTCCACCATCTTCGTCTGCAGACTCTTCCCAGAACTAAAGACGGCCGATTGGCACACAGAAGAAGCGTCGTATATCCGTTCTACGCACCCACAGCACACCGTACACCCTAGCCGACAGGTCTTTGTACGAACCGTTCTGTGTTCCATCCTTCCTGATATACTATACCTTGCGCAGACTGCTCTTTCATATATTGCAGGGCCGAAAACCCTCAAAACTGCCTCCCCAAGCCCCAAAACCGATTCTGCCAATTTGATAGCACGCCTCCGCCAACGCGTACTCGATTTGATTCCTGTGAGGATGGCGAAGAGTACTAGAATGGAGAAAGACACAGCGCCGAAAACTGCGGCACTTGCAATTAAGGGCTCCCAGAGGACCTTCACTCGCAAAGCCTGAATGATTTTTTCCAGCTCCCCAACGTACTTTTCGCTGTAGGAAATAACATCGTTGAATCTGCCCTGTTCAATAAGGGCATGCACAAACTGAGAAGGTTGCGTAACGGCCGTCCAAGATGCTGGGTAGAGATCTAGAACGTTCTGATCTAAGGCCTCCGAGAGTGGCAGCTTGACAGTCATCAAGGCATTGAGAAGGGCTTTTTCCTGATTCGGATCCACCACACGCAAGTGCTCAGCGACGTCGGCTAAGGGACAGTCGTTCGTAGCCTTGCTCGTGCTGTACAGGCAGCTCGTCGCGACCCGGATGCTTTGGTCGTAGCTTCGAATGTGCTCGAGCCCCATAATGATCCGGCTGTTAATTTGGAAGAGCGCCGCCATCACCTGTCTATGGTAGGCTGGCACCAACATATTTGGGTGGTACAGGGCCTTAGCTTCGTATTCGCGTGTCGAATGGGAAAGCATCTCCAAGCGCTGGATGGTTACGGTTACATTGCGCATCCCCAACAGCTCTGTATACACTTCCTCCTCGGCCAAGGAAACTTGATTCTTATAGATGGCGAAGGATACGTAAACGTTTGCATAGGTGGCGGCAATTACTGAGATTAAAACAAATAGTAAAATGTGAAATAACCCAATATGTCGACTATCCATATCTATAGATCCATCGTGTTTTCTGAACATTTCATACGTCTTCTCCTGATGAGCCGTCTTTAAAGTAAACGCCGGCTTTCCTGCTGTGTCGGTAGCGAAGCTTTTTGCACCTTCCGCCCACTCAACCTGCATCGTGGCCATCCCATTCTCCTTGGCCGCTAGCAGATGGCCCCTACCCTCTCCCTCTTGAGCCCCCATCTTCATGCATACCACAAAGCCGTATGCCCAAAGCTCTAGCCTGTTCGCGTTTGAACCAGGGAAGGCCTGGGGAAGAGATTTATAGAGAGAGAGGGGATGCCGGAGCAACCAATTTGGCAGATTCCATGTAGACAAAATTTACCCGCTACAGCCTCTGTTCTACCCTCTAGACCCTCCGTGCTTTACTATTAGCCGAAAATAGTCTACCCCTAAGGAAGGTGATGCGCAGCCTCCTATTCTCTAATGTTGTTTCCCCCAGCCTTTTGCAGGGGCGGCTGGGCACTCTCCTCTGGAAGCAATTTCGTTTCTCCTCCTCTTTTCTTCTTTCACTCATTATTTGAAGCTATAAGCAGTAAGCGCTAAACCCTTGATGGCTGTTCTAGCAGGAAAGCAAGCATGAGGCGCTAAGTGACCCCAGGAAGGTGGGCAAGTTCCTATACCGACAAACCAGAACGCGGCAGACCAAACAATGGCTTGATGTTTATCAAGCTCATACACCTCGATTCCAGAATGTTTCCTCTTTGTGGTCTCGAGTTCACACGGAAACAGAGCGCATGTATACGCGAGAATATCGATAGGCTCATCGGCATGCAAGTTGGCCTATGCAAGCCCCCACGAGGAACCAACGGGAACCCCAGTCCCTTGGGACCTTGCGTCGAAAAGTTCATTCAAATTGCACTAAATACGAGGTAAATTTGCAGCTTACGCCTCTACCGTAAAACCCCGGCGCCATGCAAAAATACAGATGTGCGGACTCGAACCCGAAATGCGAAGGCTCTCAGCATCCCATTTCAACACATTGCGTTCAACGGGTTGAATCTGAAAAGCCGCGGCGCTTTGAGTCTGCTCTCGAGCCGTATATTAGAATTCCCGAACACCGACTTTCTTGGGGGAAGCTCTGAAGGGGTAGCCAGGCCTTCCAGCTTCGGGTGTAGGGCTTAGGGCTCAATGCGAAATCGATGCGCACTTGCTTTGCGAGCTGCTTCTTTATGCAGAGCTCTCCGCTATAGCAGCAGCAGCAGCATTGCACAGCGCACAGCGATTGTCAAGAAGGCAGTGCCGAATGTAACTCCGATTGCCGGCGGTTCCTCTGTTTCGAAGTCCGCCAATCCTGTTGCTTCTTTGTTGCAGCAGCGTCATCTTATCAGGGCTCTTTGCGCACTGCCACCACATCAGATTTCTCTGTCTCTGCAGGAGTTGTCCAGACAGCAGAGACGCCCCTCCGCGAGCTTCTGGATAGCTGCTGCAGAGGCCCTGTTGGGGCACAATGCTGCTGCTGACAGCAGCAACAGCTTGCCACTTTTGAAACTGCACCTGGAGGACTGCAGCACAATAGCTAATGCCTTTGCATCTGCTTCTCAGCCTCATGACGCCCTCTTTGCTGCTCTTAACGGCAGGTTTGCCGCTGCCGCCAATGCAGCAGCAACCGCTGATTCCTCTACCCGACATAGTAGCAGCTACAATGAATCAACAGCTGCTACGGCCTCTGCAACTGCAGGACTGAACTCGCGCAATGTTTCCGTGTATCTGAATGCCCTCGGGAACCTTCGAATGCGGAAGGCTGCTTCCGAGCTTCTAGATATCCTCGACAGCCGCGGCACAACTAACAGCAGCAGCCTTTGGCCTGCGTTGATTTCTGGATGCAGCGGCTGCGATCTTTCCATGGTGTTTTCGGCACTTGCAAAGCTGCAGCTTATCGACCTGCCTCTACTCCAGCACATGTTGATGCGTCTTCAGCAGCAACTGCAGCAGCAGCTGCAAAAGGAACAGAAGCAGCAGCAACTGCACGTACTGGATGGCCGCAGTGCTGCAAACATTTGGGCTTCCTTGGGGCAGGTGCAGAGCTTTCTGCAGCAGCAGCGGTACCAGCTGTTGCATCAGCTGCTTCCGCAGCTGAGTGCAGTGCTGCGGCTACACATGCTGTCAGGGCAGATGACTGCCATGGAGGTTTCCATTGTGGCGAACAGTCTGCCCAAGTTGGCATTCTGGTTGCAGCGGGATACTGAGCAGAAGTTGCTGCTGCATGCAATTGCGTGGCATGTGCGAACGTTCGGTAGTACATACACCTCACAGGGCCTAACCCTGGTGCTACATGCCTTTGTCAAACTGCAACACCCCGCACCGCTGCTGTTTGCTGCTACTGCACCTTTGCTGCTGCGGCTGCTGCCCCGCTTTAAGCCGCAATGTTTTGCCGCCGCTTCCCTAGCATACAGCAGCAACTGCTGTTGCCTTCCGCAGCAGCAAGTGCAGCAGTTGTTGCTGCGCATCTGTGGGGAGCTTGAGGCACGTGCTGCTGCTGCAGCTGCATCCCCAGCTGCAGCAGCAACCCGAACGTCACCAGCTGCAAGCGCAGGAGCAGGAGCAGCGCCGCTGCCTGCTTTTGCTGCGCAACAGATATGTGGTATTCTTGGTGCCATGGCGCATGCAGGCTGCTGCAGCCCGGGAGCCTTCGACGTTCTGTGTCGGCAGTTGCTGATACTGCATCAGCAGGGCCTGCTGGCACCGCGTGATATCGCAGAAGCGGCTGCTGCTATGGGGGCGCTCAAACGGCTGCATGCACCGTTGCTCAGGCTGCTTGTTGCAGCCGCCGTGGCAGACGCCGCCCGGTTTGGTCCACCAGACATTGTCAAAGTGCTTGGCGCTGTGTCGAGCTTCGCCAGTGACACAAACAGCAGCTGCCCTCCAGCTGCCCTCGCTGCGAATTCGATTTGGCAGCGCGAAGGCGCTGCGCTCGTAAAGGCGATAGCGGCCGGTGCGACTGCCTTCAGTGCACCTGACGGACAAGTTGCTAGCGAAATTTGCGCATACAGCAGGGTATCAAGGACGACGGCTGCAGCAGCTGCAGGGTGGGATGCGGAGTCTGCGTGCCGACTTTTACAAGGGTGCTACAAGCTGCAAATTGCTGAGCCTCGACTGACTGACTGGTGAAGCCCACGACCCTTTTGGCAAGGCCCTAGTGTGTGTCATGGCAGCCAAACGGTCCAGAGTAAGGCCCTAGAACTCGAATATGGGGATAGGGACCTTGCGTTGAGGTTTTTGCGCCTTGCGTGTAGGGCATGGCAGACTGCGTTCTTCAGCCGCAGCACCCCGAGCCTCGCTGCAGCAGCTGCGGCGCTCAGTGCGGCGGCAAAGATTGCGTTGCCTCTCAACTCTAGGTCAGAATGCCTAATCTGCACACCCTGAATTACCAGTCTCCCCGTGCAGGCCTCAAGGGCTTCGCCAGATTATGTTATTCTCTAAAGACTCCCCATCGCAATTTCAGTTTCGGCCGGGGCCCCACGCTGCTTCGCATTTCAGCATTATTGCCCTGTGTTTTCTTCTCCTGTCCTCAGCGACCTGTTGGCGGTTTTCCGCACCCTCTCAGCCGCAGCAGATGCGGAGTTGACTGCAGCAAGCGCAGCGGCAGTAGGGGCAGCGGCAGTGAATTCGGCAGCAGTGACCCATGCGTCCATAGCTGCGGCAGCTCTTGTTCGCCTAGGCGCCCATACCCGCCACTCCGACGCTTTCCTCACTCTTCTCTCTACCCGTGTGTACCTGCTGCTGCAGCAGCAACGGGTCCTGCAGTTGGCGAGAGTTCAGCAGCAGCAGCACCGCACAGGTATGCAATCGCTAGCCCTATTGTTTCTATCGTGGGGAGCTGCGCGTCTCCACAATCCCAGGCTCTTGGACGGTAGGAATGCAGCACAAGGATGCACGGCACCAGCAGCAGAAGGACAATTCCTATCGGCCCTAGACTATTTGCTATCGCAGCAGCAACAGCCTGGCGAGTGGCAGGACAGACAGGCTACAGCACGGCAGTTGCTGGTGGGTATCGCCTGCTGTTGGCATGCTTATACGTCTACGTGGCCTCCAGCAGTAGGAGCGGCAGCGGGTGCTGCTCCTATTCCTCTGCAGCTCCTGAAAGTGCTGTCGCAAACTGTTCAGTTGGCTGACTCCCTCCGGTGCCCATCTACTCTGCCACAGGCACAGCACCAGCAGCTGTCGCGCCTGCACTATGGCGTTTGTGATACTTCAGCCCTCGATGAAGGAACCTCAGAGCTGCACATCGAGGTAGCAGCAGCCTTGACGCAGCTGCAGCAGCGACAGCAGCAACACTGCTATAAGCCGAAATGGCAAATGCTCACCGAGCAGGAAGCCGGGGTCTACCGGATTGATTTGCTGCTGTCCCCTGTCAAAAACAATTAATTCTAAGCCACTCAACAGCTAGTGCGCAGCTAGTACACAGCTCTACCAGCCAGCTATAATGTTTATCAAACTTCCTCGACGGCGTCTGCCTTTCTTCCACCTTGGCTTTGATTGCTCAGCCTCCCTTCCGTCTGCGCCTACCCCTACCTAGCACGCAGCTCCTCGTCAGTTCAACCCTTATAATTGGGCACAAAAGCACGCGAGCCAGTCAAAGGGCTGCTCAGATAGCAGCCCTCCAACCAGCTACCCGCCTCAAGCCACCGTTGCCCGGCCAGCCAGCCATCCCCTGAGAGGACAGTGAGCCGCCTTACATCTTAGCGTAGCTTTTGAGCAACACTTTGCTACAGGCTGCCGGCGTACGTACGAATTCAGAGGTGAACCTGCCAACTAGCTATCTAGCTCGTGTTACCTAGGTCCATCACTAGTAAATTAGCTGTCTGTGAAGTCAGGGAGCACGGCCAAGAGCTCAGACTGTTGCGATCCAATAGCCGCCGGGCTGCCAACGATGAGAGCCGCTGAGGGGCTTTGAAGGGTGTCTGCAGCGGAAAGAAAAAGGCACACCAGCATGAAATACGGGAGGCACATGAGGCTCGCGAAATCTTAGTTGCTCTCATATTCAAGCACCCTTGCTGCTTGCTCGTCCTCCCACACAGGATGCATATGCAGGGTGTATACAAACATGTACATGATTGGTAAGTGCTACCTCGAAGCAGGCAGCTCCGTATGTACGCATTCACTAGCTCCGAGCTAACTACCTGCCTAGCCCTTTTCACGAAACCGTACAATCGCAACACAGCTGATTATTCAAATGCGTATCCCCGCTGCAGCAAGGTGAGAAGCTGGCCAGTCGCACAGAGAGCCTGTGCTCTAGCCAGCCGCAAGCGAGTAATTGATTTCATAGGGTTAGTGCCTTACCAACAGCGGCCCGTTCACAGGCCTCAGTAAGAAATTTAAAGGACGTCTCGAAAGCCATCTGAAGGAAGGGCGAGCTTGATGACTGGATGCCAAGTCTGCGAAATAGCGCAAAATACCACTCAAAGCAACGCTCAAAAGCGCATTCCGACGCGGATACATGACACAGAAAGTCTCATGGTCGGATGGCCATTTGCGAAGTTGTGCGAAAAGCAAAAAGCATGCACAGCTAAATATGCACGTACACGCATATGCGGAGTTTCCCCGATGATCCTATACTTGTAGCTACAGCAAGCCTGTCCGTTTGTCGACCCAGATGTGCTCTCGACGTCAGGCTATGCATAGGTATTTCTATGTACGAGAGTGGATGTGCAGAGGGATTTATATACATTTAAGTTGACCGGTGCTCATCATTCTATGGGACTACCAACCTGTTGAAAGGCGTAATGTTTCCCTCCCTGGTGACGAAGTCGGCCACCAGCCCTAAATGTGTGCTGTGAACATGAATTCCGTAAGCTGAGAAAACAGCCGAAAGCTCCTTAAGAAACAACGCGCGAGCGGCTTCTACCCCGTAGAACTTTAGAACCGCCAGTACGTCGTTTGTGTTCAACCTTGCAACAAGCGCACACAACACTACTTGGAAATGCAAGCACGCACGCATTTACACAAGCAAACAGGGCAAGGAGGCAGACAAGCAAGCAAGCAAGCTCAATCCACCAGCACAGGTCCTTACCTGTTGTGGTCTACGGCAGTCTCCTTCAACCGGTGAATCCATTGCAGGTTCGTGCCGCTACAGTGAACCTCCAGAGGGCTGCCAGTGACGCAACCAGATCCCTACACGAAAGCGGGGAGGAGCGCATAAGGACTCAACAACACATGAAAGAGCATTACTGGTGAACACAGACACAGAGGGTCACACGGACAGGTTCGGTCATAGTCGAAGCAAGCCACACGAAAAATTTGGTGAACACACGAAATGCATGAAGGAATCCGCTAAGCTCATGAAAGCTGTAACACATGCTTAAGACAAGGCGTGGGCTAGACCCACCTGCACAATACGCGGATCGGAAACACCGCGCGGCTCCTGCAAAACCACTTTCTCCACCAAGCCCTTTACTAGCGGCAGAAGTTCAAGACGGCTACGCACAACAGGCACAACAGTGCAGAAAGTAGAGTACCACGTGCTCCACGCAAAATTAACTCGACAGACAATCGACCAGCAAGCCTTTACGGCTCTCCATTAAGCGCCTGTCCAACCGTCACCGCATAAGCAATCTACCCCCATGGCTGCGCTACCACGGACCCGTGACTGGGCTCGATGCCTTCAGTGCATTTTTCTTGACACTTACTACGGGCACTTGTCCACAGGCCAGCCAAACTTCACAACGACTCGCCACGTCTTCCGACAGACTTTTAGATCGTGGAGTATCGCTGCGGCTGCGGACAACCCATGAGCACACCCTACATCCTAGAGCCCGCACTGTAGACCGCAAAGGCTTAAATCGCCATTCAGTTCACCTTCTCTGCTCATTACTTCACTGAGGCTCAGAAGTGTGCAATTTTGGCTTGTTCGGGAACGCATACACTCTAAATCGAGAGGAGAAACGCCCTTCATTGTTTTCCCGCAGCTCCATATGGCGTCTTCTTCAAAGGGTGCAGGTGTCGGCGTTACGGGTGGAACGGGGCTTGCTGCGTCTGCTTTGTCGTCCGTCACGAACATGCGCAATTTCTTGTCATACTTCTTCCCCCGTAGAGCCTCTGCAAGGTCTAGCAAAGGAGGCGCCTTGAATTCACTGCCATATGCAGCATCCTCCTGTTTCTCCTTTTTCACGCGCTTGCCACGAGGCCCATCTATCTCCTCCTTGTCTTCCCGCTTTACTTTTAGGTCTCCCCCTGACTTTACGTTTCTGGCCGTAACCGCATCTTCATCAGAATCGCTACTCTCACTTCCTTCTTCGTCTTTATCGGGGGTTGTCTCCTGCTCCTCCCCCTCCTCCTCAAGGCCCTCCTCTCCCTCCGTTGCTCCAGCTTCCGCCTCGGAAGCATCGTCCTCACTCTCCTCTTCCTCGCCACTGTCGTCAGAACCCCCAGATCCGTCTAAAGGCACACAGGCCAAACCCACAATCACAAAACAGCAAGGGCTGATGCGGTTGCTCCCGCCAGAGCTCGTCGCGTTTCTTTCGTTGCGCGTGCCAGGGTTGGATGGTGCCGCAGAGTGCATGTCTACAGCCAAGCCAGAGAGAGAAAACTAGCAGAGCTGAATGGCTTGAAATATGCAGTCTGTAATTTGCAGTAATATACAGGCAACTATCGCACCGTTATCATTCTCCTCGCCATCAGCTTCGCGAACGCTCTTAGATTTCCTTCTAGGGCCGTCGCCTTCATCCTCCCCAGCATTAGCCTCCCAAACGCCTTTGGAGTTATCTTCTTCTAAGGAGTTCCCGGGTGCAACATTTCGAGATCCGCCTTGGGATGGACCTCCAGAGCCCTCCTCGTCCAGAGCACCCCCCGCTGCAGCTTCACAATTAATCCTACCGGCCCTTAGAATATCTTTCACCGCCGCACGACGCTCCCTGGTAAGCACACAATTCGATGCAGAGAAGGCCGTCGAATGATGCTACGTTTGTATACACTTGAGCTGGAAAGAATGCTTGCGTGTACTGTCACTTATATGTGCATCGTGTAATGGCACATATCGCAGACATGCGATATGGAAAAGGTGCACTAGGCTTCATGGAGTTACCAGTAGAGTACAAGCGTAAAATACACAACACAGCACTGGCCGTGAGCTATATGTCAATAAGCATACGAGCGCATGCTGCTGAGCGCTCACGATAATTGCTCTAACGCCCTGTGTCAGACCAAAGAGGGGCCAGTGTGTCACACAGGCATCCTTCGCTTGGTTTCGGAATCCGGAACAATAAGGTGAGAAAATACTGGGCAAGGCTCTTAACAAGGTGTTTACGGCTTCAGGCTACGCACCACTGGGATTTATTTCTATCCTTCAAGAGGAAGGCTCTGTAGAGTTGCTGTAGATCACTCTGCAGCTCCGGGGCTTCAGACCACTCGTACTGAGCGACGGAGGCCACCATTAACTTCTTTGCCTGAACTCACGCACAAAACGCATTCCCGAGAGAGTGATCCGGGGAAGCTAAGCATTGATGTGCACTTCGAAAGGCACAAGCGCGATACAAAGTCGCCATTCTGTGGTCCGACCTGTTGAGCCGAAGCCCTCTACTGTGACAACTTGCCTTTTTGAGAAGTGGTCGGACGACTTTGTTAATGACAAGGAGCAAGAGATCGTCCGGATTAAATTGGCGCGCTACGCTGCAGAAATGCTGCAATGCCTCCAGCTGTATGGTCACTTCGTACTCCCAGTACAGCCTGGAAGAGGAGCTGGATGGCGTCATGAAGGCCTTAGCCTCCGGAAAACTCATTAATGAGTCGGGGCCCTAAGAGCAAACCCACCACGCACACCCACTTGCCGCTGGCCTGCACGAGAGCTGATGGCCAGCACTTGTTTGCCAGCGCGCGAGGAAAGAAGATTCGCTGGCAACTCTGGTTTTCCCCTAAACTCGGTCGTAACAACCCACCCCCGCTGATCTAGCTAGCTGGACGAACCGCGGCACGAGGCCCCAACGAAATCCGTTCTCCCCTTTGTACCTGGTAGTAAACGTTGGCCTCCACCCCAACTGCATGCACGAAGTCCTGCATACGAATAGTTGTGAAGCCCCGAAGAGCAGTGGCCGCGTTGCTGGTTGCGATGGCGTACGCCACTGTTTTGTTGAGATGCTCTGTCCCCCTCCTAATTGGAATTCTGATTTGTGGGGTTTTAGTTTTCGCTCCCAGTTGTAACAACTCCCGCAAACGAGGAATACCCATGGTCACGTTCGCAGCGCCATGGCCCGCCTGAACACACAGCCCCTATTCGTAAATCTTGACATACCACCAAGGCACCCTTCGAGGCCAGTAAACGAGAAGTCCTACGCCCAGACGCTCGAGCCTCGTCGGCTCAGAGTACGCGAAACTGCAGGTGCTGCCCGTGCATCTCGCGTGCGTCACTATAGAAGCCAAACTCTAGAAACCAGACGGACCAAGTGGAAAGTGTTGAGTGTCATTTGGGTGGCGGGTTCTCCGATGGACTGCGCAGCGATAACTCCCACAGCCTCGCCTGGCTGCATACAGCCCTTGTGGAAGGCAACCCTCAGCAGCGTTTCCAACTCCTCGGCAGGAAGACCTGATCGATAAATGCCATCGGCAGCACACTGCTGCTGCTTCTGCTTCCTGTGGCGCCTCGCCCCTGAAGACGACTCCGCGAACCAACGGCGCATATGTGCGTAGTCACCGCAGGCTGACTCTACTACCTGCACAACATACACACCACCGACCCTTGCATTCTAATCCCCAAACCTAAGCCTTGCCCTGCAAGACGTAGACACTCAAGCAAGCGCTGCGAATGCCCTTTACTATCCCGCAAATTGTAAGTAGCAAGCTGACATCCTTCAGCTTCTTCTCGAACAGGTAGCTCGTCGTGCCGAGGGCAGAGAGGGGGGAGTTGAAAGGCTGCGATTCCATGGCCCGAAGATATTTTTCCATCGCCGCCTCTTCTTCCTGCACTTTGACGTCTGGCGAGTCTTGCTGCTTTTCGTGCTCTCTCTTGAGCTGGCGCTTGCGGTGCATGTACATCTGAAGTTCCCTCGGCGGCTTGTTTAGCCATTTCAACAAGTATGGATTCTCCGTGAAGACCCTAAAGTCAGAACGAGCAAGGTACTAAAGCGGCAGGCAAGGACGAATTGATGGCCTCCTAGGACTTTGGCAGAAAGGGGCAGACAATAAACTAGAAGCAGGCACGATATGCATTGGAGATGTGGAGACAGCGGACGCGAGACCAAGCAAGGAGATTATAAAGCAGAAAATGTGCATTCGGAATCGGATTTCGCACAACCACAGAGAGTAGATGAAAAATGAAGTCTCATGGAAAAGCGCCAGGGGCAGAGAGTTCAACGCATGGCAAATACCCGAAAAGAGCAAACTTTTCAACAGCGAGGACCGATTGCGTGGACAGCGAGCGACATAAAAATGGCAGGGTAGGCAACGGAACGCAAGCAGACAAGAACGAGGCAAATACCGAAATAGGGGAAGCGTTTGCAGGGCAGGAATACGAAGTTATAAAGCAAAAACAGACATGTGGAGGGCAGGGGTCAAAGACCGGTGCCAGAGCGCCCTGTTTGCTCACTGGAGGTTCTGCAACGTAGCCGCCTGTGTCGCGTCTCTCCCATCGTCCGCATAAACAAACTGCAAGACGCTGCCGTCCGAGTCTCTCACAGAACCGTCATATGCCAAATACAAGCCCTCAAGCGATTTCATGAGAGACCTCTGCAGATAGCCCGACCTGGAGACGAAGAAAAGAAGGGCCAGAAGGCGACAGGGAAACGGCTACTACTGAGAACGTGGGGGCCGCTAGGGATCTACTAGGATCGGCAGCAGGTGTCGGCGCAGCACAAGCTGCAAAGGGATTGATCTTCCATATACACTGACAATCGAGGGAGATAGTGGTCGTCCTGGAAAGCGTGTGGATTGAATGGTAAGAGGAGAAACACAGGGGAAGGCGCAGCAGCACCGAGAATGCGGCACACGGCGGAGAAGTACAAACATGGACAGTGGAGGGAGAGAGCAACAAGAAAGGTAGAAGGGAAAGGGCGGAGAGCAACTGCCAGACGCATGAACAGCCAGTTAGAGTCGGCGAACTAGCGAGGCGTGCAAGAAGAGGGGAAAACGCGTAGCGTGCATGCATGCAAACAAAGAAACTACCGGCGGGCATGGCAAACAGCAGGGGTCGGGCCTGTAGGCGCAGCAAACGAACTTTGCTGTTTTAACTGCAGTGTCGATGAGGCCTTCTCTTCCCGCCATACAGTGGAAGTAGAACTCCTCCTCGCGCAGCCCTGCGATAGGAACAAGCAGTGGAAAAAGACCAAAGTTCTTGCGTGCGACAGCGAAGACAACGCGCGAAGGGCGAAAGATCCGGGGAAACAATACGAACTCGGATCTTCCTAGCCCTTGCGTCGTCAGTCGGGAACAACGGTTTGGCCAGGAGAGGTTTACGGCTTAAAGTGGTAGTACAAACCTGTAAGGAAGGAGGAGAGGACAAAGCCTCTCGCAAGGCTTCCGAAGTCTCCTGGAGCGAATGCAGGAAGAGACCGCCCACTACTCATTGGCTTGACTCTTCTGCCCTCCAGCGATTGCTGCCCTGTGGTACAAGAAAGCATGGGACACAAAGGTGAGTGCATGGAACGTTTACGGGTGTCTTTCCTTGAGAAACATCGGCCGCCAGCATTCGCGCCACCACAGAAGCATGAGCAGACGGGCAAGTGCATAAGACTGCGCATACGGAAGCGAACACGCGGCAAGGGAGACTAGAAGGCATGACAACACACTGGCTATACTTACCGAGGAAAACGCAAATCATCGCGTAATTGACGTTACTGCCCTTTGCCCCGGTCTTAATCATGGCAGCAAACCCATTCCGAGGAAAAGGATACAAGAAATATCTGCATACAGAATAGCATCAAAAGGTTTAGCGGGAGTATTAAGAGGCGCTGCTGTCTGAGAAGGTGCCCCAGCCTACATTTATGACTGCGAGCACATTTTTCTTCTTTTGCACCTTGGGCTCCATTCGTACCTCCCACGCATGATATCTGTGGACTGTGAAGCGACCTTGCCCATAGATCCCTGGAAGAATGAATCCAGCAACTCATCTAGCTCTGACAAGCGCCCCTTAAACCGCTGCGCCATCAACGCCGAGAGGCGCTCCTGAAGATTCGCAAAGCATGCATACCACTACGCAGAGGAGGTCAGGAGGATGCCAGAACACGCCACAGCCGAAACGCAGGAGCTACGGCCAGCAACAAATGCCTATCTTCAAGCAAAGAAGAGGATGTCGTGTGTGCAGCTTGGCGAGCGCTCTCTCTATCTCCTGGACTCTAGGGCTCGAGCCTCAGAGACACATGGAGATGATCATGGGCGCACACACTGACGCGTTCAATGAAGGCTTCCACCCAAATACACCGGATCAACCCCACAATCCTGAATTCATAGAGACAGCTATGGCCCCAGGTGCACGCGCTACCTGGGTGAGAATCGACGGAGCGAGCAGCACGCGCTGATTGGGCGCTGTTGCTGCTGCGGCGTCACTTGCAGTCTGGAGCACGTAGCGAGCTGGCGACTCGAACGTGCCAGATGCAAAGGCTGCAGCGGCACTCTGCTGATGCTGCGCATGGGGCCTCCAGAGCCACGAGGGGTGGTATAATTTTGGTCGCAACCAGCGGGTGCTGCCTTCGATCGAGCCTCCATCGGGAAGGGCAACCTGTGCGCCAGAGAAAGCTAAAATGCCCATTGCATTGTGCAACTGTTGTTCGCCATTCGCCCCCGCACACCGTGTGGCCTAGATATCAGCCCCCAGGAAGTGCCTTCCACTAAAAAAAACTAGTCGCGCAGTGCCCTGACACACAGCGCTGCAGCAGCAGCTGCAGTTGCTTCTGATGCTACACAGCCCACCATGAAGGCGTCTACACAGGGAGGACGGCGCGAATACTGCCCAAGAGGCTTGCAGACCTTACCACGACGTTTGGCGGAGGGGCCTTGAGAGCCTCGCCAGAGAGCCCAGCGCCTTCTGCTTCGAAAGCCTTGCTTCCGTGCCCTTTGCAGGGGACTGGCTGCATGTAGAGGGGCAGCAAGCGTTGTGTTTGCAGGATTCGCGCTACTCGAGGAAGCTGCTGCTGCAGCAGCGGAGACGCACTCAGCAACAGGAGGAACTCCCGACGCTGCTCGGGCATGTCTTGCATGCGTTGAAGTGTGCGCACCAGCTGGCGCAACTGCTGCGCTGCAGCCGCTGCTGTGAGGCGTGCCCCTGCAGAGGCTACAGGGAGCTGCTGCTGCCGCAGGAGCAGCCAGGGATCCAGCTGCTGCTGCTGCTTCTTCTGCGGTTGCTGCTGCCTTGTGAGGAGCTCGGTAGCTGCCTCCGACAACTTGGTGAGTGCGAGTTTTTCCGCCAAAACTGTGGCCGCGGCTGCAGCATCGCCCTGCACTTCTGCACTACACTCATCTGGCACTCCTGAGACTCCGCCTCCTGCTGCCGCTGCTGCCATCTGCGGGAGCGCATGTTTCCTGCGCTGGAGGCCTCCCTCCCCGCCACAAGACTTGAAGGCTTCGGCTGCCGCCTCTGTAGCAGCAGCTTTCAGCGTAGCACTCTCCAGTGATGCCTCCTGCTCCCCAGCAGCGGCACGACTGCCAGAAACTGCTGCGTGCGCGGCACTGGCAGTAGCAAGCCGCTGCTGGAGGCGCTGATGCGCTAGGTCTGCCGAGCAACCGAGGTGAGTGGATATTCGCGAAACAAAATGCTCCTGCAGAAAAGTCCCAGTTCCAACCACCCTCTCTATGAGAGCCTGCCTTTGTTGCATACCCTCCATGCGCAAAACAAAGTCTGCCGGTGACGTTGTGGCTCCGCTGCAGAAGCAACCACAACAGCCACAGAAGCCACGATGCAAATTGTTGCTATCGGTGAAAGCGTGCAGACGTGTATTCTTTCCCCCCACATTCGCAGACCGACGCATACAGCTCGTTCTGAGGTAAGAATCTTCAAGAGTAGAGCTGGGAGGAGGTCGGCAGAAAGCATGTACATGTTTTGCTCTTCGAGCACCTTTCGCTCCATACGCAAAAACGAATACACGGGATTGGCACGGACGCACCAACAGCAAATAATAATAATGTCACACTCCCGTGTGGCCTACGCAAGACTTCCGAGGCACCAGCAACTGCAACGACGCCACAAGCAGCCGTCACTGCGTTCTTACCGGAACTTAAGGAAGCAAGCGAAGAGCGCCCCCAGGGCCTGCAGCAACATAGACGCCGCTCTGCTGCCTAGCAAGAGATAGACGCAGTGCAGAAGACCACCGCTGCTGCACCCAAACTGATTCTTGTCGAACACGCCCTGCAGCAACTCCGACTCCCTGCAGCAAATCCACCAGATGCGGCACGCCTTGTCACCACAGCAGGTGCAGGACACATACAGCCGAAGGTACAGCTACAGCAGCAACAGGAGCAGAGGCAGCAGCAGTGGCAGCACTACGGGGTTTGAAAACCGCTGCACGCCAGAGCCATAGCAACGGTAGCGAGGAGGTCAGTCGCTCTCAGCAATAACACGACCAGCAATAGGAAACGCAGCATGGTCCCCCCAAAACATAGCAGCCAGCAGGGCCAGCACTGATAGGGAAAGCCTCGTGCACAGGAAGCAAGTGGGAAAGCAGCAGAGGGGAGAACGAGCACACGCCTACGCAGCCACAAGACCATATACACAGTGCTGCAAAGGCAACCTCCACGAAGGACCAACAAACAGGTAGATGGACGCCAGGAACCCCACACGAAGGTTCAGCAATACAAGGCCATAATAGAGCGAATACAGAGACAGAGACGCCAAGGACCTGCCTAACCTGATAACAACCGTGGCCTCTTCTTTGTCTCCATCCTCTGCTCCCCCCCACGCGTCGCCAGGAGTCTTAGACTTTGACTGAAGATTAATTCCTCGGTATCCTCGCACAGCCTCAGAGGCCCCTGAATTTTTACCCGCAGTGCTGAGTGCGTTCTGCTTTAGGCGGCTCCTGGCGATGCCGTCCACCAGCGTCTTGAGGATTGCCGTTATGACCTGCACAGAGCCGTGACGTCGTAAATCCTTAGCCCCATAAGGCGCGTGAAAAAGGCTAGAGACAGGCTGTCGAAAGGCTGCTGCGGAGCATGACTCAACAGTCCTCGCATAGAAAAAAAACCTTACCTGCTTGCCCGTCCATAGCTTGCGAGGCCACAAAACAGCGGGATCAACGTGGGTGATGCCCAGGACCGTCGACTCCCCCGAAGCGCCTCCGTGGAGACTCCCCTTTGTCGGTGAGGAGCTGATGGAAAAGCACTTGTCCAAGTCCTTAGAGCGGTCAAGGGTTATGCGAAGACCCCCTCCGAGGGAGCGCAGGTAGCGTTCGAGGCCAGCATACACCTGAAGGAAACACAGCACTCGAAGGCGAGGGCACGATTTCGCGGCAACGAACGGTCAGGTCTAGGACCAGCACGGAAAGCTAGAAGAAAAGGCACTCGACGCCACAGACGAGGAGAAAGGAGAAAAGAGCGTTGTGCGACAAAGACAGGAGCCAACTGTAACAGACTGAGGGAAGTGGAGGGAAAAGAAGAAGGCGAAAAGTCGGGAAGCAGCCACAGAGGCACTGGGAGACAAAACGCGACATGCATAGGCACAGGCAGGGAGGGGCCTGGAGGCAAACGGAGACAGACAAAGGCGCAGGCCCACTAGCGGACAAACAAAGAGCCAATAGCATGAGGAAAAGTGTCTTAATCGACTTCCTGGGGGAAGACGCCCCTCTGTATGACCCTCTCCCTCTTTGCGCCGCCTTACCAGTGTTTGATATTCATGCACCGAAAAGAAGGTATCTCTGCAGGTCAGGAGGGCTCCGGCAAGGCAGTAATCTTGAATGAGGCCCCTTACAAGGTCTCCATTCTTCGGGACTGTGAACTGGCAGTCTGCATTAAGGATTTGACAAGCCTCAGCTCGAGCCACGGCATCCTGCAACACAAGGAAAGAGAGAACAAAGACCGCCGCAACACGGGAAGGCATGAAGTGCGGGAGCAAAACAATGTATGAAAGGCGAGTAATGCTCTTTGATGCTGCTCCTGAGACTGCATATACTGGCGCTCTCGTAACATGGATTCTACTCTTGTCGATATTGGTGTCGGTGTTGTCTGTCACGCGACTTTAAGTCACCTGTCGCAATACCGCCGCGACAAAACAAGTGAAGTTAGCCGGTTCTATCACAGTGCCTAATGCTCTACCAGCAGTGGCTGGCCCTTTGAAAGTTACCTGAGGAACATGGAGATTCATTTCGTCTCCGTCAAAGTCCGCGTTGTAGCTGCTGCAGTTGACAAAATTGATTCGAAAAACGCGTTCCGCGAACTCCTTTTCGAACTTCGCTGCTACAGAGGCTGCTGCTGTTTGCTCGTTTTGTTGTTGCGCCTCCTCCTGCTCCTTCTGCTGCTGGCGCTTCGCCATTAGGGCCCGCGAGACTTTCCTGATCGAACCATCCTTTCGCCGAAGTCCTTGTGCGTCTAAGAAGGTGTTCACGTGATATTCCGGAGTCAAAGGCCTCGCAACTTTCACAAAGTGCGCCATTAAGGACAGACGGTGGAGTGACGGCTGCCGATTCATTAACACCACGTCGCCATCTAGCAGATGCCTATATACCCGAAACACACCCCCATCAGAGGAACCCGCAGACGCAAAAGCCTCCAGCTCCGCTGCCTTCGCAGCGCGCGCGGACTCGGACATGAACTCCAAATTGTACCTGCGGAAGAAGAGAGCCAGTCTCGCATGCTGCAAGAAACTTGCGAAAACGCCACTCGAAGACACGGAGGAGCAGGAGGGGCCCAGAGGCTGCTTCGACACAACAGCGCGATTCAAGTGGCAGAGCACAGGTTCTGCTTATGAGGCAGACAGGAGGAGCAGCACCTCGGGAGGCGCTGCTCCTCAATCCCGCGAAGAATGCAAGAAGCAGTCAGTGAGAAGCAACAGGCAGCAGCGAAGGCAACAGGAAGAAGAAGAGGGCCTCCGCGTGCTTGCCCTCCTATTCCTGCTGCTCCTCACTGCAGCTCGCCCCTCCCCAGCACTCGCCAAACTCACGTGTTGCCTCTGTCGTCCTGCAGTCCAAGGGCCCCTGGGTGCCTTTTAGGTCCATTGCGGACCATCATACTGAGCTGAGCGGCGTTGAAAGCCGTGACTGCCTCAGGCACTGAGAGCTTCATTGCGAACTCCAGGGGCACAGCCACCTGAAACGACATACCTAAGCTTGACTATTTACATATAAGCCTTCCGTTATTAGCACTACGAGGCAACCAGTGCTCACTTCAAGAAAACAACTGCGCTAATCTAGAATGAATAAACTGATCGTCCAGTGTACATGACCATTTTCCGCGCTGACCTCATTGGCTGCGAGAAGACCATCTGGGGCGAGGACAGTGCGTGCGGCAAAATTCACACGCTTCCCCTGCATGCGCTGCCTAATGGCACCCGCCTTTCGTTCCATCCACTGGCGGATGCCTGGGGGAGCTGCTTGCCTGCAGAAAAGACAAAGAAACGAGAGAGGGAGACAGAGAGAAAACAAAAAGTGCGGATGAGGCGTAGCCGGCATTTACTAAAGGGGCAACAAGGTGAGCGGGCAGACTCCTTACGTTTCGACCTGGAAAAGAAACGCGACAAATGGGTAGAATGCTTACGGTTTTTCTGCTCGCGTGCTGTCCGCGATTTCATTGAGCTTGAGTTGCAGCTGCAGTGCGTAGCTACTAAGCCATTTACCTCCTCCTGCTGCGTGTTGTTCTACGAACTCCTGCATCAGCTGCTGCTGCTCGGGTGCCAGCTGTTGTTGCTGCTGCTGTTTCTGCTTGTCGCTAGTGTCTGCCCCCGTAAATAAGGCCGCCCACTGCGTAGGGTCCCTAAGGGCCCCCAGTGGGTCTGGATGCCTCAGCACGTTGAGCGCAAACCTAAGCTTCTCATTCAGCCTCACAATATCCTGCAACTGCTGCGTTCGAGGGTGTAGCAACTGCCGTGCACTGCCACCGAAGCCGCGGGAGGCACCCGACGTAGGGGGTCTAAAGCGATTCGCGGAAACAGCGACAGCCTGCTGAAAGAAAACGGAGGGCCCCAGGCGCACAGCTGCAGAGATAGGCAGACACAACAGCAGCAAGTGCTGCTAATCGCAAGCCTATGCGGACACACGGCAGCAAAGGAAAGCTACAAAAGCACAGGCAACACGAAAGCAAACATAAGTTACACGGAAACTCGCACTTCCAAAGATGAAGCGCCTCGAGAGGCGAAGGAACGCTGAAAGCAAGACGAGGCACAAGCAAGGCTTCCAACAGCAGAAGGGGCCCCACCACCTAGGGAGAACGGCCGACGGGAGGTTACCATGTGCACAATACAGGCAAAGGCACGCTGCGTTGTAGCACGAAGCACGGCAGACAGAAAGCGCTAGGCACGTCAAGATGGACTAGCGTCGAGGAAAACACAAGCCAAACAATTGGAGGAGCCACAGAGGGCCAGTTGTGCGAGGATCTATATGCCTGGATGAGGCGTCAGCGTAAGGCGCTTCAGCGCCAGCCACTCCTGCAGCAGCAAGCGTTGAACGAGCAAGTCTGCTGGCGCTCACTCATGGGGAAGAGATATGCGAGGAGCACACGGTCTTCCTCCCGCTCAAATAGCATCTGCACTAGAGGCAGCAACTGAAAACCATGAAGCTCCACGCTACCTGTCGCCTTCCCAGTACGGCCTGCAGCAGCAAACCCAGCACCGCTGCATGAGTGAGCCTTAGCAGCGAACACAGGGTGCAATGTTCACCCATCTTACGACTACTAAGGACGACCTGCCAATCGAATGGCATACTGGATAGGCCTTGGGCACGCATCTCTAGAGATGCCTGCATGCACGGATTCTTTAAAAGGGCATGTCCCGATGTTTATAGACGCATGCATCCACTTCCCAACCATTTCGAATCCGAGGAAAACTGCGACAGCTAGAGCCTTTATAAAGAGATATAAATATGTGTGTGTACATGAAGTAATAGTCATCTGCAGATAGTAGGGGCACTCTCTAAGAAACTACAGCGCCCTATAGAGCGTTCGCCCTTAAGCGTCTCGTTGTAGGCTTATCTGCCGGAAGCCTGTGCGGCCAGGTGCACCAGTGCAGCCAAATATGAAGCACGAACATGCACCGCACCAGTCCATCAAAGAATGGGGACAAGCGACTAACTAGTGCCTCATGCATTCCTCCCTGTCCCTCTGTGCCCTTGACGGCGCTCACTGTACTTAAGACATCCCTCATCCGGCTTAACTCTGCCTCCGGTGTCTCCGGCCTTTAGATCTGCCCCCTCCGAAGAGAGCTCTACTCCTTCACAGTCCTCCCGCGACTCCTTCCGAGCACCTCCGTCGAAAAGAGATCCAAAGAAACCGCCTGTGGTATACGGAAGTGCACTATGCCAGGGCCATCGCAATTCCACGCCAGAGGCTTTCGGCGCCAGGTGTACAGACACCGCGTTCGCTCTGCACATTGCACGCGCGCAACAAGCCCTCATGCCATAGACGCTACTACTTGCGGCGAAGCAGAGACACGCCTAGGCGTATTAGGTTCTCGGCCCTGTGGTTGTACTTATTACGCGCTTGGAAGTTAGAATGCACGGTTTGTAGCTCATCTTACACTCCACAGTGTGAGCATCGTCCAGTAGCGGCTGCTAGATTCAACAACCTGTTCCTTTGCTGCCGCCATGCTGCAACATGCCATCCAGTGCCGCTGAAATCTCTGGCTATGTGCTGCAGCAAGAAGCGTTCTCTGCTCTCCGTATCCGCTGCACCCGCGACCGCTGACTGCTGCTGCATACGGGCATTGATTTCGGACTCTACAGCAGCGAAAATCTGCAGAATTTGTGCGCGTCGCTTGGAAGACTCCGCCTCTCCACTAGCGTTGTTGTTAGTGGTGGTACGAGCAACTGCAGAATCCATCCGTTCCAGCTCTTGCAACAATAGCAGCTGCAGCAGCTGGAACCGCTTCACTTCAAGACCCTTCTGTTGCTTAGAGAGTCTCACTCGACGGCACTCTAGACAAACCTGATGCACCAACAAAAAGCAGTGCCAAGGAAAAACCCAACCGTCGATGGCAAACGAGGCACACACATTATGAAAAGCGTAGCTCCGGCTACGGAAGCCGCTACGCTCTCCGCGTCCTGCTCATCGAAAAAGTTAGGCACAGGGTATCGACTCCCCAACAGCAGCAGCAGCAAAAGCTATAAATCAGTACTGCACAGCGCCAGACAGGCACTCCAGCACACGCAGCACCAGGAGCAGCCACTAGCAGGAGGTTGCTTCCTACCCCTCTTAGCAGCTTGACTAGGGAGCTTATCAGGATGGGGTTAAGGACTGGCAGCTCCAATTCAATATGACCCAAGTGGCCTGGGCAGCTGCCAGAGCCTCCACACGTTCCGCATGTTTCTCTCCCGTCGAAAACCCCCATTCGGCTGTCATGGAGGCCTCCTGGCACTGCAGCAGATAGCTCTGCAGCGGCTGCTGCGGCGGCTGCGGCTGCATCTACACCCCATTTGCTCTTGCTGCTGTTAGAGCCCCCAGAGTGCCCCCCGCCGTGGCCATCCTGTGAAGCGAATGTTTCCGTCGAGATGATGCGGCAGCACGAGAGCTTTCGTATTTCCTCGTCGTCCAGAAGCTCCAGACGCGCAGCGGTCACGTGGGTGGAGACTACGAGGTTAGGATCAGCCATTTTTTGTGGCTTCTCGGAGCTGTTTGACGCTCTATGGCCTAGAACCCCAAACTCCAGAACGGCGCACCCTAGGCCCTAAAGGACAAGGGTAGTAGCAGCATACGTGAGTGAGTCGACATAATAAAGGGGGTAGAACCAAATCGGTAGAGTACGGAGAGGGATTGGGGTAGAAGGCACAGAGCTGCCAGGTATGTGCCTAAGGGCGCTGGCCATACACTTGAACCTGGCTACCCTTCGGCCTTGTCCGCGTGTTTCCCTATTATAAATGGTGCAGGCAAAATCCCAAGGAATTTCTGGCGAAGAACGAAACAGAAGGCGAAAAACCAGAAGAGAGCATTGAGGCCGGGGCTGGTGCTTCTCAGGGATGGGATTCCGAAGGAACGAGCAGAGAAAGCATACAAATATAGCCCATTCTCTGTAGCTTCTACCGATATAGCCAGTCTAAGCCCTTGTGCTATGCAAAGCAATGTATGGATACCCTAAACAAGTAGGAGGCAAGCAAGAAAAAATGCGACCTTTGCCTGTGGGGGCCCCTGTGGGGATCGAGAGCGTTGGGGGCCCTCGCAGTGAAAGAAACAAGATCAGAGCGCCATAAATTATTTCTTTTCTCTCATTTGCCGATTCTCCAGCGCGAACGTGCATACCTCGATGAATCGACAATTCCAGGTGCATAGCAGTGGACTAGGACTCTTGCAATTTCCGCTAAAATGCAGAGTGGTAATATGACAGTTCGACTAACGGTGGTAAACCCCTGGCTTTGCTGTGTAGCCAAAGCCATATATCACGCTTCTCTAAGGCAGGTAACATCTCCCTCTCGTACTGTACTTGTTGAATCCAAGGTGCTGCGCCTTACCCGCGGGTTTGGGTCTACTGAACCTGTGGAAAACGGTTGATTTCCCCTCCCGAGCAAGATTCCGTTTTCACATAAAAAGCCATAAAAGTAAATGTACCAAAGGCTAGAAAAGAGCTTCGTTTGAGAAAATGGGGCGGAGGGTTTTGTTTCTTCTAAAGATAGCCAATTTCCACATGTATGACCCGTAGGCAAATCCTGGCTCAAGGTCTAGGGCAGCCACAACTCTGCGACTAAACAGCTAATAGGTACTCAAAACAAATGAACTAAGCGCACTCTCTAAAGTGCGCTGGTTACTCCCGTGTGCCCTGAGGGCTGAAATCCTTAAACGCAGGACTGTCAGCGGGAGAGAGCACCACCATACTAGATAAAGAAGCTATAGAGCATGCCGATGTAGCTGGAACGCTGGCACGGCACGGCTTCCCAGATCTTAACACAAGGCTTTATTTTCTTGAATGTTTTTGCTAGGGATGCAATGAGAGATGTGTTTTCTCCGCATGAGATGAAAGTAGGTTTTGCCTGCCTGCCCAGCATCACTTGTTGTCCGTGGTGCTTGGCATGGGCAAATTTAAGAGAAAGAACTATATTCGCATTGGCCAGAAGCGCAAAAGGAGTTCTTGGGTAAATAGGGTTAGGGGTTACAGTTTAGCCTGCCCTTGCTCTCAGGATTGTGGGCTACCTTACACTCTTGGTGGTCCGGGTGGCACGGCGTCCCCAGATCCATTCCGATGAAGTCGCCCCCTTATATGTTATATGGTGACAGCTTCACCATAGATCCTATCGTATGAGAAGAAATTTACAGCACTTGGCTGCTCCTGCGTGCAGTGAGCACTGCGAAACTTGAACATGTCCTACTGCATGAATTATGCCCATTCAAGGAGTAGTAAAGAACTACTTGCTGTTTGGTTGTTCCTATATCCTATTTGACGCAGATTATGCTTAGAATGGAAAGAAAAACGAGCAACGTTGTGTGCATGTGCACTTAATGCTATGTGCAACTGGCTGTGAATGTGCAGAGTGCTTGGACGGTGCGGTTAGGCTCGCCGTAGTCGTCCATCTTCCCTCTCGTCGGAGTAGCGAAGGGTTAGAGCAGGATGATGGGGAAGCTCTTAGGTAGAACCCTCAAGAACTTTTTAATAAGCTTGTACAAAGTCTAGAGTTAATCATCTCCTTATAGAGACCTGTGATGTAACGTTACACTTGGTAGCACTGCGTGAGTCGATAACACTGTTCTCCGCTTGTGCCCCAGGTGTTGGTGTACCGCAATCCAAAGTGTCTCTAGGATCTGTTTCCTGGTTTGCATGAATCATCTGGAAACTTCCGGTGGCGCAGCGCCTGTCGGGAAGGCAGAGGGCGACCTTCGCGCCAACGTGAAAGCAGTTACTGGTTGAAAGGCACATTATTTACCCCAATAAACTGCTTGTGGGTTCTTCAATGAGGCAATACCGACCAGAACATATGACGGATGTAAGGATGGGCAAGCTTTTGAATAGTTAATAAGCGTGTGGGAGATGTACCAGGCTTTGTACTCTCTTGTGAAGAGAAATAAGTGCTCCTTGTGTTACGCCTACTGCCAGCAGAGCAACTTCATTTTTTGCCACACTCATGCAGAGGTGTCTAGCTGCAGACATTACTATGGTTCAAGCTTTTATACAAGCCATCAGTCATTGGTTTCTGCATAAATCGGCCTGGATAGCCCGCTTTCCTAGGCAGCTCCCGACACCCAACCCAAACGTGCAGCTGCTTCTATCGTGGCTTATGAGACCATACAATCCAAGACTGCGTGCACATGCAAACGTCAAAGAACTGAAACAACGGTTTCAGGTTCGCCCTATGCAGGCTGTGGCGCACGAAATCAGGCTACAGAGGACAGATCATTACAATAAGGATCTATGGCTCCTTAGTGCGTTCTGCCTTTATTGCCCTCCTACACATTGATCATTTCATGACCATTACAAAAATGAGGCAGAGAGGCAGAGAGAGTGCACAAAATGTACTTTGCAGTCTTTGCGACTCATTACTCACGAGAGTTCATTTGCTTGACTTTGCTCTATTCCTTGTGCTGGGTGCGCCTTTAACACAGCCGTACACTCGTCTACTAGTTGCTTGTTGTGCATTCTTCATAAGGATCACAGCTTCACCTGAAAGTTGTGATCCTAGTCGCTCTTGTCCCCTTTCGCTTTCTGTAAGAGCTGCAGAAGGGGCCCTAGTGGGGCATTCAGATACTGGATTTCGTCACTCAACAGAAGGAAGGCAAAAGTGAAGGGTTAAGGTGGTGCAATACATTACATACTATGCTGCATTTGTTAAAATCGATTGCAGTGTCGAATACTGTTCTTGATACAAAGATATCATATATCTATATCTGTTCGAAAGATGGCGATGAATCTTTTTTCACTCAGGTGCTAAAATTAATGCTTCTGAGCCTGGATGCTTGGGTCCAAGTGCGGATCGCAGCCCTGCAAGCTCAATGCGTTTGAAAAGCTCCACGCTGCCTGTGGGGCTTGAAGTTCCAACGGACTACGTTTGGTTTTACATGTTCAAGTGTTTGAACGGCATGTTGTGAGCCGATTATTGGGATGCGCTTTTTCTTCCAGATTATGAACATCGACAAACAGCATATTAGGATCTAGAGGAAAACCGTGAAGTACAGAGTACCCGAGCGTGAGAACCTTTAAGGGTGCCCCACAAACCTAGGAACTGACAAGTGACAGTCACTTAACAACATTCTAGGGTGCCAGGCAGTTTAAGTACTCAAGCCAAAGGATTCCAGCATATGGAGACACGGCTAGGGGAATAGGACGGTAATGTCTGGTCCGTCGTATAAGGAGACTTCAAGGTCAACACAAGACCACCAGCAATGGCTGCTTAAAGAGCAAGCAGTCATTGGGGGGCCATATCTGAAAAGTATATTCGTTTTGGTACTACTAGAGTGTGTTTTAGTGACGGGAGTTCAGGCTTTTGGCTGAATGAGCGTTGTCTCGAAGACCTCTTGCGGTCCTAAAGGAACCAAAGCTCGATACTTGAGGATTACTACTAGAAGACATCCAGAGCTGCCCTGGTCTGCACTAATTCTCCATCCTGGCGTAGTTCTGGTGGTCCGGGGTCACCAGCCACCCTTAGCAGAAAAACATGAAACTATCATAAACGGCGATCGTCTGTGTGCCTCAAATCTGCTGAATTGATATTGTAAGATCTGGCCTGCTCTACAAGGTGCACCAAAAGGTGACCAGACACCGACGTCTGCAGCCGAGTGGCTCAAATTACCTGCAGCTTTCTCACGCACCAATGCCCCTTTTTATACCGTCAAATGCCCTTTAAGCCAAAGCTGCCACAGCACTCTCAGTATGGGCTTTCTAGAGAAGTTTGACAACTATCCAAATTATTTGCGGACTATCCACGCAGGCAAGTAACCCACGTAGAGGCGGAGGATCTACAAGGATACTATGAAGCTGGATTTTAGGACTGATGAGCGCAGCTGACACATTAGAGTAGAGATTTTAGTGGAATGGGGTGGGGAACGTCATAACCATTGGTTGACGGAGGTGTTGTTTTAGGCTCTATTTACGGCGGGATAACGTGCATCTATATTTGGTTCCCAACGCTCGTAACGGACGGTACTCCTCGCGCTCCTCGGTGATTGTCCGTCCTCGAGACATGCTCGGCCTAAAATAGCGAACTTTAGCTCTGGGCATTGCTAAAATATTTTCTGGCCCTTGTTGATCAGCTTTTCTACACTCAGATTTATGCACAGGCAGCCTAGTGCAAACTGTCCATAAATTCTTCCTTTTGCCTCTTTGGGGGCCTTGAGATCGACTCTCTTTCAATCAATTGCTCTATCTGCATGCATAAAGTGCTCTATGAGCATGGAACGCATTGCATAATCAGTAAGTATTTCGATTTCCTCTACATATTCCACTTGTTTCCTGTTGTCCCGTGGAAGGGGGCTGACATTCTCGGCGCCACGGCGACAGTGAGCCATTGCGACACTGTTGTCCTGCTAAACTGTGACTTGTTCGTTCTTGGCTATTTTTTATCTGTCTCCTCCTGTAGATTTCTAGGGTTGTGTGTCCCCTTTATATTTGGCACTCTCACTGTTTTCAGCGTTTCTGCATGCCTGGGGAGCGGTAATGGGGCGGAAGTCTTTGGCTTTACCACACTTCGTTTGTATTTATGCAGAGGCACAGGAGGCCTGTGTGTCTTGAAATGTTGGGGGAAGCTGTAGTGGGCTTTATGACACGCCAGCACTTTCTATTACACTAGTCACTACCAGGAAGCAACACTTTAGCTTTTTCCACTACTCTGGCCCAATTCAGTTGAGCAGTATTAGAGAAACGACTATTTCGGCTGGCTAATCGCGCGACTTTTGCTTCAGAGCTCGCCATCTATGAATAGAACAAGGATGAATATTCTGGGCTTAGGCCCTAGATGCAATGTGCACCTCGCTTTTTTTGCTCGGAGTGCGTAGGGGGGCGGTGCAACAAAGTGCGTTGTGGCAGTCCCTCTCCCTTCATGTTGGAGCCCTAAAGAGGGAAGGCAAGGAAGGACAGGAGATTCCTTTCAGAAAAACACTCAATAACTTTCTACGAAATTTGTTTTCTGTCTGGAATTAAGTGACTTCCCTTACAGTCCAATTTTGATGCAGCGTTGCACAGCAGGTACGACCTTGGACCTTCTCTTGAAATAGTATAAGACTCCTTTTTCCTGAATTTTCAAAGCCACCCTCACTTTAACTGAAACGCAAATTATGCTCACCTCAACTGTAACACAAATGATGAACTTTGCCTTGAACTCCTAGTCCATACAGAGTAAACCTTGCTCGTTAGCTGTAAGGCCTTTAGTCTGAACCCTCAACCGAAAGGCATTTAGGCTGCTTTTTGCAGCTTAGATCGTACACCTGATATCCTAAGGCTCTACCCCTCAACCTTGAATGCTTGGCCTTGCATCTTAGCCCGCAAAGAGTAACGCCTAGAATCTTCATGCATGCATAAGGCCGGCCTTTTGCGCGTTTTCCGAAATCATTAGAACGGGTATATCAGCCTGCATACTATAATAAGAATTTTTGGGCTTCTCAACCTGGACACTTGACCACTTGCATGTCAACTAACTCTTCGCCTAAATCCGATGCAATCTACTTCGTGCTAATGGGATACTCCCCTGAAACTGTACACGTATCCTATTTGAGTAAGCTTTCATTCCGAGGGACAAGTTATATGGAGGAGGGTGATTCGGGCCTTCCTCTGTGTTTTTGTCATGATTGTAGGCATCCGTATTTTCTGTAGATGGCATGAGTAAAGGCTCAAGGACAAAATTCGAACAAAATGCCACAGATCTTTCGCGTTCCCCCCCTAAAAATATCCTTTTGCTTAAATATGTTTCTAAATAGCCTCAAGAGTTGTTTAACTCTCTTTGCAGCGAATTCAGTGTCGAGATACAGCCCCCTTGCCTGAGTGGGAGGGTACCTTTGCCAAGCACGGCGCGGTTTGGTCACCTCTACGCGAACACGGCAAGCCCCTAGGTCATGATAATTCGCCATATTCGGACCCCTAAACAGCATCTCGAGTCAAACCTATTTTATTTCGTGCCTTTTAGTTCCCCAATACTTCATTATTCCCGCTCTTGGCTAACAAGGACCAGACCGCAGCCAACAGCAGCAGCGGCAGTGCAAATAGCCCGTGATACTCTACACTGCCTGATCCTTGCCCCTGTATTCTAATGGCTAACGAAAGCATTTTTCTGACGTACAATGAATTCCCCCCCGAGAGAGCAGTTCAATGCAGATACAAAACAAAGGAAAAAAGCACTCCAGCCCATCCTTCTCTTCTACCCCTTTGTTATAAAATGCATAATTCCGCTACTCCCTCTCATTGTGGTCATCTCCGCAGACGCCAAAGTGGCAGAAGCCGGCAGAGAGGCACTTGAGGCCATCGACATACCTGAAAGTGCCTTGCTCATAGTGCCAAGTGAAAACGGAGGAGCTTGGTGGGAGCGTGCAGAAGCTACGGCCAAGCCAGTTACACAGCTGAATAGGAATCCAGACACGAAAATGGCTGTCCATTGTGCTGAAACAACGGGATTTGCTTCTGATGTTGCCAGCTGTGCCTCTCCGTCTACTCCGCTTTCACGCTCTAGGAGCTTGCAGGCCTTCGATGCTTCTCGCTTTGGTCCAGCTGCTCAGTATGCACAGTACCTCGCCACATTTGTTCCTCCTGTTCAGCAGCAGCAGTTCCTCCAGCAGGCCGCCGCTGCTGGTTTGGGTGTAGGGGGTGCCAGTAATTCACACGCTTTAAAGAGACTACAGAGAAGGGCACAGGCTGCTGCATATGCAAACTCAGTTTCTTCACACCCGCTAGTTCAGGGAGTCGTTAGGACAGCATTTACAGCCGTAGCAGAGGCACTGGGGAGTGTTACGCTTGCAGATGTTTTGGAAGGAGCAGTTGGAGGAACAGGGTTTATCCCGGTTCCCCCGATTATGTAAGTTGATGTGCAAGTCCGCGTTGTTACGGTGTAAATTGCTCTCAGTGGGGTGCACACATGCCTCCCACACTGAGGCTCTTTTAGCACAATGGACAACGGGTCGTGGCCTTTTCTCAACACAATTACATTGAGCACTTTTAGTCAGCCACATGATGCCTCGAAAGTGAATGCGCACTTTTCGTATTTGCAGAGGCTGTATAGAGGCCTCCGTGATGCTGTGTCATCGACCGTAGTAGAGCGGCAGAAAACCTCACATAGTTCTTGGCCACAGCAAGTCCCAGAAAATGCCCTTGAGTGTGTATTACGATACAGATTAACTGTGTCTATGACCCGCCCAGTGCGTTATTCAAGAAAGCTATCGAAGAGCGGGCGATTATGATAAACCCATTGGTCGAGCACGGAGACACTACAAGCCAAAAAGCTGAGTCTGCACTACTACGCTGTCTAGCTTTTGCGAACAGGGGGCGAATCAACAAGACAAAAGCCCTAAGGAAAACAGAAATGGGTCCAAACCTTGGGCTGAGGGTTGAAACTCCGGGACTAACATGAGATGCACTACTGCTTCCACCTACTTGCTTCCCTGTCTTTTGCGGCATCTAGGATAACAAGAAAGCACGAGTAGCCGAGAGTGGCACTCGACTAATAGTCCTTTGTGTTGGAACAAACGTAAAACGACAATGGAAGACGACGTTTCGACACGTTAGAAAGGCATATGATCACACATGAGGCAAGGCAAAGAAACCGCACGTCACTTCTTTATGACATTGGAGTCTTGTGCTTTGCTCGTGGCACCTGTAGTGTGCCCTTCATGTCATAAGAACCCAAACAAATTCGCTGACGTATACTAAGGAGCCACCACACAGAATGGGTGCTCCTTGTGTACATAGGAACAAGTCCTGCTTAGGTACAACAATGTAATCAAACAATCCAGACTATCCATGATGGAAGAGGAGGCAACTTGCCAGCTGTTGCTGCTGCCTGCTCTCCGCTCTCTGCTGACCTTCTGCGAGCAGCCTCTGTCCGTTGTTCAACTCCTATTTGGTCTAATATGGTGTAGAAGTTAAACATTTCGGGATCCCCACCATGCATTTGCTGCTGTTGAGAATATACTATTCTTTGAATGGCCTGATTTACCTCCTTTCGATATCTCACAATCTTCACAACCAGTTCCATTTGTTTGTAAGCTGCGTATTCGTCTGCATATGTGGCTGTTTTTGCACTGACCAGAGTTTTAGCAATCTCCGGCAGATGAAAAAGTGCACCCGTGGAATCAATACTCTCCAAGTTGGCCATAGTCGACCCTGCATTCTTAAACAACGATCCTTTGGCTCTGAACTTTGCGGGAGTAGCGTCAAAAGCCCGCAAGATAGAAGCACCTGCTAACTGGCCAGCCAGATCGTGTGCTTTGTCCTCCAAAATCTGCAGGGCCGCGCTCTCCTCTGCCAAAAGGTATTCAAGTTCTACTTTTGTCGCCTCCAGGGTTGCCTCCTCCTTTTCCATATTAAACACCATCTTCTGCTCTTCCAACAAAGTAGCCAAAAGGAGGGGCAATGCTTCCCCTTTTTCCTCGTATGCTTTCAGCGCCGTCAGAGCCCGATTCATAACGCGAAGTCGAGCGTAAGCCTGTTGCCTCTTCATCCTCCAATCGTACGCACTTGCCGCGCACAAAAGAAACTCCTGCTTCGTAATTTCGATTGAGGTGGTGCTTAGATATTCTGTCGTATACTCTCGGCTTGGCTTTGGGAATAGCTGCTTGGTCAGGAGCTCCCGAAACTCATTTGCTGCATCACTCCCTGCCGCTTCCTCCAAAGCCTGGGCCAGCGGTGCGGCCATCTCTAACTTCCTGTCTGCCCTTGTATAGCCTTTAGTGACAGGAAATTCTGGTTGTAGAAAGATGGGAGCCGAAGCACTCAGAATCGTCTCTGATTGGCACTTATCCTTATTTATACCTTTTTCCTCCGTATCATCGCTCGAGACATGCTTTGTTGTGCTTGACCTGTAGCCCTTTTCATCCTTTGCCACGGGCTCTCCGCCAGTCGTTTCCTCGCTGTCCGCCGTTTCTGGAGAAGAAACGTCTTTAGGTCGCTCCCCCTCAATATACTTCTCTAACTTACTATGGCGTTTCGCGGTAAGACGCGCACCAGCCCGAAATGTCTTCGAAGCATCCACAAAAGTCTGCTCAGGACTTTTGGATTCTTCGTCATTTGCCTGCGTAATGTGCTGTGGTGCTGGGTAGAATCTTCTCGAATCTATTGAATCATCACGATCCAGCTGAATGTGGAGCTTCTGCGTAGGCCCGGTGGCCGTGGGAGATGCCGTCGTTTCGGGCGTTCGAGTTCCGTCTCCTGATAAGGAGGCAGAGTCAGCATTGCTCCCTTTTCCTCCGAAAAAATACCGTCCACGAATAACGCTATCTTCGTCCAGCGGGGTGCGGAAGAGGCGGTCCTCATCACTATCATCTGATGAGCGGCCACCTGTGAGATATGCATCGATCTCGGCATCGCCCCTGCTGGCGGAGTCTTCTGACGTATCATGTTCTTGCAAGTCTAGTTTGTCAAGATGTGATTTCTTGAAGCCTGTATACATCTTTTCCCCAAGAGGGTGCAAAAACTCGTGGCGCTTAGATCGGATGAAGTTCGAGGTTTTGACGACCATGACTGCAAATATTGCCAGCAAGAGCAGACAAATAGCTTGGCGTGGGGGGTAAAAAGATCGCCGCTGCTGCGGCATCCACCCCAGCCCAACCACCTTTCGTTTAGCATGCCTGTTCTCATGCTTCCTGCCCGCCTGTTTCTCTCTGCTCAGCGACGGCCCATATGTATCCTGCTCCGTTTCCTGCTCCACTTCCTGCTCCACTTGCATCTCCCGAGGCCGAAGGTGGAGGGGCAAAACTAGTATCGAGTAAGCTATTTACCGGGGCTTTCCTTTTGGCGTCTCAAGCCCATCGGCCAGCATAGACGCCTCGATGGTTTGTGAAGATGTCACCAGCGACATTGGCAGGAGAGCATCTCCTAGCCCATAGGGAATACTGCCGCCTTCCGCCCAAAGCAGCGCAGGGAGAAGGCGATTCTGTCCTCTGAATTTTGCCTTTAACTACAAGCATTGAGGTCTCGTAAGTGACACAGCAATAAGGGGCCAAGCATCTGGAGAAACATGCGAATGGGTAGAGCCGCAACTGAGCTGCCGAGGAGAGTGAAAGCTCCACTTTAGTGGCGGATTACAGTCCTCTGGAGGCAACTATTGAGAGCGAGGATGGAAGCAACACGATTCGTGATAGAGGAAAAGAGGGAACATTGGTGGAAGCTCACTAACCACTCTGGGGTACAGGATCATCGGATGGTGCTGCGTCGCAGCAAGGCTTGAACCGGAAGTGAGTGATCATCGAAATATGGAAGCAGCTCAAGGCTACAACATTCGCGTAAAACCAAAAAATAAGTATGATCGATTTCAAGCTGCTTGATAACGTAAGTGGTACGGGGTTTTATCCCCTTCATCCATGCTGTACGGCTATAAAAGTGGTTACTAAGGTGCTTAGATGCTCATCCTCTGAAAGCATGTATTGAAACTGCTCAAGGGGATCATGATAATTGGTTTCATTCTTAGCGAGTGAAATGTTTTTTAAACAGCAAAGTAGTATTCTTTGAGCCCCAAGAGCTGCTGTTTCATGTAGTGGGCCACAATCGTGCGGCGCTCCGTCTGTCCTCGCATGAAGACGAAACCCAGACTCATTGGCGTTTCCTGGAAATTCCTGATTAATTGCTGCTCAAGAAGAGCTCTGTCATGTGGCCGCACCCCCCAGAAAACCTGAGACGAGGGGAGAGCGGCACCTACAATATTCTTAGGTGCACCCTGTAAGCACTTGGCACATCAGTAGCTAGTGGCCCAGCATCTCCCGCAGACGCAAATGTACATGGCCACATTGATTCATGCAGTCATGAGCCAATGCTAGTCCAGAAGAAATTTGTACACAAATAGCCTAGCGAAATAGGCAATTGTCACCACCCTCTTGTTGAGGATAATAAGTGTGGTAGGAGGTGCTGACGTGTCACAAAGCCCGCTACAGCTTCCCCCAACATTTCAAGACACACAGGCCTCCTGTGCCTCTGCGTAGATACAAACGACGTGCAGTACAGCCGAAGAATTTCGCCCCATTACCGCTCCCCAGGCAGGCAGAAACGCTGAAAACAGTGAGAGTGCCAAATATAAAGGGGACACACAACCCTAGAAATCTGCAGGAGGAAAGACAGAAACAATAGCCAAGACGAACAAGTCACAGTTTAGCAGGACAACAGTGTCGCAATGGCTCGCTGTCGCCGTGGCGCCGAGAATGTCAGCCCCCTTCCACAGGGCAACCGGAAACAAGTGGAATATGTAGAGGAAATCAAAATACTTACTGATTCGGCAGTGTGTTCCATGCTCATAGAGCGCTTTATGCATGCAGATAGAGCAATTGATTGAAAGGGAGTCGATCTTAAGGCCCCCAAAGAGGCAAAAGGAACAATTTATGGACAGTTTGCACTAGGCTGCCTGTGCATAAATCTGAGTGTAAAAAAGCTAATCAACAAGGGCCAGAAAATATTTTAGCAATGCCCAGAGCTAAAGTTTGCTATTTTTGGCCGAGCATGCCTCGAGGACGGACAATCACCGAGGAGCGCGAGGAGTACCGTCCGTTACGAGCATTGGGAACCAAAGATAGATGCACGTTATCCCGCCGCAAATAGAGCCTAAAACAACACCTCCGTCAACCAACGAGTACGACTTTCCCTAACCCATCCCACTAAAATCTCTACTCCAATATGTCAGCTGCGCTCATCAGTCCTAGAATCCAGCTTCATAGTATCCTTGTAGATCCTCCGCCTCTACGTGGGTTACTTGCCTGCGTGGATAGTCCACAAGTAATTTGGATAGTTGTCAAACTTCTTTAGAAAGCCCATACTGAGAGTGCTGTGGCGGCTCCAGTTCAAAATCTTCTGACAGAGTAAAACGATGCATCAGCTCGTGAGAATGCTGCAGGTAATTTGAGCCACTCGGCTGCAGACGTCGGTGTCTGGTCACCTTTTGGTGCACCTTGTATAGCAGGCCAGATCTACCAAGACCAAATTGCCAGGCCCGAACGCAGACCACCGCGGCTAATTATAGATCTGCACTTGTCTTTCTTGAGCCTTGCGCACACACATGCATGCATTGGCTCGCATTGTCTGAGTTTCTTAGGTGCTAAGTGTGGCTGCTGGCCCCGGCCCACAAGGTCCAATTTAGCATGGAGAGAAGCTTTCCGGTGTAAACCAACGGCAAGAGAGAGAGAGCAACGAGTAAACAAGTAAATTCTTGTATTATAGATTTATCGGGAGGAAGAAAATAACGCTATGCACTTAGATGTTGCCAGCGCAGAGTGACAATGCTGCAGAATACTGCTGTGGGCGCGTTTTGTCTGCCCCTCTGACTTGGGATGGTTCCGTGGCTCGCACCGATCATCCTATGTGCAATATGTAGGCTGTTAAAGCCACACCATAAAGCAGCAACGGACCTAGGATACCCATCCGTAATACTACTGCTCCTGGGGAATCTGTGAAACATCCAGGCATAGGCTAAAAATAAATGGGTGACATCCTGAGCCGTGACACAGCTGGAGCAAGCGGTGAAATAGGCGCATTGTTAAGACTTTCAAAAGCGTAGCTGACATCCTGACATGTTGTCTCCAGTAGACCGGCAATAAATACCAATGTCAGATCACCTCAATACTATCAGGAACCGGAAGGTCGTGCAAAAGACTGGGTTCAAGAGAATCGCTCTGCTTCAGTGGATGCCCTGGGTATGACAGTGCATACTTGTCTGCCGCGGCATGCATTCCATGCCCCAAGAAAGACTGTGGAAGCACCTGCTTCTGCGTCTTTAGCCTCGGCTGTAAGGAATAAATACCGCTTATAATCAAACAGCAGCGAGTTGTAAGGGGGCTGATTAGTGCATTGCTTGGGCTTCGGACTCCTCTGCCGACGTCGTAAAGTGCGTTCTTTGATGGCTCGGTCAAAAACAGCGAATAACAGCAAACATAGGAATGAAATTACCGAGATGTAAGCCCGTTGAAATTTGCAGCGTGCTTGCGGGTGGAGATAGGTAAAGACTATGCATTGATTGCTTCGACTTCTGCCGTATCTGGCTGAAGTCCGGTAGCTGCACCATGAAATTCCAGAAGCACAGCGGTTTCAATAAAAGGGAACACCTGTGTGCCTCCAAGCACCACTGGTTGTCCCGGCAACAGCTGAAACCCACGTCGTTGGAGCTGCAAGTCCTCTTGAACGTTTCGGTCGGATACGAAGACGCTGTCTCTGTAGACAACGTTCCAGCCTTCCTCACAGAGTCATGAAATTCTATCAGCTTGCCCTTTGAGTTAAGCTACGAGATTAGTATACTAATGCGGGGTACACATATGCTGGAAATTGCGAGTGAGCGCGTGGACTACCATAGGGTGCCCGTCATATGAGTAACGGGGGTCTTTAAGAAAGAGGCTGCGAAGTCGAATACCAATTTGACTGCTGATCTACATTGTCTAAATTGTTTGTAAAGCAATTAATTGATTTGAAGCATCTAGAACTTTTGCTTCACACTAATCTTGTCAAGGGGATTAATGTTGAATGAGGTGCGCCATTTTCCATCATTTTTCAACACCGACATCAGGTTAAGCCCAAAGGCACTGTTCGAGTTTTGCATATACCTTTTTTCAGCAAATCATCCTTGTGCTGCTTAGTCTCATTTCCATGCTGGGGGAGCTTTGGTTCCCCTGGAACATAGGTTGGCGCTGATCCATGCATCAGTTAAAAATGGTGCACTGGAGCACTTAAGAGTTTTAGATACAATATCGAGTCAACGTGCAAAAGTCATTTCCGCATTGGCCTCTTGAACGAAAAATATTCTAAAACCTGAATTTGAGCAGAGCCAGCCATTCTGGACCATTAGCGTGGACTTGCGTTATCGCAGAACTGACCGTGGTGATCCCCAACTGTGGTTCTATTCTCTGTTGCTCCATTGACTAAGACCCAGCCTGCAGGATATCTTGGCGTTTCCCTATCAACACTTGTGTGCTCGCCAAGCAGCTTGCTTCTCCTGGGCCCTGTCCCTTCGTTCATAGTCTTTGGCTTTCTGCATCTGTTTGCAGTTCTGAAAACTATATGGTCCAGTTTTTTACAATTAAAGCAGATGTACGGGGCTTCTCCGGAGTTGCCTAGGTGCGCAAGTATCCCCAGATTTTCTTGTCTGGCTCACCTTATGGTTGAGCCGGATGGCCCATTCCCTAGATCATACGGTTTCAAATGCTGACTTGACTCTTTCTCTTAACCAAAGACGCACGAGTTGCGCTCAACTTTTCTTGAGACCCCACTTACTCCATCAGCTGTCGGAGGTCCGCCAGTCAGTTGTTCAGTAGCTAGAATGCTGCCCGTCTTGTAATCACCTAATGCAACATTACGGGTGGATTTCCAGATAGCCACTGATAAAAGATTTGTTTGTCTACGTTGCGACTTTCGGCAAAGAAAGGCAGTGCTTGCTACCGAGCTGATCTCGGTATAAAACGGTGAGTGAAGGCTTGTATGAAGGTTTGAGCTGTACGGCTCATTTCAGGTGCAAGACCTCCTCTGCACAGATACAGTCATGATTAAATTGGTCTCTCAAGTAATACACAGCATGAAATATCCTTTTTTTGAGTTGGGGGACAGTGCGAAGTGCATCTCCAACTGGCTGATGAAGTCTTTGGGTGTTCGCTATCTTCGCGGCTGTCAAGTTTTTGGCAAGCATAACTAATCGGCACATCCAAAGATAATTTGTCAGCTGAAAAACCATACCTATTACAAGCTGTGGAGGTACTGCATTACATTGTAGCGGGCTTAACTTCGCTCAAGCACTTGATACCACACTTGGTATCTTACTAAGAATTAGCAGCGTTCATTGTTCAGTATGTTTCTCTGTGGTTACTTCTACTGCAGAGTAGTGCTAGCTTAATACAAAAAGACGCGATGCCCTGAGCGTGTGCGCCACACGTTATGTAAAACTAGCGGTGTATGCTCGGGGGCGTACAGGGTGCAGCCATATGCAACGTAGCTCCCCTTCTCCCCTCTTTTTTGAAACTCTGACAAGCATGAGCGTAAAAATGGGGGACCTTTTAATGAAACACTCAACAGCTTTGTGATATGTTTGTACCGAGCCTAGCAAGAGTTTCCTGCGGAGACCTATAAAAAACAGTACACTCATCAGTTTGCAGGCCGGCCTCTGTCGCCCCAGTAGGTGATGTGCTGCCGTCGCCCCAGACAGCCACAGTGATTTTCTCAGATTGTTGCCAATGAACATCAGATATGTATCTTCTCAATGAATTGCCTAAAAACAAAACAGCTGGAAGGAAACCTGATATCGCACTGAATCCACAACCAATGGATGGAAGAGGGCAACAGCTGCATCAAACCATGCTTCACCGCCAACTCTAAGCATACTTTCAAGGTTCCTGTAGGAAGACGCCACTCTAGACTCAATAACGGCTAAATGGAAAGTTCTCTACGAGCTTTCCATTCAAGCTCCCTCGCTTCCCTGCCCGCGCCCTTCATCATCCAAGGCATTTGGGAAGAGGGGGAGCTAGGATGCGTAGCTGTACCCTCAAAGCACTTCAAGCCTTTTGAGCCAGTTGTACGTAGCGTCTAGCGCACTCGCACACATAATTGCGTCTTCTTGCATCGAGCTAAGAGAACTCTTCTATGCAAAACATGTACAAACACACCTATTAAATGGTAAATTCTGCACTTACTAGGAATTCAATAAGCCGAAAGTGGTAGAAACTGTGCTAGTGTAGCTTAACTCGCTGCGAAGAGGTTGTATGTGCAGAGAGAAGTATCAGCCCAATAAAAACGCATGCGTTCCAATAAACCCTTAGGAACTTGGGGTCAAAGTACCGCCCTTCATCTCCTCCACCTCGGAGTGTACGTGTTTTTGATGTCACTCACCCTCTCTTTTTTGAGGGTCATGTGCATATAAGTTTGCGAAGGGTTGACCGGGGCTGCATGCTGGTCTCAGCAAAGCACACCAAGATTTGCTGAAATCCCTGTTTTTGCGTACTGTTAATTGTTAATTTTTATTTCTGTATTTGCTTGTACACACTGAAGATAAAACAAATTTGCTAGCCGAAAAATAGGAGAGTTGTGGTGTTTGCTCGCCCTTAATCAAGGAGCAAGGCTCGTGAGGAAGAAAGGCCAATACTGGTGAAAAGAAAAAGAAGAGCTCTTCTGTCATATCTATATGGCTTCCTCCCGATAAGCACCAGTAGCATGGTATGTATTTCGTGTAAATGGCACCTTTTCCCCCCTCGTAATGCGCGCAGATCAGAGATCGGAAATCTCTGAAATCTCAGGGTGCGTACAGATGGATTGCCGCCATGGAAAGATTGTCCGATCGGAAGTTTTATTTTTAAATATAAAATGTGGGCATGTAAGCCCGCCACTCTGGCGACGCCTGTGAGTCGGAAGTTCTTTGGCTTTGCATTTCCCCCCGTTTCCGCATACTTCCACTCCAGGAACTCCGCTCTCCTTTGTAGCATCTTCGTATACCCCTCTGCCGCCTTCCCTTCGTATACCACCTCTTCTCTGAGTTCAACCCTTATCGAAGGCCCGGCGACTGCTAGAAGGCATGAGCACCCTCGTACACTCGCAGCGACGCTTGGTCATATTCGCATGAATGGAAACGGAGGTGTCTTCCACAAGAAAGGAGGGGCTTCAGCCTCTCAGCCCTTCTCCAGCGGCTGTTCACTGATGACGAGGTGCCGTAGTGCGGTCACACAGCAACCGAAGGGATGCCGTTTTTTTTCTTCCGGAATGAGAAACACTAAAGCAGGTAAGTTGCACTGTTGATGCATCAGCTCAGTGCTAAAACTTAAAGCTTCAAGCCTAGTAGAAAAACTCCTCAATCAGCTTTCTGTGCGTCCTTTCATGCATCTCGGGAACGTATACATACCACGGGCACATACACAAACAAACACACACACGCATACACACACACACACACAGAGAAACTGATAGACATGCATAGATATGTATGCATGTATATATATATACTGAGCTGTGAATTTATGGATGTATTATTGAAGGCATTACGCACGAGTCCAGCGTGTCAGCACCTTCCTCCGCATTAGCCTCTGATGCTACTGCTAGCTTACTCTCTTACTGTCCCTGTGTGGTTGCTTCCTTTTCAGGCATAAAGAATCCTTATTGGCGCCACAAGGGCTTCTGGGAATGGCGGCGGCGGGAGATTACCGCTCTGAACAGGAGAATGCGAAAGAGGAAGCACATCTTCCCCCGTAGAGACACCCTGTACCTTCCTTCTAGCCACCCCTTCCTTAGTGCCTGTTCCTCGCCGATTCTGGTGGAAGAGGAGGCACGCCACTTGTTTGGATCCATAGAAATCGGAGGTGAAGAATCCAATGAGGCGAATGGATTGGCGAAAGGACGCAGAAAAGGAGAGATCGCTAAACTGCGCAGAAAGCCTGGGGGCTTCTTGCACGACGGTGACAGGAACAAGTCCTATACGGAAGACATGCGATATCTATCTCCTCCTCGGAAAGGAGAAGGCAGAGTGTGGGTGGCGAAGAGGCGAGATATTCCAATGGGAAAGAAGAGGCTGTTGTTGCTGCTGCGCTTAATCAAGGGTTTGCAGCTCACCGATGCCATTGACTGGCTGCAGGCCTTAGCCCTGCACAGAAGCAATCCTCTCATCAACGTGCTGCTGAAGCAGCAACGTCAAATCGTAGAAGAAGGAGCCGATGCCTCTCGGGTGTATGTTCAGAGCTATATCATTGGGCCAGCAGGACACATCAAGACCCTGAGGGTAAGAGATCAACGAACACAGTTCAACATGGCGTGCTTTGATTTCGCATACACGTTCCATGTCAAAACAGTTCTGGCGTCTCATGATGCCGCTATGCCACATAGACTGCGAATTAAGAGGCGTACGGCAAGGCCGCATACGTAGAGAAACAGTCGGCAAGGCATATATGGAATCGAGCGAGAAGTCGATCCAGAGATGTTGACATGCACATTGCTTTCTGTGTCTCCTCTAGCACTCCTTCCCGAGTTTCCTGTTGACAGAGGAGTACAATAGGCATACTAGGAATGCTCTGCGCTAAAGTACAAGTAGAGTTCGTGCAACGAAAATTGCAAACAATGCAACATGCTCTTTCTGCTTTGCTTCAGGTGGGCCACAGCTATCGCGTTTCCTTTTTAAAGTCTTACCGGTACTCTCTTTCGCTCCTTCTGCGAGAGTTACCTCTTCATGAACTATTCCACAAGACTTTTATTTTGAAGCAGCCACCCCGCTGCCTGACTAGTGACATGAGGCTTGCACTGAGGCAGCAGCAACTGCCGCTAGAAGCGGTCAGAGACTGGGTTCCCTATTTGGACGCCCCGACGAGATATTCGCACAAACGCGTAAGGCTACACACACTGTATTGGGAACTGCTCTGCTTTAGAATCGTGTTTGTGGTTATTGGGGTCCGTTTAAGGAGTTGATTGGAGGAAATAGGCTAGGTTTTAAGTATGATTAGGTTTTACCACACGATATCTGCAGTCAAGCATAGTGTGCTCTAATCTGAAAAGCCTAAGACACAGGCCTTATCATCCAGTGACAAGGAGCTGTATGGACGTTGTGTCTGCTGTTTGCAGCGGTTAAGAGCATTGAATCGACAGCGTCTCTTGAATTATTTTTTGGCGCGCCGAGCTTTTGTGTGTACTTACACTTCAAGAATTCGTAGGATGAATGAAGAAGCAGCAGAGGCTCGTGGGATATCTTTTGAGCGCCTGCAGAGAAGCTTGGGACAGAGAAACCAAATAAAAGGGATTGATATTCCGGATAACTAAGCTGCTTCACACCCCAAACAATAAAACCTGGTTTTGCTGAGCGATTCGTGGAATGGCCTAATTAGACAAGTGTAGTGGAAAATCATAATGAATTATACCGGAATCCACGATATAGATTCAGATACACTAAAAAATAAGCGCAATAACGTAGCCAAACGTGCGATTACTCATGCGTGGTGAATGGTTGTCCACCGGAAACTTGTGCTCTCCTTCATTTACTTTCCTTTGTAGCTCCTTTTGTTTTAGGAGGAAAAGAAGGACGCAGATATGATCAAATTTGTATGCCATTCATAGCTGCTAGACATCTGTAAAGGCGTGTTGGAGTGCGGATGCATTTTTCGAATATGGGTATTTATGGGGGGTCTAGTGCTAAGGCATCCACATGTCTTTGTATGTAGTGAGATTGTAGCAGTCCAGAGCCGTAGTGCATGTGTTAGGCTGTAACCTTAAAGTGCATACACGCTACTACGAAGGTGTGGTTCAAAGTCATGCGTACTCTGCTCGTCGAGGAGCCACTCTAGCTCGAATGTTAATTAGTAGAGGTGTGCACCCGTGAGTTGGTTTTCCTGCTTCGAATTGATTGTCCGTAGTACACGGGAAAGCTGCACACCAACCGCTTCCCTCCTCCCATCCTCAGAGCCCACGGTCGTGTGGCTCTGATAGACGCAAGGAAAGTTTTGTGCTTGATATAATGTGCTCAGTCTTCCAAGTTGATTAGCTGTGTGTGCAATAAAACAAGTCACGCCACAGAGACCTAAAAAGGAGCTTAGCACATAGGCTGGCATCGATTCCACAGGGAAAAGCGACACCCATGAGTAGCACTGAGGCTTGACGCATACAGTGTACCCGTAAGAGTCAACTTCATTTTTGTGTGTTACTTGGAATTGAGTACCATTAATTCAAAATGAGCCAAGCTGCGCATGCAAGATAGCTCCGTGGTCTTCACACCAAGCAACCTGGCAACCGCTAGGTATGATTTCCAAAGGTGGTTAGCCAGAGATATTTCCATGCTAATAATAATAAATCACTGCGGTACATGTCGAATTACTTAGAAGACCTTTATCTCTTCACACCTGTGGGGCCCCCAGGGGCCCCTGGGGGCAGTGGTTGTTTCGAGGAATGCACTCCAATGAACCATTGAAAGCATTAGATTCATCCTTTGTAATGGCCTACCAAATATTGCGTTACACGTTATTAAATAACCTCTCCCTTTCCACCCTCTACGTTCTGCTATCGGTCATCTGTGGAGACGGTAGCCATGAAAAAGTTCATTTCCTTATGCTACACGCCTCACAAAAAATCATTTCGCTTTGCTTCCCCAGCAGCATTGTGATCACCTCCTGATCCTCCTCATACAATAGGACTCTGTCGAGAGTGCTCTTTTTCCGCATGGAGATGAAATCAAGCAAGTCTTTGGTGGTGCCATCTTCGCGGGCTGCATAAACCAATCATCAGACACGCGAATCCCAAGAGGTGAAACGATTCTCAACAACCGAAAGATTGCAAAATGGCGCGGAGAGGAGCAGCGTCTTCAGATACTATCGCCGCGTCCTTCACTCCAGCAGAGTTTGTGCCCAGCAGAACTTTAACAGCTCAAAGCAAATCCATCTCTCTTTCTCTAATTAAGGTAAGGAGCTCAACTAAAAAAATAGGCACATGAAGGATATAGTCTGTTACAAACATGACGGCCAACAGGCTGATGCAAGCTTGGGGCAAGAGCTTAGGCTTTTATCTGCAAACCAGATACGCCGATTCACACAGAAGACAGCACTCACTTACGGAATAAAAGAGGCAGAAGCATCTTGATGTCCACTAAGCTATGGAGAGGCGAAGGTGTGCTTTGACTGACTTCGTTGCTACTTGCAATACGTGTTGTGCACTGGTATCCTGCGTGTATGCTGTGTAGGTTCCAAAGTTTGTTGCTGAAAGTTGGCGTTCTGCCGTTGCTGATGCAACTGCGGGGATTCTGAAAAACGATAATGGAAAAGTGAGGCACTGCTTCTTGTGTGCACTCACTAGCTCTGGCATAGATCCTCGTGTGTTCATTCTTGTTTGAGGAGCATCTGCTTTCATCCAGTGTATTGTGTTGGGTCTTTCTTTTCCATTGAATTTATTTTCCATTGTGAGTGTGCTAAATACGTCGCATTTTCACCATTGAATTGGCCTCTTTGTGTTTTCTCGGTCGTTGCTTTTGTTTGCTCTGTAACTCCACATCTTTTGAATGCCTTCTTTTCGCCCTTTTCTTCGAGGCTAGAAACCTTGATTTTGCTGTTTTTCTACTCTGCGTTGCTCATCCTGCTTTCTATCGTTTTGCTCTCTGCTTTCACAGCAGTGTCTTTCCCCTTTGCTTGCCCTTGTGTTGTCGCTTTTTGTTTTGTTCAGTGGGGGTAGTTGTCGCAGCTAGTCCTTCCTCCTCATGTTTTTTGGCTTGTACTTTTCTCAGCCTTTATCCTTTTGCTCTGTTCTCTGCTTCTGTTCCACTTCCCTATATCAGCGATGCGCTGATAATCCGGACAAACCGGAGTCATTCATCTCTTGTCTCCTCTGTTTCTTCGCGCTCGTTTCTGCTAGTGACTCTCCCGATACTCTCTTTCCTTCCCTCCTATGCACGCTGTTTGAGCAGCAAGTCTTGATAGTTCGGGATCCACTTACAGGTGGTGCCTGCCACTTGGAATCTATTTTCCTGCAAAATGACAAATCACTTGTTCTGCAAAAAAACGGGAAACAACTTTTAGATGTTATAGGAGAACTTCAAAGCAGAACAAATTTTCAGCCCAAGTTGGACCACAGGTATCAACAGGTCAGTTGTGCGGGTATCCTGTTTGGTCGAGTGCATTGCTTTTTCTGGTTTCTATGTATGTCAGTTTCTATGTGCTATTTTATGGGCTTGCTCGCTTATGGTTGCCATGATATCAGTGCTGAGCGTAGAATACGATGTGGGACCAGAAGCGGGAAATCTATTGCTCTTTTCTTTATCCGTGTTAAGTTTTAAGACTAGTTTGCAGAGGGGAAATATCTAAAATATGACAGTTGCATCGAGATATAGTACTTTCCGCCGGTCTTATCTCTAGCGGTGTTATAGTGTATTGTGTGCTCCTTGCTTTTCTTTTCTTACTGCGGCTCCCCATCTTCTTCCTTCGGTCTTCTTGTATTGCCAGGTTTTGCACAAACGTCATGTGGCAGAAGATCTCCACAAAAGTAAGAAGTCACAATCTGTAAACGGATACTACGGAATGAGCAACAGTAGGGTGTATGTGTTATGTGGTGCATTTTAACGGCAAGTATTAGATACCTGAGCTGTGAGCGCTTTTACTGATTTACGACTGACTAGATTCGTCTTCTTCAGGTCGCGGAACAGTTGAAGAAATGCGGAGAGATCCAGGTTTAGACAGCCTCCATACGGTGAGGCTTTCCTTTGCGCTTTTTTCTTTTTCACCGTCCTTCATTTATTGCATATATTGTCACAAGGAATCGAATGTCCTAAAAGTTTAATTCATCGGCGAGCCTATGGTGTAGGAAGCATACATAAATGCCCCGCTAGTTTTGTAATTAGATGCATGGCTAATCTTGTAGGAATATCAAGGGATCAACACAACAATAGCCATCCTTGTGTTGCCTTTCGATGTGCTGTTCCGAACTTCAGCTATTTCAATTCTACACGCCTAGGGCCTCCCTCTCAGCTGAAGAAAACGCAAAAAGAGGACTTGAGTCAATATCTAGGGCCAAGGCCAAACGTGAGGCTGTCATCATGCCTCTAACATTTTAAAAATTAGCCGTATTTGTAAAACCCTGTCGAAAATAATCTGTGATTTTGTATTTCGTGCTCTGCTTCCTCTGACTAACCCGTCTGCTGCTTATGCGTTTCGTTTGCTTTGTTCTTCGCTTTATCCCTTCGTGGTAAATTTATGGCACACTTATGTTACTACCCACTTCCTTCTTCGCTCATTTTATTTGCCTCTCCCAATCCCTCATGTTTAAGAAGTTCTGCACTTTGTGTAGTTCCTCTCGCCTTTTACCCGCCTTGCGCTATTCCAAATATCGTGGTTTCCCTTCCCAGGCCCCTTGTGCCCTTGATTGCTAGCCGATCAGGTAGCAAATATTATCCTTTTACAAACCTGGTCTCCCCCTTCTGTCCACTCTTCCTCTCTGCAGCATAGTCGAATAATCGGCGTGTCTTTCCACTTTCCTCTTCTCTCTTCCTTAGCTGCTCTCGGCTACTGTATTGAATTTACAGTCAACGCTTTGGGAATTCCCTTACCCTAACGTCTTGATTTGTGACGATTATATCTTGAATCTACCACTCGATTTCTGCCCCCTACGTGCTTCTCTTATTCTTCATCTTCAGAGAAAAGGGGGGCAGTGTTAGATGCTGATTCCCTGAAGGTGAAGCTCTTTAAAATGTTCGACGCTGCTGGGGCCTCTGGCCTTCAGCTGAAGCAAATTGCTAGCCAAACGCAACAGCCTCTCTCTCATGTTAAGATGATCGTAGAGGAGATAGCAGAACAAAGAAAGTAAGACAGAAGGGGCCATCTGCGGGCTTTGCTTGATCATTACGATGAGTTGGTTGGTGTCCAAATCGCACAATATGCTGTTCGATGGGTTCGGGAGAGAATGAGAATTGGTGAATTCAGGGCACACTACATAGGTTCACGAAAGTAGTACACTCTACCGTTTTTATGGCTATAAATCCTTTGGCAGAAACAAAACGGCAAACGGCGGATGATTCCCCCACTTTAAAATTTATCCAGGTATTGCTGTGTCTATATCTCAATTTGTCGTCTATTTTGCCCTTATCTGTCGTTTTTTACTCATTGCCAGTCTGTAGATTAACTGCATTTCTGCTACAGGAGATTGAGTGACAGAAAGGCTGTTTACTTCTTGAAACAACAGTACAGCATAGTTCAAAAGGGTAAGCTTCATACTCTTAGAGTATAGGTTTTAGAGCTCTAGACTAGATAGGAATAGTGTAGGAATTTGCTTTCCCTTTGCTTTACAGTTTGTAATACAATATCCTGTTTGCTGTCCTTACTGTCTGCAGCTGTTGGAGAGGAACCGCCTGTCGCGAAGAAGCCCAAGTTGAACTAGCGGACTTCAAATGCTTTCTGTGCACGATCTGTGAACTGATGCTCACAGTGTGGGGGTGCTGCAAAAGGCAGAAACCCAATAGGTGTAAAGGCGCACGAAGCCTTCGACTTGTGACTTTAAAGCAGTACAAATGGAATGCTACTTATTAGGTAGAAATGTAAGCAAGCGCAGTTCCAAGTAATAATTGACTTTCTGTAATAAACTCGACGAGGATAGCAGTTGCTTTGGGAAGAGTAGAAATGCCTATCCATACATGTCAAACACTCTGACTCCAATTGCTATTTTTCTTTCTTCACCAATGCATAAAATGCATCAATTATATCACTGATTTTATACAGAATGCACAAATAAATAGTTGAAAGAAGTTGCTGAAGAGTGGGATTTCATGGACATTTTGGTATCTTGTGTTGGTGTGCATCTCCTTGGACATGTGCACACGTGGACTAGTTTTAACACTAGTGAAGTGAAAGATTTTAACAATTTGCTGGCTGTAGTGAAAACATACAGTAACTACTTAAGTAAGTACGCAGACATTTGTTTATCTGCACATGGTTAGAGTATGCATTCATTCAAAAGGTCTGCGCACTAGTAGGTAAAAAACCAAACGAAAATATATCGTGTATTTACAACTATAATTGAAGAGGAAATGCCATCGTCTTATCCTATAAATTACGTGTAATGGTGAACATTCGGAGCTTGGGCTACACTATGATACCTGGTTGTTCTCGATGAAAGGACAGCCGCAAGCCTGCCTGCGGGCTGGGCGCACGGGAAATACGCACTGCGCGAAGCTTGACGACTATTTATACAATCGATTACTCAGTATTAGGCTATTTGAGCTTTTAATTGCACAGCAGCAGTTGCACCAGGTGAAGTGTAGCAGGAAGGCTGCAGGGAAACACAGAATATTTACAAAATTCTCATCCGGCCGCTGCCGCTCTGATTAGATAGGCTAAACTAATGGCCCATCTCAACTTATTTTTTCTCCAGAAACGTTTGGAAAAGCAAGACAAACCACTTGAAGTATTTACTTTTACGTGCATGCGTCTGTGAGTATCTCATCAGAGGAAACAATGAAGTGGTCGTGGAAAATTTTTAAGTCGTTTTTCTCTGCAAAGGTATATTTGATTGGCTGATATTCGGCTCTAGTGCGCTGTTTTCTAAGTAGCCCCCTAGGTCTTTGTGTCCACGTGTTATTCCAGCTTTGTCGACAAGAATGACTGAACGATGCTCAAATGCCCTTTCAGAAGTTGGGTAAAACTTTGTCACATTTTTGCTGATGTGTTTTTATGGCAATTAACCTAATTCAAAACCAGCTGAACGCACGTGTACAGCGTATTACGCCCTTCCCCACCACGCATTCTACTGTAACCTCAAATTTAAGAGCTATTGTACAACCATTCGCCTGACACTGAATGTCATTGCTGAATGGTATCCCATAGAGTAGTGGTGCTCGTGAGAACTGTGTCCACGATTCATCATGATGCGATGTTGAGCCTATAGATGGCCGAAAGCCTATGTAGCTCGACCATGCGAAACCCTATTTACAGCCATAAGTTAATAAAAGTACGGCTCTCGAAGCAGCACGTAGATTCTCAAAAACCCTGCATAGCCTTGCCAGTGACCTGAATACCTATCCCAAGAAATATTCTCCAGAGTGAGCTAACATTATGGTGGCGCATCCCGCTGCTTTCGTCGCAGGTGGATACGCCATCTAACCACTAAAACCTAAATCAAACTAGAGGATCTGCACGCCCATAGCCTATCAGGTACCTCAACCTCAAAAGAATTTTTACAGGTGCATCATCATCTACATCGTTTTCGGAGGAAAACATTGCGTGACAAGAAGGATTGTGGGAAAGGACTCTGGGGCTGTACTTGATATAATTGTTTGCTATTGCCTCAAAATTAGGCCTGACAGAAAAATTAAGTTGAACTATGGGCAGGGTTGAGGGGTGAACGGATATTTAAACATAATTTTCAGCAATATCCCCGTGGCTGAAGATGCACCGATGCCCACTCAGCCAAAGGGGAAGTCATTACCTAGAAGCCTTAACTGGGTTTACACGCAGTAGTGCGCTCGTTTAACCATCTGGGATGACCGAGCGGAGCGAAGAGTCTTCGAATAGTGCTGGGGTCTGACATGCAGCCGTGCAGCAGCAGGGCAAGTAAGCGTCAAAACCAGGAACAGAGATTAATTTATGGGATACGTAGTGAGCTACGATGCACTCGGGGAATTCCTACTAAAGCGGGAACACATCGTTTAGAATTACTACATAATTGACTACTTAATTCGTCTCTGTGTGTCTCATTATTGCAGAGTACTGTTAGCTTGGTAGAGAAAGGAATCAGTGGTGCGTGCATGTGCCTTACAGATGCAAGTAGCTGTGAGTGCTGGAAGTGCTGAGAGGGTGCAGCTACGGTAAACCTAGCTTTAGCTTTCTTGTCCAATGGAAAATATGAGAGACGCGAGAAGGAAAGGCGAAAGGTTTTTTTAGAGGATAAGATTGATTACGAAATATAAAGTTTGCACTGAGCACGGAATCAAGAGTTTACAGACCGAGATCTTGAATTGAGCATTACACCTGGTAGCTCTGCATGGTTCAATGCAGGTGGTCGCCGCTAATCCACTGGCTGTTGATGCAGTGAGACATAAAGCAGCCTTTAGAAAGTTCTCCGGTTTCTATTATTTTTCTTGATAATTAACAGCCTTCTTGATCTTGTTTCACGATGAGGGGGGAAAACCCTCTGGCGGTGAAAGTTGACTGTGGTACAGTCCCTGCTGAGGCACCAGAGCCTCGCCTACAAGCTGATGTGAATAAAGTAGGTTCACAGTTGATTGAAGGGCATGATTCATCAGCCGACAAAAAACGTTTATAAGTGTGTCACTGATCATAGGTTGATTGAAAGGTACGATAGCCATAAGGATGGGCAAGTTTTCAAAGATCTGATCAGCTGGTTGGAGATGTACCTCGCTTTGTACCACGTCGATAAAGAAATGCATGCTTCTTGCGGCATGCTCATCAAAGGATAAAGCAATTTGTTGCTATCCTATTTCTTACAGAAGAAGATGTGCTCCTGCAGGGATTGCTACATTTAAAGCATTCACACAAGCCCTAGGTGATCGGTGCACGCCCATATCGGCTCAGTAGCGAGCCTTCAGAATAAAGAAAGTTTGAGCAGGGGGATCTAAAGTGAACCTCTGATTTGCGAAAGCTACAAAGTAGACGAATAGCTGCTTTTCAGTGGTTTCTTCTAGGTCTACCTGAAGTGTCACGTCAAGAGGTTGTATGATGTCATCGATTAAATAACCGATCGATACAGCTGCAGCAATCGATGCGCTGCTTAAGGCTTCAGGATCAAATAGGCCCACGTTCACTTGACTTTGGCTGAGCAGGAAGAGCTGAGTGGGGATCCAGAACCTATGGATATCGGGGCTCTGTCAGCGGGCCCTATCCCGCAGGTCAAGGGGAAAGAAACATGAGGGGACCCGCGCTCCTAGACACACTTCCACGATAGAAGCATATTTGTCCTTGGGAATTGCCCGGTGCCGAGTCATACAGCCCGGAACTGCAAACGCATGCCAAATGTCAAAGAATCTGAACAAAGCGGTTGAGCCTAGGGGAAGCAGGCTACTTGGCGAGCAAACAAGGCGTATCAGGCAAGTGAAGCGCCTTTCCCCCAGGCTGAGACTCAGTAGAAAGGGTTACAGAGGATAGAGCCGCAGAACAGGATCTGCCACGGTTTGATATTGCGCCGTTGCTAGTTCGCATGATTGACGAACAATTGCTAGCGTTACTTGACACTGGATATGATAAAGATCTGTGATCCACGGAGACTGCGCAGAATTGCAATCTGCTTGTTAACTCGTTAGCGTGGTCTGTAAGTCTCCCGCTGTGTGACGGGCAGCACAGCAGAACAAATGGAGAGGCTACGATTGTTCACTGCCACTTCAAATCAAACTCGGATTCTATCAGCATGATCCGTGACTGGCATGTTGGACCCGTGCATCATGGCGTAGTCCTATGGATGCCATAGATAACCCAAGGGAAGAGGAACATGCCGCCACAGCCGCGCTCTGTGTAGGCTAGATGCAGCTCCTAGACTGTATGACATCGCTAATATAATTACCCGAGGAGCAGAGCAGAGCCAGTGCATGAACAAGATTAGGCAGTCTTCAGTCAGGCGGCGGACCAGCGCAGCAAGAGAAGACAGCTCAGAGAATGCATCCCGTCGTATTGGCTCTGGGGCCCTTTGCTAGATAAATTAACTGGGCTTTTATCCGAAGAATAGCAGGAATGCCCAAATATCAAGGAGTCTGCGGATGGGCTAGATAATGCTTACCTACAAGCAGGCTGGCCACTTGCTGGTCCTACAGTCACCGTATCGGGCTAATGCTGGGTTCAGCCCACAACTATACTGAAGGTATTGGAAGCCCCCACCGCGTGAAAGGATATCTCGCAAAGTAATGCTGTTTTTTGAGACATGGATAAGAGCAGTAATCAAATAGCGCTTTTGGGTATACCCTGGTCTAGCGGTTGAAAAAGAGTAGGCTGTGGCGAATGCGCATGGAATGTAAGCCCCTGAACAAGATTACTGCAAAGAACTATATTCCCCTGTTTCATATTGGCGAGCTGAATTACAAGCTCCACAGATCAAAACTCAACTTGACTTTTGATTTCACAAATGCCTTCCTGTAGATCACTATTCAGCCAGATGGCTGGCACAAAATGGCGTTCCGCGCTCGCACTCACAAACTCGAATGAACCTGCTTTCTGCATGTACGTAATTATATCTTTTCTCAGTTGTGACAGCAAGAAGATACATGTTTTGAAAGCAAATCAAGGAGAACAGGAAGGATAGTTGCCTACATAGGCAACACCTTAATATTCGTCCGAACCCTTAAAGAGGACCTGCAGCACTTACGGTGAGTATTTCAGGTGTTGCAAGACAAATAGTGGGATGCGAAGGCGCGCAAATGTTTGTTTTCAAGAAAGAGGTCGTGGTTTTGGAGATTTCTTGCTTAGGCGACAGGAATATTGCCAGGTCCGGCAAAACTTGAAGCACTCAAGCAATGGCCTTTAACTTTGGGCCACCGCAAGGACATTGCAAAGTTCAGTAAGCTTTTTTCTTTGCGAGAAGCGCTGCTCCTTTGACTGCTCCACTTGAGAAAACGTAGTCTATACCTACGACATAGAAGGCTGACGACGCATCAACGACGCTTATCCCTCGCCTCTCAGCTCCTCTTGTACTTCCGCTGCCTCCTGGTGAGCATCATCGCTGCCTCACAATGGATGTTGGTGACGTGGGGTGGGCGGTGGGTGCTATTCGCCACCCACAGGCTACAAGATCCCCCTCACGCCATGTTATTTTCTGTAGATCTTATTGCTTCGGCGAATCCGTGGAGCGAAATTCAGTGTGATAACGGGAACTCTTTGTACAGTGGTGGGGTGTGGAAACAAGCCGGTGCTCTCTATAGAAGCGTCATGTTACTGCTTTGACATATCATCAGCGTTAAATGTAGCTTAAGTAGATTGTGCGGGCCTTTGAGACTCCTGGATTTGTTCGCTGTCTTGGGCACCTCCTGCAGGATGACTTTGCAGACAAGTAGATTACGAGCACTGGCAATGTGATCCCCTATGCGATCTCACGAGGCTTTGGGAATTCTCATTGTGAAGCACAGCCACTCTTGTCCGTGATGAATTATGGCCTTTTTCAAACTTGCGTGTCTTATGCCTGAAACCCATGCATTCAATACACAATGGCAAAAGGATGAAACACTGCCACGTTGAGGAACGCCTGCCATAATTCAATACTAATAGGGACTCCTGGTTGAACACTTTCACTTCACCCCCGAGAACCGATTTGCGCAGAGCACATGATCTTATTCTTTCGGGTCATGACGGGATCCACATTGCAATGAAAATGCTCTCATCGTCCTTTTGATGACTTGTGATGCGTCGCGTTGCACACGACTATGCAATGTCATGCCCATATTTTCAGCAGCTGCAGCCACGCGATTCCCCCACACCTGGTCTTTTGCAAGGCTTTCTGGTATAAAAAGGACTTGAACCTGAAAATGGACTTTATTCATTTGACTGCTCAAAGTCGAGAACCAGGACAGCATCTAAGCCGTTGTCAACAGACTTAGCAAGTATGCTTAGTGCCCATTCTGGCCCTTATTGTAGCTGTGCCACGACCCAGGATGTCGCCTATTCTTTTCAACTGATATCTGGAAACTTTACGGACTCCACAGGAGTATCATTACGAGTAGGGAGTCTAGGTATGTTATTGCTTTCTGGCATAGCTTTGACCCGCCTATACACTGACCAAGTGCACATTACCTGAAGGCACATGGGCAGACAGACCTCCCCTACCGCAGTCTTCCGCAGTCTTTGCGGCTCCAATGGTTTGGCTTGTGTTTTTCCTTGTACTGGATGTGTGTATAATCCAATAGCGCAGTGGACTACTCGTTGCTCTACCGCATCCCTGGTCAACACTGAAGAGGCCCTTTCCTATCCGGGGCTCGAACTGGTGGTCGGCCGTCAGCGGCCACCCTCAACAGCAAGAGGAATTGGCTAAAGCAGGCAAATGTATGCGCAAAGCTCAGGAACGAAAAGCATGTAAGTGTTATACGGAGTAGCAGGCTGTGTTTTTCAAGTCTGGAGACTTGGTTGTAGTGGATCGGTAAGTTTTTTCGAGGTGCAGCCCCACGTGCACCAGACGAACGATTCCGTGGCCATGTTACTAGAAGCGATAAATATTCTCTCACGAATCACCACCCTTTTTTATTCTCTGGATGTCCCTAAAAGGTGAAGATGCCACAAAACGATCGGTATTGAGTTTCTTACAAAGCTTCAGAGTTATTCAAAATGTTCATATACTTCGTCGTGCAGGCACGTGGCCTGAAAGGAGGCGGATTTACAGGAACTTGTAGGAGTGCTTTATTTGAGTACCATTAAGCGCAAAGGACATGCTAGATGGAACTTTTGTTCGAAATGGGATAAGGAAAGCCGATTTCAGTGATTGACGAAGGAGCCGTTGCGGACTTCGTTACTTGCGGGACGATTTGCGGCTGTGTTTGGGTAACAACGCTAATTGTGATAAACAGCATTCCAAGTACTTCTTAGTAAATATCCTCCCACAGCGCATCCCTTGCTTGAACTAGCCCACTTTTTCTATGGTTTCGCTAAAACTTTTATCGTCTATTATTGTTACTGCGTGCTCTAAAGTTTGATTCATGCGCAGGCACTCTCAGGTGTACACATTCTTCCTTATGCATATTTTGGGTCGTTGAACTCGACTGTGCCGGATGCAACGTCTATATTTTGCATGCACAGAATGCATCATGGGGCTTGAATGCGCCACTGAAGTAGTGTGTATTTTGGTTCCCTTTACACACTTTGCATGGCTTTTGTTTCTCTAACAGAGGGCTCACACATTTCATCGCTTCGACAAAGAAGTGTAATCGCGCCTCCGCAGTCGTGACATTCTGGTGAATTACTTGGGTCGGACTAGTGTGTGTCTTCTATCTGACCGATTGCACTTGGAAGATTGTTACACACCTGCGCTGTGCTCAGCAGCAGTGTTTTCGCGTATCCATTCGCGTGACTGGGAGTGCCCGATAGAGTCGAAACTTGTCCACTGTCCTGTATGTACTTCGTCTCGACGTAAACGTACAAGGCATGAGGGCGTGTGCTTGAAATACAGGGGGAACGCCGTAGCGGGCTAAACGGCAGCTAAACACTTTCTACCGCTCTAGTTCAGCATGACAAAGAATCTGTGAAGGATCGACTGATTGGTTTGTCAACTCGTGTAGTTATTGTACAGTACTGTGAGCTTAATAAAGTTAGAATCAATGTTGTGTGCAAGTGCTTTAAAGACTCTGCAAGCAGCTGTATATGGTCCGAGTGCTGAAAAGGTACAGCTACATGCACCCTAGCTGACCCTTTTCTCCGTGAACAGTGCTGTCAGAGAAAGAAAAAGACTTTTGAGGAACACCTGATAATTTAAAAATTTGTATGTAGCACGGAGTCAAGCTTCTCGAGATGTAGACTGGAAGACGAAGGGCTGCAACGCAACGATTCTGCGTCCCAGATGCTGCTTCTCCGTTCGAAGCCAAACTTTTCACATGAAGGGGAGAAGAAGGGATGGCCTTGTGGAAAGGACAGTGAGTAAAACTTTATCGAATTTGGCTATGAGTATGTGTCTCCGGCTTTCCTTAAGAAGAGCTTTACGGCAGCACAGTAAGCCGGTTTGTCACGCAAGTAAGTCACCTAGAGCCACTCAGACAACCAAAAAGTGGCAAATTTTACAAAATAAAGCGGTTCAGTCCTTCCAGAGTGCCTTGTCAGGGTGGCGAGACGCTAAAGAGCTTGTAAGCCCACCTTAATGCCGTACACGTCCCTTGTGCATAGTGGCGAGCCCCTTACGACTAGAGCAGTTCATACGTAGTCTATTCCTATGTATGTTTTGCATAACACACCGTTGGAAAAATGTAAAATTGCGTATGAGTGTACCAGATATCGCTCAATTTCCCCAGAGTACAAAGCTACAAACAGCTGTCGGCAAGCCCTGGAGGCGGCACGAATGGCTTCTGCTCCTTTGGAATTGTGTGGTGGGGGAGGCGGTTTGGCAGAATGTCGTGCTCCAGGGCGCATTTAGTGTTTTACACCTCCCATTGAGCACAGTAAGCCAGGCCTTCAAGGATCTCAGACCTACGAAATTCAGAATCGCAGAACTTCAGTTCGTGTGTGGAACCACGGTACCGCCGTTGAGGAGATGAAGAAGACAGCATTAGTATTCGTGTCGCTGGTGGTGTCCCTGGAGGCCATCTTCACCAGTGGTGAGGATTTATTTCTTGTTCTGATCTTGAAGCGCAATTGCTTTTGGCGCTACGCGGTTCATGAGCCATTACTTCACGCCGACGCTGCCCGCTGGTATACAAGGCGAGGTAGTATAGCGGGGGCCTCACTTGCAGCTGTTCACCCCGTTGACTCCGGTGAACACCAAGTGAAAGACTAATCTTTTAGAAGTGTATATGCGCATATTGGTTGACTTTGGATTCATGCATGTTTCTGTGGGTTGGTGTACTGTGGTGCGTTGTCCTTGCAGCTGACGAGAATAACGATCCACTGGATGGTTTTCAGGATATAAGTCCGGACGAATTGGATGCACTATCTCACAACTTGAGTAAACTGGTTGCCGCGGGCGGCTTGGATGCTCTAGCTAGGCAATTAGGTATCCCGGAGGGGGAGTCACAATCCGATTTTGTACAGAAGGCGTTCAAAACGTTGAGCGAGCTATTAGCCAACACGGAATCTCGAGATTTGTTGGCGGACCCAAACAAAGACCCCAGGGAGATTGTGGAGGCCCTGCTCAAGGGTGCAGTAGGTGTCGATCAAGATGCTGTTGATGTTCTATTGTACTTATGCTCGATGATTCGGGTTCTTACCGGTAATGATCACTTGAAAAAAGAAGTCAATCGAATGATTCTCGACAATGCTGAATTGCTGGCCAAAGGCGGGGACTTCGCGACTTTGCTCATTAATGTAGCAGAAGATCCTGCCTTCCGCGACCTTAAAGAAGAAATTGAAGACGACGTGATGAGCAATGGAGGATACTCACTATCGGCAGAAACAGAAAATGATATGTCACGCTAGCCACAGAGGCTAGCAAACCAGCAGGAGCAGTGAGCTGGTCTTACGGGATAAGCAGAAGACGAAATGTGTCGCAGTTGTGGTACTTGTCCATTTGCGCTCCGATCTTCGCCCCAAGGTGGATTTGGTTAGACATCGATGTATCTAGAGACCTCCTTATGCGTATATATATATATATATATATATATATATATATATATATATACGCGCGCATGAGAGGCGTTAAGCCTTGTAGGAAGGCTTATAGGGTCAAGCAGTACTCGTAATGGTTTGGCACCTCTCTTGTCTAGAAAAGCACAGAACCTGAACCCCCACTTCGCCTAGTGAGAAGTGTCTATTTTTACGGGGATAGGCCGATTCGTGCGCCCTTTCGTATTTTGTAATGCATGCACACTTGGCATTCTGCTCGCGTTTCGAATATCGTTGTTCGTCGGTCTTCTTTGGTAAAGTGTAGCCTCAGCAAGGATTATTAGACGCGTATTCAGTAGTTGGCTCGCTGCAATGGGCGATGTCCTTTTCAAGTGCGCTGTTTCGGTCGTTTCCGGTCGTGTGTTTACTAGTAGGTTCTCTTTGCGTCATCCTGGTGTGCCAGTTTGCTGGTGGTAGACATATGGTCAAGAACGAGGCACGTAGCATGGGATGGACAGGCGGGCAGAGCCGCAGACCTGAATATATTCGATTGAGGGCGCTTGCTCCCGTTACAGAGAGGCGAACGGTCGGGGGACAGAGAAAGCCTTCGCTGGCTTCGTGTTGAAGTTCGAGGGCGAAGGCACAATGAACAACAATGGAGGAAGCAGCTTGAAGTGCCGGGAAAAGAAGAGTGGTCGCAGACACTTGGACAACAGCATTTCGCTCCGGCGGCCTTTGTTCTGCGGAAAAAAAGCACAGGTAGATGCGAGGGATGCATCTGCAATTCCGCGCGCGTGGAAGGGGGCGGCTGCTGCACGCAGGCCCATGAACATGCGCTGTGCTGCACGGCAGCTCATATGCGCAGACTGCAAGGAGCACAGGGACGTGTGCCCTGCAAGAACTGTACAAAGAACATGGATCCCAGGGGGGATCCACGTCATCTGAAGGCGACGGTGAAGCAGACAGCATAGCATTGACGAGGGATACCAATGCAGAAAAGGAAAGAGCAGCACAATGCAGCTTGTCATCACGCGTACAGCAGTCTGCTCAATGCGACACGGCGCGCTCGTGAATCTGTTCAAAAATGAAAGGGAGAGCAACCCCAAAATAAGAGTTCGAAGGCACAAGCCTCCCTACAGACGAAACCCAACAAAGCATTGATATACCTGGGGAATGACGACCATAGAGAGGTATCGCTTGTGAACTTCTTCAGTTTCTCTTTGCATCTCCCAACTCAAATAGAGCCAAGGATCTGCATACAAGGAGGAGCCGCGTACACACCGCTTCTGCTCGCCAGTCTACGTAGCTTGAAAATCAGTCGCACTCCACTTTGCATTTTAGGCAGCACACTGACATGGCGTGGCACTGCGATGATTGCAATACTATGCAGATTTGGGTTCCGTGAATGCAAACACAGAGTTTCGAAGAATCCGACGTTCTGATGGTCGGCCGCAAGTTCAACGTTGAAGGGGGTTCGAATAATCTAGGCTGCAGCTCATCATTAAATCACTTGCGCCTCGCGCATGGCCTACTAGGCACAGCCTGCGTTCATGGATTCAATCTTGAAACCCTTTCTTCGGGCCAGAATTTCGTATTTCTGTGGGCTTACCGCCAAAGTTGGGGTCATATTTGTTTGCGAGCTCAATGAGCCGTTGATCCTCTTCGTCCGTCCATGGCATTCCCTCTCTTTTAAGCGGTGGTGCCTGCAGCGACAGGAGAGCTGCTCGACTCGTGAACCCTGAAACTGCCGTACGACGCAACAGCTCACGGCTGCCTCTCTCGAGATGCCCCATACACCTGATGACATGTATTTCGTGGAACCTCCGCTTCCCATTTTGTACCTGGAAGCGTTCTATGTAGTCGCTATAAGAGTTTTCAGGCCACAGTCCATGGTTAAATAAGCTGCACAGCATACATGTATATATATACAGAGCAGGCGGGTGATAACAGTCTACGGCCATAGCCAGCCAGTGGCTAGGGAAAGCCGTGGAGCTTTACTGTGGTTTCGTAAATACAAGTTATAAGAAGGTGCATAGGCTCGAGCATGTGCGAGACTTCCGCGGCTTATGCTTGTAGGTTTCATTTGCTTGCTTGCTTCTTCCCTGCTTCTGCATGCATACCTCCCTTCCGAATCGGCTTGAGCGTAGGGGCAGCTGCTACGCCTGTCGCCCTAATAACTTACCGAATATGCCTTAGTATGAGACGCCGCTGGGCGTTGGTGAGGCTTTCGATTTCCATCAACTCCTGAAGAGGAAAGAATGCGCGTCCTTGCGTGCCTTATCTGCTACTACCAGAGAGGCTGGACACGTACCAGCGCCAGCATCCATATCAGCAGCCGCCGCATTAACACCTCCGCTCCCCAGGCAGCAAAACAACACTCCCTTATGGCTTCCTCCCTAGAACCCTCGCTAGTGCCTCCTGTAAGGCCCTCGACAATTTAAGCGAAAAACCAGCTCGCCGTCGTCGACAGCTTACAAGCAGCAGCAGCACACGGGCAGTCACGTATGGCTCTACATAGAAAACGTGCGGTAGAAAAGCAGCGAACACGCCTAACCCGAGGCTTTGCGCATATAAACTGGTTCCAGTTGTTGTTGAAGTGCCCTCTAATGGTTTCTGCATGCTCCGTGATGCCAATGCGCCGGAGGAAGTCTTCAACACCCCATCCTTCTGAAGCCAGTCCGCACGCAGCGAACAGCGGCACAAACACCTGGGGATCAGGCTGGGACGAAAGGTTGTTATGCACCCTTGGCAACACATTGGCAGGAAGGGTCGCACCGCGAATTTTCGCATGCTTGGAAGGGAGAGGAGCAGATGCATGCACTACCAGTCAGCGTGATACGCGCGCAGCCCGACAGCGACACTGGCTGGCAGCCACGGCTGCGAGCAATTGCACCGGAAGCCTTTGGGGAGACTAAAGGGCTCTCTCTCGCTTTCTCTCTCTCTCTCTGTTACAGGGGGAGGGGGCCGGTGGATGCTAGCTTGTCTGCTTGGCTATGCATGAAGGGGCGAGAAAAACACGAAGCCGGTTGGCTGGTTCTTCCTGCCCTTAGAAGATGCAAAGACTGGGTGGCGTGCCGTGAGCGCGTCTGAGGGCTGAACGGGGAGTCTTTACCTGGAGGGGGCCTGGCATAGTGCTGCTTCAACAGTTCCTCCTCTTCTCGGTTTCTGTGCTCTTTGTAGCGCTTGAGGAGCTGCCTGAAGGTCTTCGCGTCAAAGTATTTTCGCGGCTTTGGCTTGACTGGAATGTCTGCCAAGCTCTCGTTCCTGTTTCCCAGAAAAGCGGCACTGCCTACTGCTGCGGATGATGCCTCTGCTGGAGCTCCCCCACTTTTGCTGCTCCCCGCCCCGCGTGCCGCTGCCGCTGCTGCCGACGTGAAAAAACGCTTCGAGTGGGTACTGTAGAGGAACAGCAGCCTCCATTTGCAGTCGTGATGCTGAAAGCTAGCGGCACAGGGGGGCCCCTGGCACGCCTGGCTGGCTTCTACTGAGGGGCCCCCCTTAGGAAGCGGAGGATGCAGCGCATGGCGGAGGGAAACCCCTTGAAAGCCGCTGGCATAGAGCCGAAGCGGCGATTTGCCTGGCGGCATTGGAAGGTTTCCAAACGCGCGCTTCAGTCCTCCACAAATACATGTACCTACCAATGTGGGAGGCCAGGCGACGGGAATAAAGAGAGGGAAAGAAACGGTCCCCTAATGTCATGGAGGCCCTTACTTCATGAATCAAAATCCATGGAAAAACACAAGCAGAAGGGAGCGTTCGCCTCGCTATCAGGTGCTCTGGCTGGAAGGTTGTGGTGGTGCTGAGGGGGGAGGCCCCTCGACCCCCCCTCTGCCCCCCGCTCAATAGCGAGAGCACGCGTCAGCAAGCCGCTGCTGCTGTTCTGTGTCGCAAATTTGTCGAAATAAGTTGCTGCACAGGTCTTTGAGCCGCCGTTTTTGAGCTGGAGAGCGCCGTCTTGGACTGGTAGGCTGCTCTGGTTATGGCTGGCGGGGGTTTAGAGCAGTTTGTTTTCGGGAATGCAAGCGCGCCGAGGCCCCTCTTATGAGTTTTCCGCCTTCTGCGTCCGAAATCGTTGTACATCTGTGGTCTTCTGTCTGCAGTTGAAGCGCAGCGCAGTCTGCGCAGGGTGCACAGTCTGCCCAGTGTCAGGCAGAACGAGTTCGTTTGTCGAAAGGGTCTTCTTATAAGCAGCGCTGTCGCCACACCGACACACATGAAGCGGCACTGGCGAGCGCTCCAAGGAGGACGCGTTAAAGGGGAGGAATGACAGCTGGCGACACCCCTTCACCTGATCTCCCTTCCCTCTCCCCGAATACGGGCAGCCACACAAAGCTGCAGGAGGAGGCCTTTGCACTGCCTTCTTCTAGGGCGCCTTGCCTTTCCCCTGCGTGCTTTCCCCATTGCTGGCAATCACGGGCAGTCATCAGAGAGGCACCTGAGCGGGGAACGCGGGGGTGCGTTCAACAATGGTTCTGGAGGGGCAGCTCGATCCGACAACATGCACAGCAGCAACCACGAGCTCAATACCCCCAGCCTCCGCAGCAGCGTCAGACACAGGAGCTGAAGGGCACGCAGGTGGGAGAGCGACTTGTAGGTAGTTTTCACACACTTCCATGTCGTGTTCCTCCGTTGTTCGCGTTTTCGCAAGCGCTCCCAGAGAGTATGTGTGTATGCATGGATAAACGTGTATGTATATGTATGGGTGTATGTGTACGGATGGATGTATGGATGTATGTGTACGGATGGATGTATGGATGTATGTGTACGTGTGTATGTATGTGTATGAGTTTGTGGGTGTATGTATATTTGCGTACGTATGTATATGTATATGAATAGGTATATCTATATGTAGATGAATATGTATATGTATATATATATATATATATGAATACGTACATGAATATGTATATGTATATGAATATGTACATGAATATGTATATGTATATGAATATGTGTATGTATGTGAATGCGTTTAGGAATAGGTATACGTACATATATATATATGTATATGTAGGTGAAAATGTATATCTATATGTAGATGAGAATGTATATGAATATGTTCATGAATATGTACATGAATATGGGTTTGTGTGTGTATGAGTCGGCGTCTTCTACTGCTGTGTATTTTAGGGCCGGTAGAGGTGACGTCGTTTGAGGGGCACAGGTTGCGAATTGTCGTTGCCGGAGAGAGCAAACGAACTGAAGAGTGGCTCTTTCCTGAACTTCAAGCCGATGCGCAGCCATCCCGAAGTCGCGTATTATTCATCAAGGCAAGGCACCTTATACCCCTTGCATCCTGAGCCAATTAGAATAAGAGTTCGTAGCGAATCGCCTCAGGAGAGCCGCCAGTGCCTGGCAGGCATCGCTGGAGGCTTCTGGCTATCAGGACGTTCACGCTCAATGCTCGAAAGTCTTGCGCTGCAGACGTATTGGAGGCTTGACTCGGAGATTTGGAGCTTTGGGCCATGTTGCCGCGTGTACACCTTGCGTGAGAGGGTAAGCCATTCAGCTGAAGCGCTGTAAGGCGTTTCTAGAGGCTTTGGAGCGGCCATGTGCAGGTGTGTCTGCGTTACCGCATGCGGTGAGGGGTGTTTTTGCAGCTGAGAGAAATAGAAGAAATCTACAGGCAAACCTGCCATCCACATGTCTGTCCTCTTCTTGAGGTAGGACCTGCCCTGAGCTGTGAAAGTCTTCCAGGGGGAGGAAGGAGGGGAAGAAAGGAGGGGAAGAATGGAGGGGAAGAAAGGAGGGGGGAAGAAAGGAGGGGGGAAGAAAGGAGGGGGGAAGAAAGGAGGGGGAAGAAAGGAGGGGGAAGAAAGGAGGAGACTGTGGACGCTTGCTGTTGATGATTCTGCGCATGGCTCCTTGGTGCTGCGATGCGGATCAGGTACACAAAGGGCCAGACTCTGCAGCTTTTGTCTTCCCGTCTAGAGGCTTGCCGCTACTGCAACGGGCAGAGGGGAGAGAGGGGGTGTCGCTTTATGCGGTACCTCCACTGCATCGTAAGGCGTCCATGAACTCAGGGCAGTATAAAATTTAATTGGCTTATCTGCCTAGTGCGTTCAATATGGCGAGTGCTGCGTTCTTCGCTCTCAAAATCCAGGTCCTAGGAAAACACACAATTCAGATCGCTGCAGGATGGAGTAAAGTAGACAGAACGCTCAGGGTACATGAAAGTGTTGGTTGGCACACCTACAGGTTCTTAAGACTGGGACGTAGACGTTTTTTAGGAGATTTGCTGCTGACAGAAAAACCTTTTCTGGTTGAAATTCGTCTATTGCCATTTTTTGCACATGATGTGGGTGGCTTCCTTCCTTCGGAGCGCATTCTGGACTCGCGAGATTTTTCCCGCCAGTCTCCCGCAGTCCTCCTGTACCCTATGATAGGTGCTATCAGGGAGGAAAGCATTTTATTTGGAGGGTTTTTGAGATGCATGTTTTGACATGAGGAGAAGCGAAGCGTTCTTTGTGTTCGACGCAAACGCTTTCATTGTGCAGCGTGTACTTTCGCCCCTTCTTCCTTGCGGTGTATTGCCGCCTGAGACGCCAGGCTTGTTTTACTGGAGCTACAGTTTGGGGTTGTGTTGGCGCCTTCAGAGGTGCAGGGGGAGGACGGCTGTTTCGTCTGCACGGAAGAAGCGGCACGTTTGATCCTCAAGCAGGTAAACGCGCCCTTGCGCAGGCACCAGTCGAGGCGTAAAGAATTGAGCCTCGGCAAGCGCGATCTCGAAGGAGGTGGCTTCGGACGCCGCTCAGGGCTGTCGCTGCAGAACTTGTGCGATTGCAGATTGCAAGTGCAGTGGGCAGCTTGCATGCCGCCGGAGTATTCCATTTGGATATCAAGGGCCCCAACGTCGCTGTCTCTGGACTGTGTAGCCGAATGCTTGTTCGAGCCTGGCCGTCCAGCAAGGGCAGGAGGAGCAAGGAGGGATACACGGGGAGAGGCGGCAGTTCCAGCGGTGCGGGCTGTTGCTCCTGCTGTCCACTCGGCGCATGCAGCAGCGACTACTGCCCTGGTCCAGCCGGCAGCAGCGTAGGCAGCTGCGTGAGCAGCTGCGGCAAACGCAAGAGACGGAAAATGGGCGTTTTGGCATCGAACGCGCAAGGGCCGGTAGCACCCGAGACGCCTCGCCACGAAACGCTCTGCAGGTAACAATACACAGCAAAAAGTGTAGTCGGCAGAAAAGGGGGCGGCGGAAGCCGCGAGTTCGGCACAGGCAGCACCAAGCGAGACAGAGAGACTTGCAATGCAGCGCACAGGAGTAGTAGCGGAGATCGGAGGGGAGGGCTTTGCCAAAGAAGCTTGCGAAAGAGCAAAAGCGCTTGGCAGAAGAAAGGCCGAGGGCGAGTTAGACGCCTAGACGTTGAAGCAGACAGACGCAGCAAGATCCCACGGCACGGAAGCAGGTTTCTTTTCTTGATATGCACATGTATCTGTGTGCATACATAAACCCACGCAGGCGTGCAGAAGCACAAGTGCCCGCGTCTTCCCTGCTTTCGTGTTTCTGCAGCTGCGGGTGTATGATATTTGCCACTTTGTTGGACCTAGACAGCGCGCAGAGGGGCGTTGGAGGACTAGTGATGCAAGGAGGTACCAACTGCGCAGCAAGCACGGGTGCTAGGCTGTTCCTTTTCCTGCCCTCTTTGGTCTGTTCTGGCCGCTGCTGTTCAAGTACTGGTCTCGATTGCACCCGCGAAACCCCGAAGAAAACGTTTGAAAAGAGGAACCAACGGCGGCAGACCCCTTCCTGTGGCTGACTGCAGCGTTGCAGGGAAAGATCAGAGACGCTGTGGTGCAATAAAAGCGTTCAAAAGGCGTGGGCTTGTATATGGGTGTGCCTGTACGTGTGTCTGTATCTGTCCGCGTATGTGCCGGTGCTGGTTCGAACCTTTAGGATCTTCCAAGGTCGTTGTTCCTCCAGAAGAGGTTAACAGCCAGTACAAGGAGCGGCCAGAGCACAGCAAGGCGGCACGCAGCGAGGCAGCGAGCAGCGAAGACGTCGAGGCAAGAGGCTCGACGGGTCGAGAGAATGCACAGTCAGATGAGGCTGGCGTGGGAACCTGCGTCAGCACAGAGACTGCTGCTTTGGCCGTCTCCAGTACTGGCAGGGTGCTCTCGCCGCTCGAACGAGATGAGCTGTTAGATGGAGAGATGAAAGACGTCTACGGTCTGGGCTGCCTCCTCAGCGAAGTACTCACGGGAGAACATCCCTACATTCGGCCCGACAAACGCACAACCTGGCGGTATCTATTGCTGCGCCTCCTTATAGGCCTTCTGTGCTTTTGCTCTACCTTTCAGCCTCCGCATTCTGTGTGTCAGTGTACCTCCTCAACCTTTGCTCGCGGGTGCATCTGGCCCTAGCTCGCCTGTCCCTACTGGACGTGTGTATGTATGTGTGTATTTGCATGAGTATGAGTATGTATAAAGAGTACCTACTATGTATATGTATTCGTGTGCATGTGTATGGATGCTGCCTCCTTGCGCGCGCGCTTGCCCAGCTGTCTTTGGTGCATCCCTGTTGATCGCTCCTTTCCCTCTCTTGGGAGGATGTTGGGCTGAGGATGCTGACTCGATTCAGGGTTTGTGTGCAGAGAGGCTGAGACGATGTTCTTTGCTGCCATGTTAGCTGGAAATGCAATTCCGAGAAAGCCTTTCTCGTATATCCAGCCGTCTCCCACTGCAGTGGACCTTATCTGGTAGGCCCCCCGAAACGCAAGTGCCAGACATACACACCAACGGACAGCTACACATTGATGCCCCTCATCTCCTCTAGCCAGCAAGACGGTCTATCCGCTTCCCGCGTTTAGAATGCTTACCGTAGTTAGTTCTACAACTTCACTGTAGGTTTCGCTGTTTGCAGGGGCATGGTAGAGCCGAACCCTCACAAGCGACTGCGACTCGCGCAAGTGCTAAATCACCCCTGGATGCAGCAAATTCCGAATTCTCACACTTCCAAACCCTCGAGCCTTTGAAGTGAACTGAAAACAACACCCATGTGTTCGAATTGCAATGTTGAAATTGGGGCTCGAGGCTGGGCGCAAACGGGGCCATGCATGCAAATATATATAGATATATATATATAGCGAAGCTTCAAAGAGACACATCCTAGTGTAGGGGAAAATGTAGGGGCAACGCCGTCCATCTCGTGACACTCCAAGTTCACGGATGCCGATTGTGTAGTTGTACAGCTCTATTATAGACACATATAGCTCTAGGTGTGCAAAATATCGCATATCCCAGCGATTGACGGGCATCTCGAAAGAAAGCGACGGCTCCTGAGGTAGTAGCACGGGTTCGTTGGCTTAAGAGGGCCATATTACAAGACAGCGACGAAAGGGGATTGTGACGGTAAGCCGCCTCTATCTTTTCTGAGGGAAACACATGTATGGGAAGCGCCAAAAGGAGAGGCGGGTTCCCAGAGGTGCCTTTAATGTTGAAATGGAAAAAAAAAATAGTGCACCGTTGTTCACGTTGCACTGCCACCTGCTGCATCGGGCAAATGAGCAGCAAACAAATGCCTCAGTAGCAGGCCGCGTCACTAGAGGTCGTGAAATGAGCTAAGCAGCGAACACCTTAATGGCGAACTCAATCCTAGGCCCTCAAGACGGATGGGTGTATTGAGCGAGCTCTTTCGGTCTAACTGCCCAAGCAGTATGAGCGACTTACGAGAGCAGTGCCGCTTCACTGTCGACTATAGCTAAGGACTCGCTACAGAGGCAGTGTCCAAAGAAGCGGCTCGACACACATGAATGCATGGAAAACGAAGGACGCATCCGAGACGTCCCTTACACACAGCAAGCCGCATTAAAATAAGAGGCTAATAGGAAGATAGTTACTCGGTAGGTGGAACACGAGATTCCCCTCTTACCAAATCCAGCCCTCTAGGGCGTAAGCCAAAGGTCGTCCTGAGGCTGGCAGCGACTCCTGCTGATTGCAAGGGCTTTGGGGAGGCATCCATGAAGGAATACAGACTGGTAGGAAGGCGTGTGCTAGGTTATTAGATTGAATTGGTGCCTCCGAAACTCCTCAGCAGATCCTGCGCAATGCGCGAGTTTGCTAGCAACAGCAGTCAGATCAGCAGTCCTCGTGAGTCTCGCTGATAAAGTTTGGAGCCCAAAGTCAATAACGCTCCATCAGCACTCTCCTTAGAGCAACTTAGCTAAACCGGCACTCAATGCAACCGTGATGGAAATTTGTAGGGCAGTTCTCGGAAAATCTCCTCCGTTCCCTGCCTGCACAACGCGGAGTTTCGACACGCGAGAAGACGAGGAGGGAGGGGGTCCATGGGCATGGCTGCACCCTCTTAGGACTCCAAGTACTCACAGTTAGTTGCACATAGCCTCTCCAGTGTTATGGCCTCACTCCGCATTGCGGCTTCTAGCATCGAACGAGCAGTGCTCTGCGCTGCAAATAAGATATGTAAGTAGGCCGATAAGTCTGCCAATTCTGTATGCCTTCTCAGCTACGCATGAACTGGCGCAGCAGGAAACGTTCAAGTGAAGCTGAACCCGGACTAAGACAGTGTCAGCAGGTTACAAGTAGACCAGCAATTGCGAGTCAAGCTCCCGCTCGCCAATCTTTGCAGTGCTCTCTCCCCTTAGGCCGAAGCCTTGTTAGGCGTCGCCTGCAGAGGTGTGCTGCGTGTTGCATCCTCGCAGCCCCTTGCATGGGGAGAGCAGCTGGATGCGCGGCTAACGAGCGTTCAGTATCGTGGCACGGAATGAATTGCCCACTACGGAATGGGCATTTAGGCGTGGGAGAGCCCACGCACAGGGTTAGTGCTAAGCTTCTTCTGAGTAGAAGACGGCCGGCAAAGCGGAAGCCCTTAGCCCCCTACAACGCCACCGTCCGCTGTGTGCTGCCCCTGTGTCGCGCATGCACCTATGTGCGACTGGCCAGAAGGCTGCGCGCTTGCATGCAGCAGCATTCGCCTCGCTCAGCTTCCGGTGCGCTGGGCAACGCGTGTGAGCTGCCGAAACAGCCGCTATGCCGGAGGTGTCTACCTGCCTGAACAGGGAGGTGGGTGCTCGGGGGGCCTTAATTGGCGTCTTCTGGGGGCGAAACTCTTGCATGCGCTACCTAAGGACGACCGCAAATTATTCCCAAGGGTATTACAGCCTTTTGCCAGCAGCTTTCAACCCGTGTACTGCCTACGGAGCTCCGGGGCTTTTCGGCGTCGAGAGAGGCATGCAGCCGCCATGAACTGGAGGCTCCACAGCTCGTCGCAAAAGCATGCATTCGGCCGAATGTTTACCTTTTGTGCTATGTAAGAGGGAGTTGCTGTGTGTTGACGACCCTGAGAGCGTCCGCTTGCCGCGGTCTGCTCCCGTGGGGGCAGTTCACCAAAACCCTGTGGAGGTGTGCTTGACCATGAACCTTTTTGCGCCGTTTTTCGTTCTGCAGCGAGCGAATGAGTAGTCGCCTTTCCACTTTGTCGTTGTGACGAATTGGGGACGAGGGTTCGGAGGCCGTGACGATGGATCGGCAGCCTCTTGTGACGGCATCCCCCTTCGCTGTCGCTGCTCCGGCGCAGCCCTCTCCCTTCTTCCAGCAACAGCAGCAGCAGCAGCAGCCGTTCGGCTTCTTTGGGGCCTCTAATGCTGCAGCAGCGCCGTCAGCTGCCGCCTTTGGAGGGGGATTTGGTGGGGGGTTCGGCTTTTCAGCCTCGAATTTCGGAGGGTCTGCTGCTGCTGCATCGTCTGCTGCCGCTGCGTCGTCTGCTGCCGCTGCGTCGTCTGCTGTGGCAAGCGATGGCGTTGCGCCGATGGCCGTGCAGAAAGAAACAAAAGCGGAGAACTACACGGAGGGAAAGATCTACATTGAAGCGTGGAAGCATCTGCTTACTGCGAAGAAGAGTGGATGCTGGCCATTCACAAGTAAAATTTAGAGCTTAGGCGGGTTTGCACTCACGGAGACGTCAGCTCCTGCAGTGTCAAGCCGTTGTTGCACGACGCAGGCTTTGTGAAGCGACAGGGGATATTTTCGGGGTTGGTGCGGTATGTGTGTGTGTATATATGTGTGTTGTGTATATGTGTATTGTTTATATGTGTGTTGTGTATATATATGTATTGCATATGTGTGTGTTGTGTATATATATGTATTGTATATATGTGTATTGTGTGTTGTGTATATGTGCATATATTTGCATTGTGTGTTGTGTATATGTGTGTATATGTGTATTGTGTGTATATGTGTATATATGTGTGTATATGTGTATATATGTGTATATATGTGTATTGTGTGTATTGCGCTTCAGGCATCAGTGCTGGACCTGCTACGGAGGCTGTGTATGAAGGACTGCCGCTGACGCACGAGCAGTTGCGATGGGAGTTTTATCAGAGGGGGCAGGAGCAGCAGCAGCAGCTTCTAGATCAACTCAGGTGAGGAACGATGCTGCCTCTACACCCTCATACATACATATACACACCTATATATACACACACACATGCACATATATATATGTATGCATAAATGCATGCATGCCTGCCTACTTGGGAAGGGAGGCTTGGATGTATTGTTGGTGCGCGTGCAAAAGCCAAGCTGAGCGTCTCGTGGGGGCGTCTCGGCTGCCTTGTCGCGCCACACTGAGAGAGACAACTGAAAGGCAGTTTCACCCGTTTCCCCCTCTTTGCCTCCTGACGCCTCGTGCAATTTGGCTTGCGCAGCAGCGGAGGGAGGCAAGAGCCAGGAAGAAGGGGGAGAAGCCGCGCAGTTGCCCGTCTGCTCAGGACTAACGCAGCTGACACACCGCTGCCTCGGCAGTTTACAGACGGGAAATGCTCTGTGCCGTGTGTTTGTTGAGATCCAATCTTCAGTGCGTGCTCGCGTATCAAGGGGCGAAGGCGCATGCGAGAGGAGAGGCGTATTATTTGCAAGAAGCCGCTGCTGCCAGCAGTCTTTTGCCGACGTGCTATGCCCCAAAGCGAAAAGCAACCGATCGCTGGACGTCATAGCGTCTCCAGCGTTGTGTGTTGCCTTGCGGGAGCTGAGCGGATGCAGCAGAGCAGCTGCATCTGCAGTACAACCCGCATACATGGTGGATGTGTATCTGTGCGTGAATGTGTATCTGTGTATGGATGTGTATCTGTGTGCGGATGTGTATCTGTGTGTGAATGTGTATCTGTGTGTGGATGTGTATCTGTGTGTGGATGTGTATCTGTGTATGTATGGAGGGAGGCAGAGTGAAGAGGGGCCTTTGTCTGTTTGTCTGTGTGTATATGCATGCATGCATGCATATACACACAGACACGTATGGTGGGGAGCACTTTTGAGTTGGCCATTTTTTGCAGCGAGATCTCGCGCCTCAACTCGGCGCACACGCACTGTGTGTGACGCACAGAGTGGCTTCTTGCCAGTTTTTGTCGTTTTTCAGCTGCTTAGCCACGGGAGAAGCAGCACGGCAGAGGGATCGCGGGCAGAGCCTCGCTTCATGCTGCCGCGTGTAAGACATGCATGCTTGCGTGTCCACCTCGACCAGGCTTGCGGAGTCTGTTTGCTGCAGCGTGCAGCTTTACGAGTCTCAACGCCACTTCTACTTGCGCGTCAAGCAGGCAGCAGCAGCCGAAGGTCTGTCTCTTGAGGCTGACCCTTTGTACGAGACAGCGGCTGCAGTGTCTCCTCCTGTTTTTCCGGCTGCAGTGTCTGCAGTGGGTGCGGGTGCAGTGCCTGCTGCTGCAGTCGCTCCTGGCGCTTCCCCCCTCTGCACTGCACCGCTAGGAGTCGCAGCGGCAGCAGCAGCTTCGCCGCAGCCAGCGGCTCCCACTGCCACCCCCTCCCCCGCAGCGGCGGCAGCAGCTTCTCGCCTAGCGGCCACTACTTTGGAGGCGGCAATGGAAGCGTTCAGCAGTGCAGCCTTCCAGGTGAGAGAGGCTTTTCGTCTGTCCGTTCTCGTTCCGAAATAGTGCATGCTCCTCCTTTCTCTAGGGCTGGCAAGAAAAAGAGGCCAACTAGGTGATTTTATTGGGGAGAGGAAAGGGGAGGCAAGGCGCGTGCTGCCAGCACAGTCGCTGCGCCGAGTCACGGCTTTGCAGGTATGTTCAGGAGGCTGCTGCTGTTCTCTGTGCGTGTGGTGTCGCATTCCAGCCGGGATTTATTCCTGAAGTGCCCCCCCCGCCTCATCTCTGCGGCTGAAGACGGTTTTTTGGTGCACACCGACGGGTAGCAGGTAGCAGTAGGCCCTCCGAGCAGCAGAATGTCTCTCAAGGATGCGTGTTTCGCAGAAGTGCCGCGTGTGTGCTGGCGAATGGCGCTTTTGAAAAACGCCTCTTTTCATCCTGTTGCTTCTAGCTCCCCCAGTAGACGTTCGTCAAATAGATGCACTTAGAAGCGAGGGCTGTGCCCTTTACAACATCACAGCCTTTTACGCGCAAAGCAGCAGCAACGGCTAACCGTGTAGAGGGAGTGCACAGGTAGGTAGGCAGGCAGGCAGGCCAGACGGAAGCTCGAAAGGGTGTGGCGTGGGGGGGTAGACGGAAGAGGACACTAAACACCTCAGAGGCGACGCTGTGCTAGCAGCCAAGTGGCATCGTAAAAAGAGGAATCTAGCGTAGTGCAACGGCCACACAAAAAGGGCTTGACGAGGCACATTGCGTGTAAGGCAGAGAGGCGCCTTAGCTCTGTGAATCGAGCGCTGCACTGGCAAGGGCGCTGGAGCGAATGAACATCTCCAGCTGCTCTGCTTCTTCTGCCATCGCGTCGTCTGCAACGGGAGACGACGGAGCGTTCAACTGCACCTCCATGAGGTTCCCCAAAGAGGAAGAGGATGAAGAGGCACCGTTTGCGGGTTGTTGAGGGGCATACTGCCAGAGCTGTCTGCACATTGGGCAGGTCCCCTGCTCTTCGCTCCGCACGCCGTCGCGATGCAGCCAAGCGCCTGCGTGACACCACCGAATCGCCAACGTATAGATTCCAAAGAGACGGTTCAAAAGGATGCTTTCTCCTTTGAGGAGCGCACGCACAGTTTCCCCTTGCGTCGTGCAGGGGGACTGCCCGTCCTCCCACAGACCCCAGGGGTGTGTTTTCGCCGGAGTTACCGGCAAAACGAGTTGGACGCTACGCACAGGTGCACGGAAGGATCACACAGACACGGACAGTAAGTTGTCAGGTGCGCATGCACGGCAGAATGAAGCATGATAGGCGAACACCCGCACGGAGAAAGTCTACATATAGCCCAACATGCACAAGACGCCCATACTAAAGGAAAGAAGCGCGGAAGGGGCGTATGCTCCTGATTCAAAAGAGCAGGAGGGGGGGATGGATTCAGCTTTAGACACGGTGAAAAGAACTCGAAAGGGGGTATGCGTGTGTACGCCTCATGCCGAGGTGGTAAAGAGGCTCTTTGAGAAGTTTTCCTATGTGTGGATGGTTGCAGAGAGTTGGTTACATCTGCATGCATGCGCGCAGCTCACCGATGCAATGCAAGTGAAAAATATGTCCGCACGACCCAAATGCAGGGGGACAGGAGTCTCCAGGAGCGTCGCACTGGGCGCAAGGTAGCTCAAACGCGTTTTCGCAGATCACGCATTGTAGGTCTTTCGGGATATCCTTCCATCGCCAGACACCCACCGTGTGGACGGCGAGCACTTCGAGGCGCCCGCCTGGGGCCATTTTCGGCGGTATAGCGAATTATTTCATTGAGTCCTCAGATTCGCTGACAATGGTGGAAACATGAACAGAACTGAAGAGTCGGCAGGACAGAACTGAGTCAGAAATACTCTTGTCACCATGCAGACAACTCATGAACGTGCGATTCGCGCTCAGAGGAAGCGGCGTTTGCATGATTAAAATGAAAAATTCGGCTTCCTTTGATAAATACGGATTCGAATATGTTATAAACAGACATTTTGCATTAGAGAATGCGTCAAGGTTTCCTTTGTTTTGCATGCGCACAGATACGTACCATTCGCGCTGATGGCAGCCATAGCTGCCTGGAATGGCTGCCACGCATGAGGAGTGACTCCTCTATGCCGACCTGCTGGATACTGTACGTCGTGTTCGAGCGAGACTTACACTATTAAGGTGATCGCCTCGTTAGAACGCGGTGAAAAAGGCGTAGACGGGAAAGCAGCACCGGAAATCTGAGCCACTCTAAACCCTAGATACTGAGGCGCCGATATCCGCTGTCATGGCAAGGCGTCCCTTATGAGGCTGGGGGCACGAAAAACGTGCGCACAGGCTGTGCAGACGAGGTGCTCGTCGCCAATTCCAGGCAGGCCATCTCTTTTCAACTTGCCATTTGTTGCGTTCTACTGCCCGCTCGCAGCTAGACACTGTTCTCCTGCTGCTAAGAAAGCGACTGGTCCCTCTTTTTGGCTGCTCTTCTGAAAGTAGTTTCACGGTCTAAACTAGACCTAATCCCTAAACGGGCAGTAAAAGTACGTATACCAGGCTATGCTACGCTTAGGCACTCGCTACAAAACTACCTGTATTTGAATACGGAATGAAGAATTGATTGATCGACATGTTGTTTGTATATCCTATTTAGTGGAGAATAGTGTTAGTTCGACACAGCAAGGGGCAAGGTTCCCTATGTGTGTCCTAGATGCTATGTGCACTTATCTTTGAACGCTCGGAGAGCTTTAAAGGGTGCAGCTACGCGGACCCTAGTTCTCCCTCTCCTCTCGTGTTGGAAATTTCTGATGGTTTGGACAGAGAAACGGGAGAGCTCTTCGAAAAAGCATTAATAACTCTTTTGTCAAGCTTGTACCGTCGAAAGTTAAGCACTTCGCTTCAGAGACCCTCGATAGACTTACAGGCGGTCACTGGTCCGTGCATAAAAGCTCACACTGTGTAAAGGGGAGAGCAGAGCACGAGAGCTAGGCCAAGAGCAAAAGAAGGCACACCTTGGCTGGATGGATACAGTGACGCATGCGAGAGAAGACAAGGCCCTCCGAAGAAGCGCCATTCGCCTAAGAAGCTCGAAAAAAAATTTCGGAAAGGACGTTTTCATGCTGCTCTCTCCTCGTTGCACTATTTTTTTCTCTCTCTCTTGTCAAGACAAGAGCTTTCGCTATACAGGGACACTAGAACCAGCAGAACCCAGCAACTTGCTGCACGTGCAGCAACAAAAAGGGGGAAATCCGCCTCGGCGCTTCATTGTCACTGCGCTTCTCGCTGTGAGATCCTACGACGCCACGCCAGCAGCCTCCGCTTTCCCTTAGTAGCAGCGCTTAGATGCTTCCCGCTGCCGTTGCCGTGGTGCTGCAGGAGGCAGTCAGTACCATGGAAGCCAACCCACATACATTCTGGCGAGATTTTCTTCAGCAGTGGCTGCACGGATCAGGGCGTCTACTTGCGCATGCACTCCGAGGGTGCCGACGCTGCCGTGTGCAGCAGCAGCAACTGCACTGCTGCCTGCCGCAGCTGGAGCTTGCGCCTCCTCATCCTCGGACTCTAGGAAGGATGCCTCGCTGCTGCTGCTGCTGCTGCCGTCGTCGGCATTCTCTCGTGTTTCCTCCTTCTGGGGATCCTTTTGGTGGTGTACCGAGAACTCAAAGGCACCCGGTGGAAGGGCGGAGATGGCACCTCTTAGCTTCTGCTGGATGTTGACTATGCAGGTGTAGGCCTTCCTTTCCCATGCACTTGCTGCGGCAGCCTCGCGCTGCTGCTGTTGCTGCTGATGCCGAGAGAGAGCCGTCCTCCACTCAATTAGAGGATCTTGCACGAAACTCTGCAGGAAAAGGGAGGCGGCAGCTGCTACAGCACTGGCGGCAACCCAAGCAGCGGCAACGTGGCAATGCAAGCAGCGGCAAACGTGGCAGTACAAGCAGCTTCATGGCAACCCAAGCATCGGCTGCTTACCATGAAGAGAGAAAGAAGAAGATTCTGATTGCTTCTCAATAACCTTAGGACAGTAACGGCTGCCGTGCGGAAATCTCCATTAGTGGCTGTGGCTCCTAGGGCAGCCACGATGTTTTGAGTTAGACGGAAAGGCACCACCTAAAGAAGCACAGAGGCTTTCACTGCTGTTTCTGAAGGGAGGGTTTCGCCTCTTAGACAAGCAAACAGGCGGCAATGCAGACAGCGGCAGCAGCAGCAACAGAGCGCATGCAAAAAATGCCACCGAAACAGCGGAAGCCAAGGCTCAGAAAGAGTCACCTCGGGGAAGGGAAGCGTCTGCCCCTTGTCAAAGAGGCAGTCGAAATCCACGTGGAGGGCGGCGCCAGATTTCAGGTCCAAGAGGATGTTTTCGCAGTGTCTGTACAGCTCGAGCAGCACGCACTCGAAACAGCGTGTCACTACCAGAGGTTTGCGTTGCTGCCGAGAGACTCACGACGCTTTTGTCACTGCGCTGCTCTCACAGTGAATGAATGCGCGGATTTTTGCCCGTGGAAAAGAGGTAGCGGCAACGGCCTCCTCGACTCTAGTCGCTACCTCTTCTCCACGGGCAAAAAACCACGCATTCGTTCACTGTGACAGCAGCGCCGTGACAAAGGCGTCGTGACGGGTTTTGACTAGGAGCTGCAGCAGCAGCCTTGCCACCTTCCCGCAGCAACAAGGCAACACCACTGCAGAATCTGCATCCCCTGACAGCAAAAATAACAACGACCCCCCCCCCTCCCGCAACAGCACGGCAAACAAAAGCAGCCGCAAGAACCGCACCGGTCCCCCAACCCTATGACATATCCGAAGGCTGCCCATGCAGCCGACGTTTGCGTAAAGGCCTTTCGCGCCGAATACCACCTCGAGGGGTCTTCTCCGAACCAGTCAAAATATACTCTGACGCAGGCAGTCGTAGCACACACAACGCAGCCGCAGCATGCACAACGCAGCCAGAGCACTCGCCAGCAGCGACACTCACGCCGCTTGCGTGGAAAGCAGCAGAAAAGCAGGAAAAACAAGCCAGGCCATAGCAACGGCGTTTCCAGCAGCCGCAGGTGCAGCGCTCAAACTACTTGTGAAGAATGGGAGGGAAATTCGGCAGGATGAAGTCTCTGAGGAGCTTGTGACACTCCGCAAAACGGCGCTGTGTTTGAGCAGCCTGGAAACGTTTGCAGCACTGCAGAAGGAAGAAGCAAACAAACAAGAACAGACGAAGGGAAGCCAAAGGCGTAAGGAAACGAACAAGGCCCTGGTGGCTGCTGCTGCTGCTGCTGCTGCTGCTGCTGCTGCTGCTGCTGCTGCTGCTGCATCTTCTTCTCGGGCAGACACCGCAGCCGGAGGTGCAAGGGAAGGGGGAAGAGGACGGTGCGAATAAACGAAAACAGAAAAAACACTGTCGCGAGACTCGCAACAGCTGCAGCAGCATGGTCCCACTGTACACCGCAAGCAAGCCCGTGCCTGCCTGCATGTCTGCATGCATGCGTCGGTATTGCAGAAGAAGTCTCGGGAGATACAGACGCGTCCAGCGCGAGAGACAGAGAGGGAGACAGACAGACAAACAGACAGACAGACAGACAGACAGACAGACAGACAGACAGACAGACAGACAGACAGACAGACAGCAGGAAGGAGACAGGCATCACCACGCTCGAAGCCTCGAAGTGCAGTCAAGCCACTAACCGTCTCATTTAGCTGCCTAAAGTCTTGCATCGACAGCGTGTACTTCGCTGCAAGGCAATTTCGTAAGGGGCGCGCGAAGGGCATCCACTCAATAAGTGCCGACACCTCCGACAACACAGTGATGTTGAATGTGCGCAGCTGCAAAACGGAAGCACCAACAAAACTGCAGAAGTTGCTGTAGCACTGCACATTTTCTAGTTCCCGAGATGAAACTAAAACAGAGAGAAAGCTAGAGAGATAGATAGATAGAGAGATAGAATTAGATAGATAGAGAGAAATAAAGACGGAAATTCTATGCTGTATGTATATCTCGGTTTGGTTTGCGTGTGTATCTGTATCTATGCATCGCTGTCTGTGCATGTCTATCTGTGTGTATATATCTCTGTCTATCTGTGTGTACATGTGTCTGTCTATCTGTGTGTATATATCTCTGTCTCTCTGTGTGTATATATCTCTGTCTATCTGTGTGTAGATCTTGTTGCATGCTCCTTTCTGCGTTTTTGTCGAGCTGTATGGGCAGGGGATGCGCACCTTGAAGTGACACTGCCGTTGCTCGAGGAGGCGGTTTGTTTCTGCAGCCGCATCTACAGCTCGCATGTCTTTGCGGATGTCTCCTGCGCGCTCGTTTTTGAGTAGAAACAGATATTCGCAGCCATCGGAGGCGGATACGGCAACACGCTTGGGCTTTTGTTTGCTTGCAAGCACCTGAGGATAAAGAGCAGGCAAGCAGAAGACACGGCAAAAAGGCAGGCAGAAGACACTTAGGCAGTCGGAAGTGGCGAGGATGCATTGCGGCAAGAGAGGCACGCTGCGATTGCTTTAGCAAAGATCGACTTTAGGTCCTGGCAGCTGTCTTGTGCTTGTTTGTGCTTGTTTGCGTTTGTGTTTGTGCTTGCGCTTGTTTGTGCTTGTTTGCGTTTGTGTTTGTGCTTGCGCTGGTTTGTGCTTGTTTGTGCTTGTGTTGGTGCTTGTGTTTGCGCTTGTGTTTGTGCTTGTTTGTGTTTGTGCTTGCGCTGGTTTGTGCTTGTTTGCGCTTGTGTTTGTGCTTGTTTGCGCTTGTGTTTGTGCTTGTTTGCGCCTGTGTTTGTGCTTGTATCTGTGCAGCAGCAGTTTACCTCCATGGTTTGTTTGATGCTGGTGATTGTAACGACAGGGGCACACCAGTGCAAGAGCGCCTCCGTTGGCACTGCGAGAGCTTCAGAAGATGGCAAACCCGAGGCCACTAGGCAGCACAGCCTGCACAGAAAAAGGAAAAATGCATCTGCAAAAACGCGTGTCAGGAGGGCAGACGCAGAAGAGGAAGAAGAGGCTTGTACGTGGGATGCGGCATGGGGGAGACGAGGAAGCGCAGGAAGGAGGCCGGAAGGTGGGAGAAGCAGAGAGAGAGAGAGAGAGAGAGAGAGAGAGAGAGAGAGAGAGAGAGAGAGAGAGAGAGAGAGAGCGGGAGAGCACACGTCAGAAATACAGACACAAGAGGATATGGTATGCAGTTTTACGTGAGAAAAAAAAAAATACCAGATACAATTCTAAGTTATGAATTCATATGGTAGTCATACAGCATTTGACATGATGAACCATAATTATTTTTCTATTGTGTTTTGAATGTATACATTATTTT